CCAATCCAATCCAATCCAATCCAGTCGAGTCAAATCCGTTTCCATTCCCTCTCGGCCTTTCCAATTCCAATTCTGATATATTTTGGGCCCTGCTGTGACCAAATTGCGTACCGAGTGATCACCAGATATCCAGAGTTTCGGGTCCGCCGAGGTCTACCACATGCAGTGTCATTACTCGATTGGCGCAGGAAATCATAAATTAAATTCGATTGTTTGACAAGGCTCGCGAAATGTTTCCATTTGAGCCAAAAGCGTCGCCCCATTCCACTGCATTCGTGAGTATGTGCACGGGGCAAAAATATATTAACAATAATTGAGTTGGCATTTGGACAAAAATATTATACATTCAACACCTTATAACTATGCTGGATTTCCCCACACAATAGGGATTTTTTTGCTCAACAATTTTAGCCTTACTTATTAGATTCCAACGTTTTTAAAATTTATTTTTGTGCTAAATACAGAATAGGCTGTCTAAAAAATACATTTCTTCCGTGTTTTATTTGACCAAATTTAACAATGGTGTTTAACTTATTGTTTATGGAGCCACAACTTTCCCTTTTGATCAATAAAGAAGCAAAAAGTAATCTATTTAAAAACTTATTTCCAGAGTTTCGTTAACACAAGTATTCTTAAAAAGTGGAACTTTTTTGCAGCGGTAGAATTGTATTATTAAAAACATAATTGTCTTTTAAAAGTCATATTTTAATGGAAAGCAGTATCTGATAGTAAGCACGTTTCCCTCTGTGTCGGATCGGATATCGCGAGCTCTACAATTAGTACTACATGCAACTGCAACTGCATCTCCAGCGTCCATCGGAGTCCGACAGACGGAGGATGGATCCAAATCGGGCAAGTGGACGGCTTGCAGTTCGTAGTTTCGTGTAATGTTGGCCAATGCTCCCCCCAAAATTGGCGTGCAGCGGAAAAATGAGACAACGTGATCCACAGACTCTCCAGCGATCCAGCGGCAGAGATTCCAGCTTCAGCTCCAGCTCCAGCTCCATGCAGCACGCACATAATTCATAAATGTTGCCACAGCCATTCCATTGCCATCGCAGCTGGCGGGGATCGGCGGTATCTGCATCTGTATCGGTGTCGCGGGTTCGGGAGATTCATAGGCACGCACTTGGTTGGCTGCACCTCCTTCCTGCTCCCCGATCCTCAGTCTCCAGTCGTCGGTTGCTGGTCGCCGCATTGGCCATCAACACCACTCGCCAAATGGCGTTCGTGTGTGGCAAGTGACACACGAGGCGATGCAGCACAGCTGGATGCGTTCTCCTCGTCCGCCGGCATCTGGATCTCGGTACCAGGTGGATGTGGTGTGCCAACAATGCCTACAAATGGGGCCCATCCATCAGAGCCCCTGCCGTTGGCCATGGGATTCCCACAACCCGGAGAGCTCAGATCGGGATAAGTGCCAAAGCCATTAAATACAATCCTCACAATGAAAACGGTATTTGTATTGGCGTAAAAAAATGGTTAAAATAAACAATATATCAATCAATGGGTGAAGACTTAGTTTACCTTTCTAAAAGTCTTGAATCTTTTAAATCTAAACTTTGATGGCGTTCTCCATTTTTTGGGAATATAAGTAATGCACTCAAACTCGAAAATAAAACAACAATCTAAAGTTTGTTAAGGTTTATAAGTTGTTCTGGATATGTAATTGCCACCAATATATCAATGAAGGGGTAAAAACTTAGTTTTCCTATTTTAACGTACTTGGTCTTTTAAATCAAAAGTATTAATATAAAGAATAAACTTTGGGAATAGAAGTGTTACCGTCAATCAGTTCAATATAAAACCCAACAACCAAAAAGATTGTTTTGTATTACAAGCAAGCTGTTTTACTCTATTTGTAGTAGCCAGCAAATCAAACTCAATCTTCTTATAATGCAGTTAGGTTTATTGCTTCTCGTTTAGTTTAGCTTAGTTTCACATTAGTTTAGATACGCACTAGGCGACGTCGTTCGCTCGTTCGCTCGTTTACACTTTAAAACTTAGGTTAATCACTAATAGCAGAATGGGTGGTCCTTAGCTCTACAAGTGGTTAGATCCACTCGGGCCGCTGCTATGAGCGGATGCTACCCAGCAGCGGCGTGCTCTCGGCAGCCTTTGAGGTAATCACGGTATGGCGGGAGCCGGCGGCAGTCGACGGAGCAGCCGGAGGCCGCGGTGGCCACTGGCTCGGTCCCGGGCGCTCGTCCTCCGCCTCGTCGATGCGGGACTGACGCGCCTGCCGCTTCTGCTGGCTCAGCTCGTGCAGATAGAGGGCGCTCAGGCACATGTCAGCCACGCCCACGTTCAGGGGACTCCTGCCCACGCGCGGCTCCAGGCCGCAGAGTCCGTAGAGCAGCGTGTCCGACGGACCCTCCAAACGGCCCTCAGCCCGGCTGAGACGCAAGCGGCGCATGCTGTCCAGGGGGCCCACGCTGGCGGACAGATTCTGCTGCAGCATCTGGCGGAAGTCGCTGGCCGCGACGGGGAATCCTCCGGTCACCGGAGCCAATCCCGGACGCAGCGACTGTGAGATCTCCAGCTGCCGCGGCGTCAGTTGGGCGGTCAGCACCGAGTTCGCAATCGAGCAGTACTCCTCACCCATCGTGCCAAACGAGATCAGGCTGTTGGTCAGCGGGTTCTCCTGCACAGCGGAGGTCTTGGCCTGGACCAACTCACCCACGGCATGCTCCCGGACGCCGCGCAGGAACTCCTTGGCCTCCTTGGGCATCTGCCACTCGGGATTGTTGAGGGTGAAGCGCACCAGCGACATCTCCGTCTTTCCGCCGGCCAAACTCTTCTGCTGCGGCTCCTGCTGCTGATGAGGCTGCGTCGCTGGTCGGGTCATCTCCTCCATCTCGCTGGTCAGCTGCCAGTCGGGATTGCCGTGCTTGCGCACATCCATCTGGGCGAAGGAGCAGACGTTGCCCACACCGCGAACGGAGACGGTGAACGTCCTGAAGAAGCGCACCAGCTCAATGGCCTTCGGCCGGAACACGAAGATCAGCACGAAGGGCGTGACGAACGGACTGAAGATCTCGCTGAGCAGGTAGCCAGCCTTGAACTGGAAGAAGTTGCTGAACTCCTGGCGCACGCGAGCCGTGTGCGCCTGCTGCCGCCACTCGGATGGCAGGTAGTGAACGTGCGCCAAAATGGCAGTCATCAGTTGCTCCGGGCACCAGATGAGGTTCTCGTCGGGGATGAGAGTTCTGGAGATCACGCCCACTCCGGTGAGCACAGCGATGATGGTGAGCACATGCTCCACCTGGAAGACATGCTCCTCGTAGATGCCCAATCCCAGGATGAGCAGCAGCAGTCCTCCGCTGATAAACAGCAGATTCCTGGCAATCACAGCGGCCAAAGGCGAAGAGAAGGAGCTCAGGTAGCGGTCCGCGTAGTCATATGCGCGATTCAGCCTGGCATCGAGCTCGTGGTCCAGCTCATTAAAGTGACGCAGGTAGAGGCGCCCGTAATTCGACCAGGTGCGCAAACCAAGGGCACTCGGCTCTTTCCGCAGGATGTTTGCATAGGAGAAACTGAAGTAGATAAGCTGCCACACGAAGATCACAGGTGCCAGAAGCAAATTGAGCAACGCCACTCCCAAGATCAGCTTGGAGAGCCGCTGCGCCAGATCCGTTTGATTGCTCCTCACCGCGAACTCATCCCGCAATTGCCAGTTGTTCTGGAAGGGGGATCCCGGTCCGCGGAACAGGATGAAGTCAATGTTGAACAACATACCCCGACTGAGGGAGACCACTTCCCCGTACAGGGGAATGTGGAATCGCACGGGCAGCAGCTGCTTGTTCATCAGCGCCACCAGGTAGTTCTTGAAGCGCAGCACCCGGTGATAGATGTCCAACTCCGTGAGCGACTCCTTGTCGATGCACATGTGCTGCTCGGCCTGAACGCGACGGATGCGCTGCTGCACCTCGTGCCAGGTGAAGTTGTCCAGGTCCGCGTCCTCAATGTGCAGAGCCGTGTTGTAGAATCTCCTGATATCCGCGTACTGCGTGATGTGGTAGACCATTTTCAGCACTCGGATGCCCATGTAGATGGCAGCAATGAACACAATCAGGTAGGTGAACCAGTTGAAGGAGGCCACGCACTCCCCCGTGGGTATGATCACATCGGATAGAGTAGTTTTGGTGGGATTATCTCCTTCGGGTAGGGCGTCACCGAAGAGGACGGGAAAACGGACGCAGTGCGTCACAAAGGTCAGCAGCCAGACGACGAAGCCGAACTCCAGCACCTGCAGCATCTCGTCCAGCACTATCACCCGGAAACCGTGCTTTTGCTGGTACTGGTACATTCGCGAGAAGAACGAGTCAAGGTCCTCGATGTGGTTCCACCGCGCACGCCCCGTCTCCGGGACCATGTGGATCATGACGCCACTGTTCCGGGGCGTGTCCTCGCCCTCGTGCTCGGTGTCGTGCACCTCCAACGCCTCATCCATTCCGTGTTCGCCGAGGGGGTCTAAATGCGCAGCAGCTGCGTTCGCTTTTGCGTCTTGTGTTTTTGTTGGGTTTTGGCCCGAGGAGGGATGATGCTCCAGGAACGGACTGGCCGCCTCCTCGGCCAGGGAGCGGTAGTTGATATGTGGGCTAGACATCGCCCAATCGTCAAGGTCAACCGTGCTGCCTATTTATATCGCTGTATAGTATAAGTTGGAAAATTCTTTGTTGTTTGATTCTGCTGAACCTTCGCAGCGAACAGCTGGTTCTCTGGTGCTTAGTGTTAGTAAACGGCAAAATACTGGGAAAGTAAGGTGTTCGGATGACTGGTGCCGTGCTGACTGCAAAGCGTTCACACTGCCACTGCAGTTACTCAGAGGAAACGTGATCAAGACAAAATAAGTAACTCTGATGTTGGCCATTTTTCGTTTCTTAACTCAAATTCTTTCGTGTTTGTAAACATTTTTTCATTGATATAAAATATACATATACCATAATCATACTCAAAAAATTGTGAACATTTGTTTCCTAAGTTCAATTTATTATGGTAAAAGCGTAGAGTGTGAACATCATAAATCAGCGTGAAGATAGGCTGCAAGAGAGTTGACAGTTCTGAATTAGATTTGTAAACAAATATTAAAATTCCCTTCATTACTTCCAAAATATAAAGAAAAATCGGTCAAGATGGGTAAAAGACAGCATCAAAAAGATAAAATGTAGGTTTCTAACGCTTCCATAAATTCTATTCGCTCAAATAAATCTGTTACCTTCACAGGTACCTCACGTACACGGAGTGGAGTGAGTTATATGGCGGCAAAAAAGTGGAGTCTTTGGAGAACGACCATGTCAAGTTCAAGCGCCTTCCATTCGAGCACTGCTGCATCACCTTGGCGCCCTACGAGATGCCCTACTGTGATCTACAGGGCAATGTCTTCGAGTACGAGGCCATCCTGAACTTTCTGAAAACCTTCAAGGTGAATCCTATCAGTGGACAGAAGATGGACGCCAAGTCCCTGGTCAAGTTGAACTTTTACAGGAATGCCAACGATGAGTACCACTGCCCCGCCTTGTTCAAGCCCTTCAGCAAGAACTCGCACATCGTGGCGGTGGCAACTACAGGAAATGTATACTGCTGGGAAGCCATCGACCAGCTAAATATCAAGACCAAGAACTGGAAGGATTTGGTGGACGATACTCCATTCCAGCGCAAGGACATCATCACCATACAGGATCCCCAAAGGCTAGAAAAGTACGACATCTCCACGTTCCATCACATTAAGAAGAATCTGCGCGTTTTAACAGAAGAGGAGCAGCTGGAGAGAAAGAATCCCGCCAGCGGGCGAATTAAGACCATGAATCTGGAGACAAAGGAGACGCTCGCCCAATTGCAACAAGATTACCAGCCTGCGGAGGAGGAACCCTCCACCTCAAAGCGGACAGCCGACAAATTCAATGCAGCTCATTACTCAACGGGAGCGGTGGCCGCCAGTTTTACGTCCACCGCAATGGTTCCTGTGTCCCAAGTAGAGGCGGCCATAATAGATGACGATCTGGTGAAGTACGAGCGTGTTAAAAAGAAGGGTTATGTTCGATTGAATACCAATCTTGGCCCTCTCAACTTGGAGCTCTTCTGCGATCAAATTCCTCGAGCCTGCGACAACTTTATAAAACACTGCGCCAATGGGTATTACAATAATGTAATGTTTCATCGATCTATAAGGAATTTTATTGTAAGTAGTGTATACCATTTTATGAGTCATTCAAATATACAAGGGATTTTGTTACAGGTGCAAGGAGGTGATCCCACGGGCAGTGGTTCTGGTGGCGAATCTATTTGGGGCAAGAAGTTCGAGGATGAGTTTAAGCCAAACCTCACTCACACAGGACGTGGTGTACTTTCTATGGCCAATTCGGGACCCAATACCAATGGCTCTCAGTTGTGAGTTAAAATATTTAAACAACCTTGACCCAATCTAATCTGGACCCTTTTTCACAGCTTCATAACCTATCGCTCCTGCAAACATCTTGATGGCAAGCATACAATTTTTGGCAAGCTCGTCGGTGGCTTAGACACTCTGCAAAAGATGGAAAATATTGAGGTGGACAACAAAGACAGACCGATTGAAGACATCATTATTGAAACCTCACAGGTCTTTGTGAATCCCTTTGCCGAGGCAGCTGAACAATTGGCCAAGGAGCGCGAGGAGGAGGCGGCCAACAAGCAGGAAACTGCCAAGAAAGAAGAGCAGCAAAAGCGGATGAAGGAGCCGTTGAAAGTGTACAGGGAAGGCGTAGGAAAGTACCTAAAACTTCAGCCAGTGGCCAAGAAACCTGACCTATTACATTCAACGGCCCAAGCAGCGGAAAAAAAAAACTGTCCAATGGTTTTGGAAATTTCTCCAGTTGGTAGTGATTTTTAGAAATACTTTAAGAAATTGTATGTAATTAAAAAAGTTTTAATAGTAGCTATTTTTCATTGGGCTCGTTTCCTCGCTCTGTGCGTTCTCTATCCTGCCAGGTTTTCTTCATCTCCTGCAGTTTTCCCTGCCGGCGTCGTCGCTCTGTGGACTTTCTCTGCTCTTGGGCTTTGATCTGCGACGCTATCGAATGCTCTCCATTTAAATGAACATCAAGTTTCTCCAGTAGAAGTTTTCGCGCCTCAACGCGGTTTTTGGATGCTAGTCGGTGTGTGTGACATTTAATGGTAATATTGGTGGGCAGATGGCGAAGGAAAACGCAATTCGAAGTCTTGTTCACCGCCTGGCCACCTGGGCCACTGCCGCGCATGAAGGTTTCTTCGATCTCGGATTCGTTAAGCGTAGGAAAGCGGGAGTAGTCCAGATTGGCAGTGGATTTGCAGCGCACAGGAGGCGAAGGAAGCACCAAGATTCGCACCAGACCTCGCAACATCCCTACAGAATTCTACCCTTTTTTAGCAGGGTCTCTCCGCGCTAAAAGAGAATAACACCTTAAAAGGCTGTTATGAAATAGATAGGTGATGTTTACCTTAAAACTAAATTCGATTTCTACCGGATTCGTGAGGGACCGGTTGTCCCGGAACTCGTGCCTCACTCTTCCTAAAAAATAGTTCTTGTCTGTCAGCTTTAAATGATTGCCGTATCGAATTAAATGCTTGTATAAACGCAGAATTTGTTGCCGCGAAGGTTGAATCATTTTAGTTTGGATGCTTTTGTTTTGCTCACATGTGTTCGGCAGTGTTGAACAACACAGTGTCAACACAGGTTGGCAGCTCTCCTGTAATCAGCTGTCGCAGAATGAGATAAAAACAAAACAAAAAAAGCTGATAACGGTAGCATTACCAAACAATTCGATTTGATAAGATTAAACTTCCCCCAATCACCATTATTTTTCAGTATTTGTAGCTTATCATCCAGTAAATGGTACAAATATTTAAGAATGTTTAATCGGTTTTACTTTTTAGAGTTACAATTTTTTCAAATCAATGCCGTCGTCAATGGAAACACCAGTCAGTTGGCTCAGTTCCAGCATTTCCTTAACCTGGTGAGCAACCTCTTTATCCACGATATCCCCGCCCTGGGTCATGGCTTGTTTTATGATCTCCTCATCCGTAAACTGCATGGCGAACATCTCCTCAGGAGACATATCCAAGGGTTCAACAAGGGTCATTAGAAAACTGGCCGTTATGGATACGGCATACGGCAAAAATCGCACATACTCTTTTAGAAGCTCCGCACGACTGAAAAATAAGGGATAAATTAAATATATGTTTTAGTTACATTAAGGTAAGATTTAATTTAAAAGTCTGAAGAACTTTTGATATTTTAAACATAGTATGTTTTCCTTAGTGGTACAAAACAAGTTTAATTTAGTCAAAATGTTGAATGCTTACCTCATGGCCTCTGGAACCTCTGCCTTGGCATTTTTCCTATAGCTGTCATATAACGACGAACAGTATTCATCGAAGATGGCATCAAAGTTGGGGTAGCGCACATCGGCTAAAACGGATACGTTCAGGAAAACCGCAAGATCGATCATGGGAGAGGACACTCGCAGCGTTTGGTAGTCGAACATCATGATCTCCTGCGGCTCCTCCTTGTCATTGTACCTATAAGCAACATTGTTTCTCACATAATCTCCGTGGCAGAGAGTGGCCAGTGGTTCCCTGGGCGCCACCCGTTGTCTGCCATAATTCAAGTAATTCCCGACCAGATGGCACAATTGATTCACAAATTCCTCCCCAACCTGAGGCTGATAGGTGGCCACCGACTTGGCCAACCGCTTGTGACTCGTCTTCATGGTAAGATCCCACATGTGATGAATATCATCCCTCGCATAGCGTGATTCCTTTAGCCCGCTGGTCAACTGCGCGAACTTCTCCGGATTCTTGTGCTTCATGGCGTAGGCGAAGCCATGAAATTCGCCCAGGTACTGCATAGCTAGCATGGCATGCTCCAGGCTTAAGCCAAACCGATCCTTGGTCACTCGCAGTCCCTTCTCCGCAAAATTTTCCATGATAGCCACCGCCGAATGGGGATTCAATTCACTATAATAATACTTGGGAGCCGCAAACTTTCCTCCGGCCAACTTCTGTATCTCTGGGAGAATTTCAGTGTAGAAATTGATTTCATTGCTGAAAAGGGCGCCAAACTGAATGGACTCATAAATAGCTGGGGGCATTGGAGGAGTTTTCTATAAATTAAAAAAACAAAGATATTACGATTTTTGGGGGTCAATGCGCTTAAAAACAAAACGTCATTGTTTAGTAATATAACATGTAATAAGGATAAGATTACGATAAGATTTGATAAGAAAATCAAAAACAGGGGCTAGACAAAGTTTGAATAGTGATTTCACAACTTTTGCGTAAGATGTCGTTAACCTAGATAACACATAAATAATTAACGTTTGTTTGGATTTATTGTTTTTTCGCTCAATGAATGGTAACGTACGTTTTATAGTACGCCTACTTATGACGTTAAATACTTTTTCAAAAGGAGTTTTTATTTAAATGATGGCTGAATGCCTATTCTTAAATCCACATTCTTTTAACATAGCCAAACCCTGAACACATTTTAACCTACTATTTATTAATTTTGAGGGCATATTGATTTTTCAGTTCGTAATTTAGAAAATTTCATTAAAAAAAAACTGAAAAAACATGAAAGAAGACTTTTTACGCCTTAGTACTTGATTAACCATTTTTGTAAAATTAATTACTTAGCTTTTTTCCCTTCCCTTTTCCCTCTGACGGACTTTTATGAGCTCACGATAGACAAACAAAACTGGCATATACATTTTTATCCGTAAACGCAGTTACAGCGATATATACTATGCACATATAATGGGATGAGCACTGAACACAATGCAATTTAATTTCGTGACATGGGTACTGTGATAAAATTAGCCCGTTTTTTGGATCTTACACCTCTCATCCCGTTTAATTACTTTGATGACACCCACAAAGTTACTCTACCTTAACGACCAATTTGCGCTGTAACTTCTCTCCATCGTATTCGAAGTTGACGATGGCTCTGTAGCAGAAGGTCAGCATAAAGGCCTCCGAGTGCCCGATCACATCGATATCGATGTCTGCCACGTGGAAGGTGTCCGCCTTGGAATCGCTGTAATTCTCCACGAGTCGCCCGCTCTTCAGGATCTCCGGAAGAATCGTAGATCGCAGCCACTGGACCTCCGCCTCGTTCTTCGACATGATATCTGCGTGTTGAGCACTAAAACGATCTGAACCACTTTGCTTTTGGCAACTGAATGAGCACTCGCGAGTTCTGGCAGCCCATTTTGTTTTCCCGTAAAGCTCTCTCTCTTTCGGAGATTCCACGGAACATGGTACAATTATACAAGGTAGTCTCGTCGGCTGCCTAATCGTTCGGCTTTTTAGTCAGTGCGTTCGTGCTTGTTGAAGGATGAGCACGCGTGCGGACGAATTTTTTCAGAGTATTACCCCTTGTGCAAAGATGTCGTTCTGCCCTTGGCTGCAAACTTTTTTTTGTTTTTTAACATATCGTTTCAGATAATTTTAGTATAACAAAAAATGTAAAGGAGAAACTATTAATAGCTACTAAGAAACATTAATTTAGATATTAAAAAAACTTACTTTAATATTGACATTTATTTTGAAATTAAGAACCTAAACAAAGAAATAACTATCCAAAAATAAAAACAACGTTTAATTTTAAATTCAAAACTATTAAAAATTAATTTATAAAAAACTTCAACTCCTATTACTATAAATGAACAATTTAAGCCCCATGCACAATCTAAGGGTTAAGCAAAGAGCTTTTTTGTCGTTTCACTCGCACTTACTACGCAGACTTCTCTCACTCGCACTTGTGGTGAGTAATGAATAGGGGAGTGCTTTTGCCGACGAGACTACCTTGTATAATTGTACCATGCCACGGAACTGATTAAACCACGAGCGGAGTGGAGAAGCTTTCAAGATAATATGAGCTTATATTTTCAGAGAATGTAATTCGTATCTTTAAATAATAAACATTATTCAGCGTATGGGGCATTCTTTTACGAACTAAACTGGTTTCGAATTTATTAAGTTGTATTGTTCATCGCGCCCCCTTTAAATAACTTCTTACGGAAACTAGTTCTGTTTTTGTATACATTTTGATTAAAATGTACCTTATTTTATTGGTAAATTTTAAACCTCACATTTAAATAATAAAATGTTCCCCTTTTAGATATGAAGTAACAATAAAGAAAAAAATATTTTAAAATAGAAAAAAAAAAACGTATTTTATTGTTTTAAAGGTTCTCCAGTGATAAGTTGTCAAAATTTTATGTTTTAAATTTGATTGTTTGCCATTGATTGATTTGGCGGATTGATTGCAGACCAAGCATAAATGTCCCTTAACTGGTATTTATTAAAAACGACCGGGTCGATGACCAAAGCCAACACCTATGTGCGAAAGTTCACGGAAGGATCGGAGCGCAGCGGAGTGCTCAACATGACATCTTCAATGCCGAGAAATACAAAAATTGCGAAAACCTCGGTCACGATTCCGATCCCGGAGCCGGATAGGCCCTCAATAGTCTCAACTTCTTCGCGGAGGAGCAAGAGGTGGAGCAACCGTTCCGTTCAGCTAAAAGAGCCCAAGAATTCCCAAACGCTCGAGTCCTGTCCACTGCACTCCTGTCCGATGCACCAAAAACCTCCAGTTGACTCTCCCCAAATGCTAAAGTTTTTCAACGAGGTGCGGCAAAGGGAGCTTAGGGACTATTACATCCAGATGAAGTCTGCTGAAAGGAGTCCCGAGGCATCTCTCCTGTGTCCTTGTTGTGGTCTTCCCAAGCGTGATAAGAGGGATCTCACCCACAACATCTACTGCACTGGAAACAAGAGCTTACGACGGGATATGAATATCAATTCTGATCGGTATAGGGATCTCAATTGGTTGTGGAACTCCACCGTGGCATGTCCTCAATCAGCATGAGTGGCGGATGCCACGACGGTGGTTCCCACGAATTGTGATCTTTATCCACAGTTCATGGTATCAAATATAAATAAATTCGGACAATAAACATAAACCATAAGAATATTGTATCTAGCAAACGTTGTCTTTGCTGCTTTGGAACTTTAGTTCTCCTGCCAGCTTCAGTCTCCGGTTGTAACCCAAATTGAACGCACCTTATCGACTCGAGTCTTAGATTCCCAGATCCCACGATGTATTCCGATCCCGCCCAGGATTCTGTGGCGACGCAGACGGAGGCGCAGCCGAATCCCTCGCCGGTCTGCACACCACTGCTGATGGTGGACGAGGATGGACGGAAGCGGTACTGCTACCATGGCGGAAAGTGCAAGTGCGGCACGTGCGCCAAAATCCGGGAGCAGCAGGCGATGCAACTGGACCAGGAGCTACTGGCCTACCTTCCGCACTCGAGACTGCAACTTGAAGTGCCGATTCGAATGGTCAAGCCGAAGCAGTACCGCCTGGAAGCCCGGAGAGCTGCTCCGGAACTCGCCAAGCAGCTGCGGGAGGACCACGAGAGGCTGAGGAAAGAGTACCCGATCTACTACCTTCCGGATCGGTACTTCGCCGACAAATTCTGGGAGGTGCCAGGACCTCAGCACAAGCAGACCCAGACGGACATCCCTATCGGACGGTACGGCATCGATGGATGTCCCTGTCCCGAAAAGACCCTCTGCTACGATCTGTAGTCCTGGGTAGGATTCGATGGGAAAATGGGGGATTAATAAAAAGTGCCAGGTGCGAAGAGTGTTCGGCTGTGTTTTCATCTCTATTCAGATAGATATTAGGAATGCCACTTCCCGGGTTCTGAGGTGTCTCCTTCACTGCATTTTTGTAGTGAGACAATTATATTGAAAATTCCTTAATGCGTTCTTAATTAGTTGTGTTTGGAATCTTTAATTTAATCCCAAAACTTGCATGCGGGGTTCAAAGCACTAGGACATATATGTATGTTTCGTTCCTAATTTAAATATTAACAAATTAAGAAGCACGCACGAATTCATTCGTTTCAATGTTCAAAGTGATAGTGATCTAGTGATAAAGTATTGAACTCCCTAAAAATCAGTACTCCAATTTGCAACTACATAGTTGCCCATCCAGATCCTGTCATTTCAGCAGTAATCAGTAAAAAAAAAAATTGGGAAACTTGCCGTAAAAATTGGAAACCATGCTGCCCCGTCCGAGAGTAACCCGCCTGATCTCCGGGATCGGAGTCCGGCGCTTCGCCGACGCAATAAACAGCAGCTTGCAAGCGGCCTACGTGAAGGGAGATGCACGTCGTGACCCCGTCAACGTGCTGCCCAAGTCCAAGTACGGGGGAATCAATACGGTGTCCCTGCTGACGGCCAGCACGATCATCGGCGAGCAGGGAGCCAACTTCGTGACGTCGCTGGTGCACAGCACCGGGGTTCCCGTGGAGGTGCAGGTGATCGAGCCGGGCAACGATTCTGAGTACTTCAACTCGGTGCTCCGGAACAGATCCGCCGTCTGCGTGGACATCCTGGCGGATGCGGAGGCCAAGCAGAAGGCTCTCAAGCTCTGCAACGATCTCAATTTGTACGTGTTTAAGACACGAACTCGTAGCTTTCCCGGCTTCAACTGCCGCTTTCCGAACGTGGACATCCAGATGATCGGCGAGAACAACATGGGCAACTACAATGAGCTGGAGTACTCGCCGGTCAAGGGCGTTGTGGAGGCGCTTTGTGTGGTGACCCAGGCCAGGCATGAGAAGTACCTGAAGTACGCCTTCGAGGCGGCAGTGAAGGCGGGAAGGAAGCGAGTCACCCTGATCAACAAGGCCAAGGAGTGGCCCATCAGCGATGGCTCAATGGTGGAGGTCGCCAAGCAGATGCACTCCGAGTACGAGGACTGCCTGGAGCTGGAGCTCATGGAGGTGGACGAGGCCATCAACCGGTTGACCACGGACCCCACCTACTTCGATTGCCTCTTTGCCAGCGATCGCTATGCCACCTTTCTATCGGCGATCTGCAGTGCAGTCTGCGGAGGAGCTAACCTCTTCAGTGCCGTGGAGATCGGGGATCACCATGCCATCTTTAAGCCCCTGCAAACCAAACTGTCCCTGACCTACTACAACAACCTCAGTGCCTACGGCATCGTGTCCACCATCGTGGATCTCCTCGAGCATTTGGGGCACTCGAAGTGCTCCCATAAGCTGTGGTGCGAGATGCTGCGCACCATGTACGAGGGAATCCGCACCAAGCAGTTCGGGGGCAAGGACACCGACGAGTACGTCATCTGCAACATCATTAACCAGCTGCGCTGTCAGAGATTTGGTGAATCAAAAAAATGATTAGCTTAACTAATCCCAAGTTTAAAACGACGTCCAATCAATCTTTCCGATATAAACTAAATTACTTTTTAGCTGAAAATGTATAAACCTAATTGTCCGACATAAGAAAAATAATATACTTTTTAAATCGATAAATACAGTAAACATGTAAATTTAATGACATTAGTTTTAACCATCCACTAGCGAAGTTTGTCAAAAGTTGCGACGCTTCAGGGAGCATTTGACCTGGAGAGTAAAAGTTGAGATAATTGCAATTAGGTATGTGACGGAAGAGTTTTCCAAAGCATTTGGGACTAAATCATGGTACAAAATGAAAAGTATTTTATACGCAAAATGCATATAGGGATATAAAATTTTCAGTATTGTATTAAAACTGTTGAAATGCATATTCCAATTTAAAAGAAAGTCCGATTTTATAAAATAAAGTAGAGGTACTTCTCAGTATGGCCCATATGCATCAGATAAACAAGGTGTAGGGGCGTCTTAGTATAGGCCTTTCCACCGTTAACCGCACCTGCTCCTCCTCGGTGCGCAGCTTGCTCTCGCTTGTCTTCATCTTCCAGTTGTCCGTGAAGGTCACCAGTTCCACCATTGTCTTGAAGGAGACCCTCTTCCTGGCCTTCCCGAACTTCGCCAGCTTGTTCTTGGCCTTGTAACTGGGATACTTCATGTAGTCGTAAACGATTGGCTGATCTTCCGCCTGAACGGCATCCCTTTTCGCTTCCAAGGCTTCGCTCAGATTTTGTTTAATGGTGGAGATTTTCTTCGATTTGTGGCGCTGCCCAAATGGGTGGTCCATGATCAGGGCGAAATTTAGTTTGATTTGGGTTGAGAGCTATCTAAAAAGTATCAAAATTTCAGTTGACGATTGGAAGAGTCAGAACACAAGTGCCTACTGCTGGTGTGCAATAAACGTTATGTTCACCCATTTGCACGTACAATTTGAGTAAATTTATGCTCCAACCGACGGCTGTAAACAACTACATAAATACCGGAGTGGAACCTATGAACGGAGTGGGGGAACGGCAATAAAAAGTCTGGCCCGAAGTGAAGCATATTTGCAGGCGCCAAAAACAAAAGCCGCAACACAATTGCCCAGTATGTTGGGAGCATGTCGATACTTTATCTTCATGCAAATGGGCATCGCACCCCCCAGAATCCTGCCCGTGGCTAATAAGTACGATAAACGACTCCGCAACACAGGCAAACAAAGGGAGCCGAAGGACAAACAACAGCCAAAACTCGGGACCCGTCGAGCGAATCCTTGCCGTGGGCAATCTTGAGTTATGGCTCAATTCCCGGCCAACGAGAACAAGAGGGAAAGACAATCGTTTACACACATATAAATCGTAATTTATTCGCCACTGGAAAAGTTTCCTTTATTAAATTTTAGTCGAAACACACACACACAACACAAAGCACGCACACACACAAATACGCAGGGATATGCACTCAGGGCATCCTTTTAGCAACTCTCGTAGTTCCCTGGTCATTGCTCCAGTTCATTGGTGGGTCCGTGGGTCAGCTTGGCCTTCAGGGATCCGCAGACCATCATGCATGTGAACAAGGACAGCTCCAGGACACGGCACATGCAGTAGGCCACCAAGTCCACCAGGTGCTCCACGACTCCAAAATACAGACACATTCGTGGGGGTGTTTTTCAATGACTTTTGCGTTTGCCGAATGCAGTTATTTCCTCGCTCAGCTGATTCGCTCCTGACTTTCCAGTTGCACTACAATTTCCTGATGAGTTAAAGCCTCTTATCAATTCTTGGCTTTACCTTCTGACTAAATTCACTGTGTTTATCTTCGGCGAAGGTTTTTCTTCAAATGATAACAGTTTATTGCCTTGCTCCGCTTAAATTCAATCCTGTTGCTGTATCAAAACACGAAGCTCCTTTTCGTCCTCGCCTCGTGTTTCTCTACAAAACCCAACGCGAGCAAAACAATCGCCACGGAGAGAGAAAGTGCAAGAGAGTGGGGAAAAGTATAACAAGGAGATGGGATTCCTACCACAGGCGGTGCATGCGCAAAACAGGTTATTCTTCACTCCATTAAGGTGCCACAGATAAGGAACGAACTCAAGGGATAATGATAGCAGACCAGAATCAAACTCAAGAATTGACCATTAAAATCTTCAATTCTCCTAAAAAAACTAGTTCACCGATAAACCAATAGCTATTTCTTCTTTACTAAATGTAAATGTAAATATAAATCAATAAATTTATTTTAATACAGTAAAAGCCCAAAGCCCATTTTTAGTTTGATAAGATAGTGCTTAATTTATATAAATGTTAAATAAATTGAAAAGCTTAAATGCAAATACAGAATTTAGTTTTTTAATTAAATAAAACTAATGATTTTTAATAAAAGAGGAACTTTAATATTTTGGTAAAATTGTTTTGTATTAAATAAGTTTTTCTTTTTGACTTTTTTAAGTACAAACATCAAAAACGAGGTATGTACTTAAAATTCCATTATGTGATATATTTTTCAAAGCCACTTAATAGTAAGGCATTTATAAAACACTATTTAATAGTTTGATTCGACAACTGGCTAGACGGCAACTGTCGTGTCTGAAAAGGAGACTAGTGCCTTTGCAGGACGAGGGACAACCACTCAGTGGCTTCGACCATATGTTGGTTCCAAGCCGAAGTTGGGTCGGTGCAGCATATGGTCACTAGACGCGAGCCACAATGCAGTTCGCCAGTTCGGGTTAATTGATGGCAGGGCCCATCCAGTACAGTAGCTCATCCCCTCCCTCTCCCACTCGTGTGCCGTTGAGCGTGAAAGTCACAAATTACGGGGAAGAGAGGAGAGGCGAAGATCACATGGCATGATAGCACCAATTTGGCAAGATATGACGCGTGCCCTGCGAGAGCGAGACAGCAATAGCCGAGGTGTAGGCGTTGCGCATGCGAGTGAAAGAGAGGGAGCGAGCGAGATGGGCACACTTCTAACCCCTAAGTGTGTGCCAGGGGGTCAAAGTCACCCCTGCTCCTCGGGGAGATCCTTCGGCAGGGATATGGTAATAGCGAAGGTGAGGATCCTGGGGCCAGGGGTCATTTGCGGGCCGCTTACACAAACTTGGTCAGCACGGCGGTGAAAATATTTGTAGAACACATCTCGCGGGGGTTGAGTGCAACGGTTTGACTCGGGATCGCTTCAGTTGCATCGAAACTTTCAAGCCGCTCGGATCTGCCATGAGCTACTACTATTCGTCGGCCTCCGAGGAGGACGGCAGTTCCCAATATTTGGGTAGTCCCAACTACAACTTAAGCCAGCTGCCCGTTTCTTCACAGGATTACGGGCAGACGGCATTCCTATCCCCGGAGTGGCAGTTCCTGGATGCCACTGCCGGAACACAACCAGAACTCGCTCCTATTTTGGAAAACGTGTGCCATCCCGCTGAGAAGCAGACGAAAAGACGCAGCAACACCTCCATGGGATCGGACGGAAGGAAGAGCAGCCCAGATCAAACCAATCTCAGTCCAACGGTCCAGAAGCGAAGACGTCAGGCGGCAAATGCTCGGGAAAGGAAGCGCATGAATGGCCTAAACGAGGCCTTCGATCGTCTGAGGGAAGTCGTTCCCGCTCCCTCCATCGACCAAAAGTTGTCCAAGTTCGAGACCCTCCAGATGGCCCAGTCCTATATCCTTGCCTTGTGCGATCTTCTGAACAACGGCGATGTGGAGGTGGATGCAGCCGCGTATACAATCTTCGGCGACAGCGAAAGCAACTTCGGGATTGGAGGAGGATCCTTATCATAGATGAATACTGGAAATTACTCTCTGTTACGATTAAGCTATGTGATTTCTTCTTACTTTAGAATAAGCTAAACAAAAAACAAGTGAAGAAAATAAATTGAACTTGAATAAAAATATGAATGTTAAAAAATTTGGAGTCCATGAAAGTGCATTTCTTAATTTTCAGTATGGCTGCATAAATGGTGTTCAATATAAAAGCAACATCGTACGGTGTTTCTAGTGTTCTAGTTTTTGTATTTGTAGTATCATTGACTTTTATAAAAATTTATTTTGCGAACACAAAAGCTCTTAACCAGGCTAAGGCGGAAACGTAGGGCAAAGATGTAACTTTTTCAATCAATAAATGTTTAAAAACCTATCCAAATAAGGAAATGAGCATGACAATTGAAATATTCTAAAAATGACTTGCCCAAAACTAATTATTGCCAAAACGTATGTTGAACAAATAATGCTAATTAACAAGGAAGCTCAGTTAACCCTTACATTTATAACCAACACCCCATTTTTGAGACCCGCTCATTGAAGAACCCTAGATTCAATTGACCATCGGATTGTTGTCCACGCCTCAATGGTTCCGAAAACGAACATAAATTAATTACTAAAAAGTTCATTGATAGGAGCGTGTCAAGTTTTTGGCTACCCCGAAAGATGCCAAAACTGCGTTGCCACCACAGCGGGCGGTGAAGCGGAACGCCCCTCGCCTTTTGGTCTAGAACTCCTCTCATTGAATAAAAGGCAGCTGAGTCCTGCGGCTTCGGTTGGGTGCTGTTCTTTATATCATTCGATGGCCAGGATGGCCGTTAAGTGTGTGTGAGGACATTACAGCTAGGGATTGATCACCGAAGGACATTTCGCTGGGGTTTTGCAGGAGGCTTGGGTGGCGTTGGTATCGCAATGTGGTCCTCGCTTCGAACCGTGATGTGCTGCACCTCCACTTCGTCCTTGCTGAGGGAGTTCTTTGAGGGCCTAAAGTCAGGGACCGGCGGATGCAGGACTATCACCTCGGGCTTGTCGTTGTCGTACAATAAATTTCGAAAGGGATTGTTGGTTAGCAAAAGGGTCCTATTCTCGTCCAGGATCGGAGCGTTAGATTTGTGGGAAGGCCGAAGGACGGGTCTCCTTGGCCGCGAGGATATCGGCCTGGAGAGAAAAGTGCGCCTCATCTTTCGAGGAGGAGGCACCTCATCCCTAACATACTGGTCCTGCTGCAAGATCCTCCTGTGCAGGTGGTCCTTGATGATGCCCAGCGCGGTGCTCGCCAGGATGGGTGGAACTCTGAAGGATCCCAGTACGGAAAGGCCCTCCTCCGGCTGGGATTGCTGGGATAGATGCGGTTGACTGGAGGTCGGCGAACCGACCCAGGACACGTTCTGAAAGCCGGAGCACTGCCGCGGGCAGTGCAGCTGCTTCACAGACCCCTGTCCTGGGCCTGTCCGGTGGCCATCGGGTTCTCCAACCGGCTTCTTCGGCACCACAAGGAGGTAACGTTGGTTGTTACCTTCGTCCTGTAATTTGCAAATAAAATACGCGGCCGAGTTTAGATCAAAAGGCAACTTGCTGTTGGCAGCTGCATTAGTGTCCATATTTCTCTTAGCGGCAATTTGGGAGGGACGTCGTCCATTCGAACAGGATTGTCCTCCAGATCTCGCCGCAGTTCGTCTCTTTGTCGTCTCTCCGGGCTGCGTCTTGGCAGTTCCCGAGTGGCGGAGCGGACTATTTGATCTCGACTGCACCCTAGAGGATTTACCGGTCTTCGGGGCAGAATTCTTCTTGACTGAATGCTTTTGGTTATCACCCGTGGTTCCTTCACGAGTCTTAGCTTTAACATCCTTTGATTCCATAGATACCTTAGTTTCAGCTATCGGAATCTTAGCTTTCTGGAGAGCATCTTCCACTAAAGCGTTAAGAGCCATGCATACAGTACCAGCTTGGTTTCGTTTCTGCGGCACAGTTATCATGGGTTCCACGCACATGCAATTCTCTTCTTCGTCTTTTTGATTGGGGCTCCTCTTTTCGAATTTCGTATTTTCGTATTCATCAGGATCACAGTCGTCGTTTACGTCTTTTCCAGAAGCATCAAGATTTTGTTTGTCTTTCCTGCCTCTATTTGACGAAGAAGCTTCGTCCCTGTTGGCATTTCTGTTATCGTATTCTTCATAATCGTTGTCATAGTAATCACAGTCGCAGTCGTCTCCATCGTTTTCAGTCCCTCTGGTTCTTTCTTGGCCGTCATCTTTGTTTTTGTAAGGGACATTTTTATCGTTTCTGGCCTTTTGATTGTTTTTAATATTTTGCTTGTCTTTTGTTTCATCATCGCTGCACAAACACTCAACTTCTGACTGGTAAACGTCAGTGCCTCTGGTGCGAGAAAACTTCTTTTCCGAATCGTAGTTGCCTTTATTTTGTCTTTCATAACTATTTTTGTTGTCCGACTTAGGATACTCTTTATCATCGATTTCATTATCGTTCGTATTTTGGCTGCCTTTCTTAGATTTTTCATATTCAAGGGTATCTCTCACGGGATTCGTTTTATCGACATCATAGTCTTCGGAGTCACAGTCCTCGCATATACAGTCATCTTCTATGTCTTTATCATTTCCATATGAATTTTCTTGACGATATTCTCGCTGATATCTTTCATTACTATTTCTCAGTGAATTTCTTTCATCCCTTCTCGAATATTTGTTGTGGTTTTCCGTATGCTCTTCATGATATTTATCATACCCACGATTATCATTTCTATATCCTTTGGTTCTATATCCATTTTCATCTGAGTCAAAGTCATCATCGAAAGGTCCATCGTATCTCGCTTTTCCTGAACTTCGGTTTTCCTGTTTAGAAAATGAACCACGTTGATTTCTTGCCCTTTCATTCGCGATTAAATGGTCTTCAAAGGAATTAACATATGGGCACGTGTTATCATTGCAGCCATTATTATTTCTTTGGAAGTTCTGACTCTGAACTGGTTTATTGCCTGAGCTTCTCTTTTCCGCACTATTTCGAGTTGGTCTTTCGGAAAGATCTCTGACTTTTCTAGGTGAGGAATTTGAAAAAGGGCAGGTTTCGTCGTAGCAAAATTCTTCGTTTCGTCTTTTTGACTTGGGAGATTCTTCTTCCGAATTTTTCCTTGGTTTGGTAGCATTTTCCTTTTCCTGAGTTCTTGATCTTGCCTTAGGACTAGGTTTCCGTTCTCTATAGGCATTATCTTCCCGAGAACTTCTATCTCGTCTTTGCGATCTTGGCTTTTCCTCATCCAAATATTCGGGTTTACTGAAAGACGAATCTGATCTCCTCCCGGTTCTGCCTTCCCGTTTTTCAGGTTTAGGTTCCTGTGGCTTGCACTTGGAATACGGGCATTCCTTGGGATCTCGATGATCAAATGCTGGGCAAGGCATGTGTTGGGAATCGTCCGTTTGGAGTTGAAACACTTTTCCAGTTTTTGGGCTTCGCGTAGGACTCTTTCCTTGCTTTGAAGAAGGACGATCTTCGTAGTTGGAAATTTGATTACTATTTACGCTGTCATCGCGGCGAGATTTCCTTTGGAATAAACGCGTCTTATTTTGATTGCGCCTATTTGCAGGACACCATGCATCGTCGCATTTCATCTGACGTGTTCTTTGCGAAGGATTTTCATCATAGTCTTCTCGGTCAGAAGATTGACGGCGCTTTGGTTTCTGATTATTACTCCTTTGTCTTCGAGAATTTTCCCGGCTATCAACTGACTCAATATCGATATCAGACGTTCTGCCATAGCTTTGGTTATTCCATTTTTTTGATCGTTCATTACGCTGATCATCTACTCCCGACTGATAAGCAACCATGGGCGGTACCATGGACATTTGAGCGGGATTTGGAGCCGCAGCCATGGATTGAGCCGGTACCCACATATCCGGACTATTATTATTGATGCAGTAAACAGCTGGTTGAGAAGGATATTCACATCGTGCGCACCCAGTGCAATAATCCACTTCTACATAGGCTTGCCCTTGGATTGGTTGGGGAACTGATTGTGGGTAGTTTGTGGCATTGTGATCGTATTGCTGTGGTTGGTAGTAGTTCGCCTGAGGAGGTGCCCATGAACGAGTGCAGTTAATGCATTGACATCCCTGAACATTACATCGTTGGGGATCCTGGTTCATTTGGCTGTTATTATAGGTTGGCTGGCCGGAATTGTAATAACCTTGATCCACAGCTGGCTGAGTGTTGACTAGTCGCGCTGGATCAATAGGTTTCCCATTATTCCGGGATTTCTTCAATAGCATTACATTTAACTGATCCTCGCCAGATTCCGCCCTTTCATTCCTGCAGCAGCAGCTTTGCTGTTCCTGTTTCGCCAACTGTTCCTGTCTCGCCAACTGTTCTTTGAGTCGATTGCAGATGGCTTCGTTATTCCGTTTCCAACTTTGACATCTGGGCTGCTTTTCACATTCTTCAGGAACTACTTTTCGGTATCTTGGTCGGAATTTCGGGCGGTTTTGACCACACATCCGGGGACCAGGCCAATCATCGTTGGCTATTTCCCTATGGTTGGTGGGCACATCACAGTCCAAGGTCCCCATATCTACGATATCGTCGTTTTGATGAACTCTTGAAGTCCGTTTGTGGCTATTTCGCGATGAACATGGACACGGATCCTGATTTTGATTCCCATTTCCCCTTCGATTGTTTTGAGGAGGATTTTGAAGTCGCGAGGGATCTACATTTCGATTTTGGTTTCCTGTTCGTCTTTGGATGTTTTGGGACTGATCAGGATTTTGTGGTGTACATGGACACTCAACTTGGTGTTGATACCGACTAGTTGCCCTTGGTCGGCTGCCATTGTTTTGCTCCCCCTCCAAGGAAAATATACCTCCTCTATTACCTCTTCCCTCGCTGGGGGCGCAGGCATCCTCACCTTCATCCTCGTTGCATTGGACACAATATTCCGTGGGATACCATCGCTCCGTGCCAGAGGTTGGTCTTTCTGTGAGGATCCTAATAAAGTCTTCATTCGTCGGATTTGTCTGCGGTTCTGGTTCAAGTACCATTTTGTAAAAAGTATACCCGTTCTGGCTTACACTGGAACAGGGACTTAGAGAAACTAATCGAGGTATTAATAAGTTGTAATTGAAGAAAGGGAGAAACCCACCTGCTCGATCGCAGATTGTGGCCTCGGAAAAATTGGGCGGATAACTGGGATTTATGGTGGTACCATCGTCAAGGACAAAAGATTCCCCTAGCAGGCTCTTGACTTGGTCAATGTTTAAATTGGACTACACGGTTAAAGAAAATCAAGGAGGAACTCTTTATTATTCTATACTCTATAATTTCACCACTTACCTCCTGAGTTTCCCTAAAATCCAAGTTAGACAGAAACTGCAGATCCTCGAAATAGGAGTGTCTGGGAACGTAACTATAACCCTTTCGCTGATTTTGACGGATGGTTTCGCATTCCTTGGAATAATAGTTTCGGAGGCCAAGAACCTGTAGCTTTACCTGATCAGGAGTCAAACCGCTTTTCATTCTTCTTGTAATCCTTCGCCAAGCGTCCTCCTTCACAGAAATACTATGGTATCCCGGATCCTGCGGATTCCATAGGCACTCGCTGGTGCGATATAGACGGATGAGCCTTTTCAAGCGCTCCATATTCAAATGCGAGATGATATCCTCGGGCGTCATGTTGCTATTCAGTCCCTTTCACTCCCTTCAAGCTGCTCGGTGATCAATCTACCATAGCGTTGTCCCTTTCTGGCTTGTATTGCAGATACACTGAGGCTTTTTTTGTTTGGCCCCAAACCGATAACTTTTGACATGAAACGGAAAATCCACTACGCACTTTTTATTTAATTTGTTACTGTTTTACCTTGTTTTACATTACAATTTCCTTAAACATCAAATTGTACGCTTTATGCGAAATATTAATCTCTTAATATATTTCGAAATGCAGTACAAGTATATTGCTCTAATTAAATATTTTCATATGCTCAATTTTTTACAGACATTAGAAAAGGCCCTTTAAAACATGAAAAAGTGTATAATCTGGTAACGGAAAGTATTAATTTGCAGGATAAACATTAGTTTTTGTTATGCCAAACACAGCCCTCCCGTTTATTTTAATTATGTGTTCCTTTTTTCTTGTTATGCTTATATTTACAGTCCAACTTTACTAATTTAGACAATATATCTCTTAAAGGGAATACCCCGAGGATTGAACAAGACACCCACGATTACAGGGTACCAAATAACGGTATTTTTACGGATTGACTTAGTAGGTACTTTGCCTAGCTCTTTGGTATTTTGCGTGGCATCCAGCACGGTCACACTTGGCCGAACGGGCAGCGAAAAAAGGCAAATAAAGTTTTTGAGTGCCACAAATTCCGACCCACTGACGTATGAGAGTGCATTTAACGGCCGCACTTAATCATTCCGGGTTTGTGCAAAAAGCGTACGCGGCAACCAGATCAAAATTCGCGGTCTCACGAGACCAAATTGACCATTGCGTCTGGCATAACCACAAAATTTTCACTCTGAACCGCCCGCCCCTTGTCAGTTTTTTTTCGCGAGTGCGACGGAGTCGGAAAACAGCGGAGAATCGGAAAAAGTGGTCACTACGAAGTTGCGGAATTTGTACATCCAGGCAGTACCAGTTACCAGATAGTGCCGGATCGGAGTGCTGTGCAGTGATTCGCGGATTATCCACGTAAACAGCTGCATGCGCAGAGGTCGCGCCCTAAGTATCATAGCATCTCCGCCAGAAAGGACCATTCGTCAACTCTGCCGTGAAAATGTCCGCGGAACGTGAGATTCCCGCCGAGGACAGTATCAAAGTGGTCTGTCGATTCCGACCACTCAACGACAGCGAAGAGAAGGCCGGCTCTAAGTTCGTGGTCAAGTTCCCCAACAATGTAGAGGAGAACTGCATTTCCATAGCGGTAGGTGATCCAGACCTAGATCGATGGTCTTAAACCCCGGCCCAACATACAGGCTCCCCTGATTTTCCCCCTTTGTGTTATGCATTAATCTCTGCGTGCTGTGCCATGACGTCATGCCTATTAGCGTACATTACCCTTCCCCAAAATTGCCGACCAATTGGAACGGCGAAGAAAGAGAGAGGCACTAAAGTTACCCATGAATAATTGCACAAAACAGAAAATCGAAAAAAGATATACATTTTTATATGATGAAACTGAAGAAACTACTCCAAATCAATATTGGTTTGCATTAAATTGATTTTCCGCCGAGCGGAATAGGGTGTGTAAGGCAATGAAAACAAGAGCAAGGGAGAGGAAAGACCACCCACTAGAAGGTTTTTCTTGTGCTAAAAGCGGGTGTTCCATTCTTTTGGGCCGCATAAATATGCGCTTTTCTAGAGTTTCCAGTCCGCCTTCAGTGCTTACCTCACTTACATTTCCACACACAAATACACAAACACGAAGACCGCCTTTCCACTCCCCTTACGCCCCTCTCCCTCTTGCCAACGAAGTGAGTCATGCACGCAAACCATAAAAAAGAAAAACAATAAGAGCAGCACTGGAGGCAATGGAATTTGATTGTATTGCTATTCTTTGACATGAAATGTATGTTATGATTCTCTCAAAATGAGTTTTCCGCTTTTCCACCAGGTGTAATTCGTCATTTTCCTGGTAAAAACTTAGGCAATTGAACCAGTTCCAAAAAAAAGTCAGCACTACACAACGTCCATACACAGACAATATCATTACTCTCTCTCACTCTCTTTCTCCATCTCTCTCCTTCGTGCTGTCTTTCTTCTGCGGCTCGTTATTCACTATTCTTCCCCCCTCCACTCGCTCGCTTCTTAATGCTCATAATTACAATCTGCTTCGCGGCCATGCGTTGAAAATAATTTGAAAAGCAGTCAGCGGGAAAAAGTTGGGGATAGAGGGGGAATCTCCGAAAGAAATTTCACCGCAACTGTCAGTGCCGAATAACTATGTATATACTAAAACAGTCATAATCCCCTCCATCCACAGGGCAAGGTCTATCTGTTCGACAAGGTCTTCAAGCCGAACGCCTCCCAGGAGAAGGTATACAATGAGGCGGCCAAGTCTATCGTTACTGATGTCCTGGCCGGGTACAATGGAACGATATTCGCCTACGGCCAGACGTCCTCCGGAAAGACGCACACGATGGAGGGTGTGATCGGGGATTCCGTGAAACAGGGTATCATACCGCGTATCGTCAACGACATTTTCAACCACATCTACGCCATGGAGGTTAACCTGGAGTTCCACATTAAGGTCTCCTACTACGAGATCTACATGGACAAGATCCGGGATCTGCTGGACGTCTCCAAGGTGAACCTAAGCGTGCACGAGGACAAAAACAGGGTGCCGTATGTCAAGGGCGCCACGGAGCGTTTTGTCTCCTCGCCGGAGGATGTTTTCGAGGTGATCGAGGAGGGCAAATCTAATCGTCACATCGCCGTGACAAGTAAGTTGTAACCAACTATGGTCAGAATAATAGTATTACAAACCGGACCAAAAAGTAATAAAAACTACCATTTTTTGAATTTATGTTTCACAACTTTAATTCAAACTGCTGTAACCATTGGGGCCACTACAAGCATTTTATAGAAGCTCGTTCAATTGTCATTGCTGATTGTTACAAATGCCTACATATGTATGGTGTGACAGCAAAATATTATATTATCACACAAATTGTTGTTTAAATAACTTTCTAAAAATTAATTAATTCAATGTTTTTTGTAAAAAAAATTTATTATTGCATTGACAGTTTTTAAAAGTTTTCAAATTACTTTTAAACACAATTGAAGTTGAAAATCACCTTTGTAAAACCAAAAACATGAAGTGCGGACTTCAGTGCTTTTATTCTGATCACAACTAAATATTTATTCCCTAGATAACTAACTTTTATATCTAATCCATTGTTTTGTTAGACATGAACGAGCACTCTTCGCGATCTCACTCAGTATTCCTCATTAACGTGAAGCAGGAGAATCTGGAGAACCAGAAGAAGCTATCCGGCAAACTTTACCTCGTGGATTTGGCCGGTTCCGAAAAGGTTTCGAAGACTGGAGCCGAGGGCACGGTCCTCGATGAAGCCAAGAACATCAACAAGTCGCTGTCTGCCCTGGGCAACGTAATCTCAGCCCTGGCGGACGGCAACAAAACGCACATCCCTTACCGTGACTCCAAGCTCACGCGTATTCTGCAGGAGTCGCTGGGAGGTAACGCACGCACAACCATCGTCATCTGCTGCTCCCCGGCCAGCTTCAACGAATCGGAGACCAAGTCCACGCTGGACTTCGGTCGACGAGCCAAGACCGTGAAGAATGTGGTCTGCGTGAACGAGGAGCTTACTGCCGAAGAATGGAAGCGACGCTACGAAAAGGAGAAGGAGAAGAACGCTCGGCTTAAGGGCAAGGTGGAGAAGCTGGAGATCGAGCTGGCGCGCTGGAGAGCGGGTGAGACCGTCAAGGCGGAGGAGCAAATCAACATGGAGGATCTCATGGAGGCGAGCACGCCCAATCTGGAAGTCGAGGCGGCACAAACAGCAGCGGCGGAAGCGGCGTTGGCCGCCCAGCGAACTGCCCTCGCCAACATGTCTGCTTCGGTTGCCGCCAACGAGCAGGCCAGATTGGCCACCGAGTGCGAGCGTCTGTACCAACAGCTGGACGACAAGGACGAGGAGATCAACCAGCAGAGCCAGTACGCCGAGCAACTCAAGGAGCAGGTGATGGAGCAGGAGGAGCTCATCGCCAACGCTCGGCGAGAGTATGAGACCCTGCAGTCCGAGATGGCGCGAATCCAACAGGAGAACGAGTCCGCCAAGGAGGAGGTAAAGGAGGTGCTTCAAGCTCTCGAAGAGCTGGCTGTTAACTACGACCAGAAGTCGCAGGAGATCGACAACAAGAACAAGGACATCGATGCTCTCAACGAGGAACTTCAGCAAAAGCAAAGTGTTTTCAGCGCTGCCTCCACGGAGTTGCAGCAACTGAAGGACATGTCTTCGCACCAAAAGAAGCGCATCACCGAAATGCTGACCAATCTGCTGCGCGACCTTGGCGAAGTGGGTCAGGCCATCGCCCCCGGGGATTCTGCCATTGACCTCAAGATGAGTGCTCTAGCTGGCACGGATGCCAGCAAGGTGGAGGAGGACTTCACCATGGCCCGTCTGTACATCAGCAAGATGAAGACGGAGGCAAAGAACATTGCCCAGCGGTGCGCCAACATGGAATCGCAGCAGTCGGACTCCAACAAGAAGATCTCCGAGTACGAAAAGGACCTGGGCGAGTACCGTCTGCTAATTTCGCAGCACGAGGCGCGTATGAAGTCGCTGCAGGAATCGATGCGGGAGGCTGAGAACAAGAAGCGCACCCTGGAGGAGCAGATCGATTCGCTACGCGAAGAGTGCGCCAAACTCAAGGCCGCCGAGCATGTGTCCGCCGTGAACGCCGAGGAGAAACAGCGAGCTGAGGAGCTGCGCTCCATGTTCGACTCGCAGATGGACGAGTTGCGTGAGGCTCATACTCGCCAGGTGTCGGAGCTGCGAGACGAGATCGCCGCCAAGCAGCACGAGATGGACGAGATGAAAGATGTCCACCAGAAACTGCTTCTGGCACACCAACAGATGTCGGTCGACTACGAGAAGGTCCGCCAGGAGGAAGCCGAAAAATCCAGCGAACTGCAAAACATCATCCTTACCAACGAGCGGCGCGAACAGGCCCGCAAGGACCTCAAGGGCCTGGAGGACACGGTCGCCAAGGAGTTGCAGACGTTGCACAACCTGCGGAAGCTTTTCGTTCAAGATCTACAGGTAAGCCTTGAATCATTGATGCTGAAGTTATCTCTATCTAAACTTTATCTTTCTTGTTTTTGAACCAACAGCAACGCATCCGGAAGAACGTGGTGAACGAGGAGAGCGAGGAGGACGGAGGATCTCTCGCCCAGAAGCAGAAGATCTCCTTCCTGGAGAACAACCTCGACCAGCTGACCAAGGTGCACAAGCAGTTGGTGCGGGACAACGCCGACCTGCGATGCGAGCTTCCCAAGCTGGAGAAGCGCCTGCGCACGACCATGGAGCGAGTGAAAGCACTGGAGACGGCGCTCAAGGAGGCCAAGGAGGGCGCCATGCGGGATCGCAAGCGCTACCAGTACGAGGTGGACCGCATCAAGGAAGCGGTGCGACAGAAGCACTTGGGCAGACGCGGCCCACAAGCACAGATCGCCAAGCCGATCCGCGCCGGCCAGGGCGCGATCGCCATCCGCGGTGGCGGCGCCGTCGGCGGAGCAGCGCCGCTGGCCCAGGCTAATGCTGTTAACTCGTAGATCCGATCACCACCCGTCGCCGCCCAGTTCAGCTCCGCTTTAAACTAAACTAAATGGATTACGTTATACATACTTAACATAACTGATAATTGCCTTCGCTTAGAGAGATGTGTCGCGATCATGTGCAGCGCTTTAAATATACATACATATAATTTAATTAAATGAATGAGAGGAAACCGGAAATTAACTAAATTTTACAAACCGAAAATAATAAAACCCACAGATATGTAAGGACATCTATATACGTTAAGAGTATTTATAAACTTTTCAAACATAAACCTAAATAAAAGTCGCAGACAAATTAAGGTCGCTTCGGTTTGATTCTATTTCCAGTTTAAAAAAAAGTATTGATATTTTGGCTACATGGTATTGCTTTGTTGGGGCTACAGTCGCATGTTGTAGCCAGAGCCGCAAATGTTGTGATGCTCCCAATCATCGGGAGAGTTTACCACCTGCCATTCGTACCACACTTTCGTTGCATCCACACAGCGCCAGAACTTAATAGAAACAGTATCTCCTTCCTTAACAGTCCGTGGACGCTAAAAATAAATTTCGAATATAATATGGGTGTCTCTTTAAGACTAAAGCTTATCTTACGGTTGGGAAGAACATGGGGAACCATGAGAACATGCCCGGCGTGTGGGTCAGTGGGTTGATGCTAAGACAAATATCCTTATACAAATGAGTATCGAAATATCCGCCGATCCCGTGCAGCACGCAATCCTTTTTAACTGTGAATGAGAGCACCTTGCAGCGAGTATTGTCTATCTTCTCTTCTCGATTAGGATGCGTAAACTCGAACAAAGCCTGTGGCTCATCAATATAATAGATATTCTTTAGAAGCGATACGTAGCCGTAGTCGAAGGCAGGCACAGTGGATAGCAATTGGCAGACGTTCTGGTGCAGCACCGCTGACATCAGTGGATTAATGTATGAGGTAGATTTGTAGGGTATACTGATACCATCCGGCTTTAGCAGTTTCAGAGCTCCATCGAGGCACTCGGGCGAAAGCTCATTATCACCAAAGGAACCAAGTAACTCGGAAACCATAATGTCAGCCAACTCGGGAGGCGAGAAGTCACGCATGTCCTTGGAGAAAATGTGAACATCTAAAAGATTTAATGGAGATTAGTATTTGGATTAAACAATGCCTTTGTTTTCTTACCCTTGTTGGCCCAGAGGGTTTTAACCATGTTAGAAAGTGTGCGGATGGCATTGGGATTCTTTTCTATGATATATAGACGAACTTGACGGTTAGTCAACTCTGCTGCGTTAAAAACAGCCCTCGCTAAAGGACCACGACCTCCTCCTAGCAACATGACAACTGTCTAAAAAGATTACAAAATAATTTTTAATTCAACATTTGGAAAAAGTTATTTGCTTACCAATTTGCTTTTTGCCTCTTCATCGCTCACTCGATCCAACAATGCCGCCTGAACGGCGTCCTGGTACAGCTTATACTTGACAGGATCCGTTTCAAAAACCTCATAAGTATAACTATCTAGATTATCGCAGAGGGGCTGCAGCGGAATCTCCAGCATGTTCTCATAGCTACACTCGTACAAGATTTGAGTCGAGTTAATTTTTAAAGGAAATGGTATGCCACCCACTTACCTGTTAAGCACGTGAGTGTCGCAGTTCTCGTTGATTAGCTTCTTCAGGTAATCCGCATACTGAGACAAGGCCTTGTCGTTGGGATTCGTGGAGATGATGATGTTGGCCCGCACCGAGATAAAATGCCCAATGATGACCTGCCACTCCTTCTTCAGCACACAGTAGTTGGAGCGATTTCTCACAAATAGAGAAGATGGAATGATTATGGCTTCGATTGGTTCACCAAGCCAACGACGGACTGTCTCCTTGCTGGGTCGATCTGAGTCATTTAGCTCGACAACAACCTTTACTTTGGTGCTCTGCTTAACAGCAAAACGCAGATTGTTCCACCAATTCCATGGGTCATTCGATTCTGCCTGAGCCACTTCCTCCGCGGTGGCATCTTTGCGGTGCTCGAAGGTGGCCAGCTCGGGATTGGTGATAGGCACTTGAATGAACCAGTTGCCTAGAGGGAAGTATTCTTCGAATAAGTTACTACATATTCTGCACATGCATCCAGATCCTTACCCTTCGTTTTAGCCCTTACAATCGCAGCTAGATTCTCGTTTTCCGGCCCGCGTAGTCGCACCATCACACTGCCCATGTTCTGCAGGTGCTCCGCCCAGGCTACATCCCGCAGAAGAACTTCCTTTGCGTGCTGGCGCAGTTTGGCATTCGGAGAGTCCACGTCCACGTCGGAGAGGGTAAATATCACCTTGGAGTTCCAATCGATGGCACTCAGAATTGTTGCCGGATATGTGGGATCCGCCTCGTCCGGTTCGAATGGCACCATGTTGGCGTTGATCGAGGTGGCCACCACATTGTAGTTGTTCGCATAGGCCTTTTCGATCAGCTTGGGAATGCTGCTGACTCCCTCCTGGTGCAGGCAGACGTAATAACTCATTTTAAATCTGCACTCCCCAACTTTAAACAGACCAAAAAATGCGGTGACCGGCGTAAGTGTGACCGTGCTCGGCGAAAATTCAAAAAGACCAAATGGTGTAACCGCAGCGGTAGGGCCGCTTAATCCTGCATTTCAGCCAGTTTTGTTGACAATCTTTGTGTCGTTTGCCAATTTTTGTGTTTTCCCCAATTTACGCGACAAGCAATAGCTTTCGGGACTCTAATAGCATGTAATTGTTGTTGTTCATGGCTAACCGCGATGTATTCTCCAAGATCCTGCCAAATGTTAAATTGGGCACCCGCTACGATGAAGATGGGCGTGAAGTTCAGGTGAGATGAGCTCAGCCTACCGAAAATCGCCGAACTAAATTAATATTTTCTAAAGGTTGAACGTCGCGAGGACTCGGATGCCACTGCCAAGGAGCAGGACACCTTCGACATCTTGGTGGCGGCGGGATATTACCGGGCTCGCATTAAAGGCTTATCCGCTTTCGATAAAGTTGTGGGAGGAATGACCTGGTGCATCGAATGCTGCGACTACGATGTAGATGTGGATCTACTCTTCCACGAGAGCCTCTCTATAGGACAGAAGATGTAGGATATAGCATTGAAGTACTCTGCATAATATACCTTATATTACCTTTGTTTCCAGAGCTCTGGTGGAAAAAATAGTTTCAGTTTTGATCGACATGAAGTGTCCACACAGCCTAGAACCTCATCAAGTACAAGGTTTGGAGTTCCTGGCCATACATCCTGTCATTCAATGGCTGGTTAAGACTTCTGTATGTACTTCATATAGTTTTAATTGTTTGTGATTTAAAAAAAAAAGTTTTTTTATAGGTCGAAAATCGAGCAGAGCGCGGCCAGCGCTTGAAAAGATTTGCCATTGGCCAGTTTCACAATCACTACCAGTACAAAAGCGACAAGGACAATCTCACTAAAATCCGCCTGGCCTCAACACACATCAAGGCCATTCAGGAGCTGTACAGTCCCAAGAGGCTGTACGAACGTCAAGAAGCTCCTGGTGACGATGATCTTTCCCGAGTGCGGCTTACACTTTTAGAGTACGGAGATCCCGGACCAACGTTCAAGAGCAGCGCAGAGAGGAAAGCTGAAAAGGGTCTTGGAGAAACAGCGGAGGTGGGTTTTATTATGATTCATTTAAAAATACTCTTCTAAAAAACTTTCGTTGTTATACCCAGCTCGATTTGGAGGAGTATCTCCGAAGTTTATCCCTCGCAAAAGATGACCTTGCGGGCACTCAGAAACGCATAGATCTCGATCCCACAGCGCGGCAAGAGCTGCAGCAGCACTATGCTGAATTCAAGTTGGAAATGGAAACAGATACCCAGGACCTCAAAGCACAAAATCAGCAGAAACGTCTCGAAGCGGCAAAAATTGCCATGGAACACAAGATAAGGCGCTATTGCAAGGATAACGAAACGCTGAAGGAAGCTGAAAAAGAGCAAAGCCAGAAGACAAAAGACGTGGAGGAGCAGTTGGGTAGCCTAAATGATGAGCTGAAAGCACACAAGGAAACACAAAATAATGCAGATCCTAAGTGGGTTAAAGGTTGTAAAACTTTCATATACATTTTGTAATATAAATTCTTTTTTTAAGACTCCTCGAAAAGGTTCAGAGCTTGCTGCAGCAACATGAAGAACTGAAGAAAAGCGAGGCGGAATTTAAGGAATCTTGTCGCACCGATTTGGCCAACCTACAACAGCAAATCGAGTAAGATTTTAAGTAGAATAGATTTCTATTTGTTGTTATAATTTATTTAATACTTTATATTTCCAGTGACCTGGAAGCATTTAGTGCCCAAGACGCAGAGACCCAAGCTGCAGCCTTGGCTGGCGAGGAGCAACGTCTGAAGGAGCTGCGTCTGCAGCTGGCCAAACGGAACCGCGGAATCGTGGCCATCGAACGGAAGCTGGACGCCATACCCGATCGCACAGAGCTGGCCCAATATCAGCGACGATTCCACGAACTGCACAACGAAATGAGTAGCAAGCACCTGGAAACCAAGCAATATTACACCCTGTACAACACTCTCAACGACAAAAAGCGCTACCTGGAGAAGGAGCTGGCCCTCCTCAACTCCATCTGCGAGGCCTACAACGAGGGCATGATGAGTCCGCACGGCCGCGAGGACTTTATCCGCCAGTTCGAGTCCATTGTGGATGGGGTGAAGAGCGCCCAGGATAAGGTGCGTCACAAGTACAACGAGGAGCGAATGCGGCGCGACGAGCTGAACGAGGAGCTGCAATCGCTGCTGGAACTGCAGCGACAGTACGCTCTGACTGTCAAGCAGCTCACCCGCGAATGCCAGCGGTGCGAGCAGCTGCAGCAGCAGCTCAGGTCAATTAGGAGCAGGACCCAGTCCTAGCCTGTTTTAACTATTGATTAAATAACACGAAACACTCTTAGCGAAATCGTTCAATAAATTATATCGCCCCAACTGTAGAGCAATTATCCAGGAACCCAATCGAACTATGTTATCCAAGGGCTTTCCTCGAGCAAATTGAGTGTGGACATTTGTCAAGCTTAACTTTAACCTTTGGCACATTCGCTTCTCATTTTTCATATTCTCATATATTCGAGTATTTATGGAATTCCTGTCACTGCTGGGTCAGCAGTTTATTTCCATGCAGCAGTTGTTGTGATAAAGCATCCTGCGTGCACCCAGGGAAATTTGCATATTTGCCTTACTGCCAGCTCACTTTATTCCATTCCATTGGTTGCTCTAATTAATATGCGGACCGCTTAGCGGCATGCCGAGCAATCAGAGCCACTTCAGCAGGATCCCCGGACTCCAGGACTGCAGCTGCTGCTTGCGGTTAATTAATGTCCTTGCACCTTAACATTGAATTCAAGCTGGGCCATTGCAATTACATTTTATTGCGTGGCAATCAATTCCATTCAACAAGTGACATTGAGACAGAGGGAAGAAAAAAGAGAAGAACTGTGGCCCACTTCCTGTCTTCAGCCTTCGGCCATTTGGCCAAGATAAATTTCCAGCGTATGACAAATATTTAAAGCGAGGAGACCTCCGGCGAAGGTTAAACCGAAGTCCTTGACAGACATTTCCCAACTAACTTTATGGGAACTCTGCTCCCGGCTGCCATTGTCTCACTCTCTCCCTGTCTTTCTCTATCTCTTTCCCACCAAATCGGCCTTATCGAACTGAAAACACACCCATATAGAACCAGTCAGGCATTCCGCCCATATAAAGTCGGTATAAATATGTGTAAAATGGGTGTTGGGTAGGAAGGTCGGGTTTCCCCGACTCTGGATAAAAGTGAAAGCCAACAAGGGCCCATATCCTCCCGCGTTTCCTCGTTTGTATTTGCTTTGGCATTTGGCCCGTCCAAACACAAAGGCTGGATGGAAATGGGAATGGGATCGAACGGGGATGGATTGGAGATGCGACAAAGGGGGCCGCATACATGAGCCTTGACAAAAGTCAATCAGCATATTTGCTCGATTGGAGGGAGCATGCCAAGCGGATAATCGATTCGCAATGTGTTTGAATAACAAATTACTGGAAATTGTGAATGCGAAAGTCATTGTAGCACAGACCCCGGAGAACAGTCTGAAACGTGGAGTACTTTTCGGCGGAATCCGGGGGATTAAAATGTATGCAGCTGTCAGCGTCGCCGGATTTCGATTTCCAACATCTCCATCCTGACATTCTCGAAATCCCGATGCCACTTGTTGGCCTTTGCCATCTTGTTTGGTGAGTGAACTTCTGGCCCGAACTATTGAACTTTGGGCTCAAACAATGAACTGTCCTTACTATTTGCTCCTTCCAGACGCCTACAGTTAGCAAAACTTATATAGTTTTGAGGTAGTTGAAATTAAAACTTACAAAATACAAACAATATATTATTACAAATATTAATACCTAGTGGAGGTAATCATGTATGTAGGTGTCCGATCATAAAAAAAATTAAATCAATAAAAAAATGAATACTATATCTTTGTTTAAAAATAGCGATGCTATTTTTGATTCTATTGGTGCTATTATGATTTTTGTAACGTACAATATAAAAGTGCGATTTTTATAAAATATAATTTTAAAAGAAAAATCATACAAAACACTACATTCATGATTGCGTTCTTGCAAAGAATGAATAGAAGACTACAGACATAGAATATAGATCCTTGACTTGTTTTGTAAGAAGATAATAAGTTATATTTAGAATTACTGACGCATAAGAATTAGAAGCACAAAGTTTTTTATACCGAACATATATGCCCATTATATTTAAGCAATTTTTTTCATCTTATTATCAATCACACAGTTTTTAGTTACCAAGTTAAGATTTTTTGGTGAGTGTAATAAAACCGAAAGCAATAAACGAAGACATCCACAGATGTTCGAGGAAAACTTTATCCCCATTTCAGAATGAAAAGGAGAAGGCAGCCAATGGGGCAAGCCGACCATATTATGTTCGGGGAAAGTTTAATCTAATTTCTGCGGCATGTGAATAATCGTGCCGAATTAGTTGTGTTCGATTTGGTCAGATGTCAGTGCACCTTTTTTGTCAACAAAGAAAGTTCTCCCCCATGATCCTTCCCCTTCGGGGACAACATGTGTGGCAGACAAGTTTAAATCAAGAGAGAACAAAAAGCGAGCGATACATGCATTAATCAACTTCAGCAAATGAACCAAGTTGGCCCCGGGGCCGAAACCCAAATGGCAGTCCGAGTCTGAGCCGGTGACCCTGACCCCCAGAATCACCCATCCCCGGGCAGCCTCAATTTGTCAATGTGTCAGATGATCAACCGAAACGAGCATTGGAGCATTGATTTAATTAATTTATGTTATCCCTGCGGGCCTGGCAACAGCCGAGTGCCTGGTAACTCTGGCCAGGATGCCAGGCTACCGGGATTTCTAGATGCCTGGATGCCGGGATGCTGGTGTCCTGCAGCTATGCTAAAACGTTCAACAGGTTGCCTGCCAGCTTCCGTGCGCGCAGAGCTTTTCTGTGGGAAAAGCTCACCCGAGCCGAACAGCACTCATGAATGAAAAGCGGGCGGACGACTCGGGTTCGTTCTGCTTCTGCTGCTGCTTCAGCCTCAGTTTCAGTTTCAGTTTCAGCCTCAGTTTGTGGCCTCCGCTTCTGTTTTCTGTTTCCGGAGCTCTCATTGCGCCGCCAACCGGGCAAGCGAACGTACACGGCGCGGATTGCCCGTCGAGAAACCCCAAACACACTCGGCTCGAGATCCCCAGTTGGAGTTTCCCAAGCGCGGTTCTATTCAAACCCAAAAACGGAAGAGGGCCAGCCGTCGTCGCATTTGATTTGAATTTTAATTCAATAAAAAAGTGCACAAAAAAATAGAAATCATAATCATAATAAAAGGATTTCGCAGCAGGCAGCAACAAATGTAAATGCCTGTCATTTCGAATCCTCCACCGTGTCTGTGCTATAGTTGTTGTTGTTGTTGTTGCTATTGTTGTTCTTGTGTGTTGTTTGTGAAGTCGCGAGGCGTAAAAAATATTCAAATTTCATGTTGAAATTACTGCACGCATTTCTAAATAATCCAATGCCAGCACAAGTGTGCAGAAAGTAAGGACCAGGAGACGCCAAAAGGCGACGCCAAGCGTTTGCTAATAGGATTACGCATCACCTCCGCTGCTGACAGAGTCCAGGATTAGCAGGATCCACTGGAGGACATAGCCCAAACAGAACGAGAACAGGTACAGCTGACACCCCCGCGCAACAGGCTCTAATCACAACCATTAAACTAGAGTAGACCACACGGCGTATGCGTGATTTCCCTGGCCATTTCGATATTGATATCGGCCTGCCTAATTGTTAACTACAATCATTGGACGGACACCCACAGGGCGGGCGAATTAATAACGAACTTGGTGCCATATTAATTGGCATCCGCAGCGCGGAGGGAGGGAATTTCCGGGGCAGAGGGGAGGGGGAGGCTTCAAGAGGAGCAGTAAACTCCATAAATATCACATTTTATTAAACAAAGCCCGAATCCATTTGCGTTATTGCCTTTACGTGCACGAATGTTAATTGAAGTCACCTCACCTTTTCAGGACGGTGGCAGATTAACCTGTCTCCCCATCCCCCTGGGACCCCCCTTTCCCCTTCGAAACCCCCCTTTGCACCCACAACACTTATCGCGGCAGCAAAACCACCAAAACAGATTAGATAAGTCGATGGCTGCGGAATGATTAGCGAACAAAGGGGCTCTGCATGTGGATATGTACGCGATTGAGGATGTGGATGTGGAGTGGTGGTGCAGGATGGGAGAGTGAGAGCACTTGTATGCGGCAAATGAATATTCATAATGAGGCGCCAGTTACACATTTCCCGTCGAAGCATGAAAAGCAAATTACGCACAAAATAATCGACATTAGCATATTTTGTGCATCCCGTTCATTAAGTGTTTCTCTGCGCGCGTGTATATCCTGTTTTAAAAATTTCTTTCAACTTGCCTTTCCGTTTTTTTTTTTTTTTTTCGTCTCTATGTGTCCCCTCATCGCTTTGATTGAACTTGAAATTCCCTGTTTCCTATTCCGCTGCCACATGGCGTATACGTGATGCGTCTGAGAGGATTAAATGGCGAATGGCGAATGGCGAACGTAGAGGGTGTTGTTCAGTAAGTGCTAGAATGGGAATGCTATCCACTGTATACTGTACATATTGAATAAACATTTTTTGTGCCCCGACTCTGTGGGAAGTTCTAATTGATCCCCCCAGCTGACAAGCGGAAATGGACAGAGCTTCGAAACGAAATTTGTTTTCAATATGGACATGTGTTTACTTATTTAGGACTCCGGGTCCTTTGTACCCTCGTCCCAGCCACTTGGACAATCATAATCCCCGCTAAGCGAAGCGAGTGTAAACGATTCCATGAGGCATAAACTTCACACGTACCCCCAGTATCGTTTTACTTACCCCCAGGGTGCCACTAAATCATTACAAATAAGACGCATGCCGTACAGTTAAAAAAAATCCATTGAAATCGCCTGCCAATTTAAGGTTTTCTTTATGGAACTTAATGTGTTTTCTATATTAGGAAACATATACATATTTGTTTGTTTATTTTTAGTTTGATATAAAAATAATTCATAGTTCATAAAGTTATTATTTCTACATTTCTGCTTTCCTTTGTTTCGTAGTGTTGATATTTTTTTCTTTTCTTCACCAATATAATTTCGAATCAATTGCTTTGACTTCAGTTAATTTGGTTGTAAAAGTGGGTAATAAATAAAATTCTGTGAGGCTACGCAAATGAAATGGCTATGTTTTTGTACATGTGCAACCCCAGTGGGCCGCATTTATGGCTCGTTAGCAATTGAGTTCGAAGGGGGGGCGCAGATCGGGAGGAGAGGGGATTATGCCAGTATGCCAGAGGCAGAACGAAAAGTTTGTCTAATTTTGAAGTTGCTGCCAGTGCGGTCGTGGTTGCTTTGAGGTCCACGGGTTAATTGCCTAGATATCCCGGTGCAGGACCACTTCCATTCCACTTCCCCTGGCATCTCGATTGGCTTGCAGGACGAAGGAAAGATGCAAACATCTAAAGTGGCTTGCCAGCAGAGCCACATTTTATCAAAGTCAACTCTTATCTGCACGAAAAATGTTTGCAGCTGAAGTTGATAAATGGATTTACTTTGATTTTATAGCTAAAAATCGATGCTGCCCGGGGCAGGGGAAGGTGCCACCGTACGCCACTGTACTCGAGCTATTTGAATCCCTCGCCCAGAATCAAATTCGAGACAATGGACCAACTGGCGGTCAAAGACTCTCGAAGACCCCGCCTCTGATTCATCGAAGGTTGCCAGTTCGCCTGGCCAAAAAACCAAAATTGCACTTAAAATTGAATGCTTGGCTGGAGGAGCGTGCAACCCAAAGATAATCTATGACATAAAATCACGCGACAGTAAACGCTGCTTAATGCCAGACAAAGGGAAAGGACAAAGGATCGACTGTAACTTGTATTTGTATCTTCTGCTGCGAATGTGTGTATGTATCTCCATGCAACTTCTTTGTGGCAGCCACTCGACTGGAAATTACATAAAAAATTCGCATTGGCGCTTCGTTTTTGCGCTCGTTTTGATTATCAGCCATTGCATTTGCATTTGCACTCGCATTCGCATTCGCATTTTCCATTTCCATTTTCGGTGGCAAACCCCCATTCGATTTTTTCCCGTGAGTCACATCTGCATTTCATCTTCAACTGTTGAAATTTCGCCCTTTTGGCAGCTTGTATTTATCATTTGCGCATCATTAGCTCGCGACTAAACGGAATTATTTATTTGCCTTCGCTGGCCAAGTGAGAACTTTCTCCTCTTGAACAGCTGCTGCTGGCTCCAGAATCCCTGGAACTCCTCAATAAACACTAGCTGGATTGCAAAAAGTTCACAGGGATTTGCTGTTTAATTTTCTTTTAGTTCTTCCAAGCGATTTAACTTGAGCCAATTTCTGGGAAAGCCAAGTAGTTTTCCCTAATTGAAAAGCCAGCTTTAGCTACAATTTATAGATGCTGAATTTCAAAGAAGCCACAACTTAAAAAGAATAAAAAAAGGGTTGCAAGTGCAAGACATTTATGATTTGTTTTTTTATTTAAATGCCGTTCCACATTTTTCACACATTTTAACTTTACTTTTGAAATGTTTAAACGATTGTAAGGCACTTTATGAAGTTTTAGGTTTTAATTAGTTTTACAATTTAAAAACAAATTAAAACCACACAATCCTAATTTGTTTATGTTAAACGCGCTTTGTACGTTTTCCTAAAGTTTTCTAGGAAATTTCATAGGTTTCCCTTAAACTTATCCTGGTGCACAATAAATTGGAAGCACTGGTAGTTCCTGAATCGTTTACCATTTGCTTTAAATGCTTTCCTGATTACCTGCGGGTAAAGTTTTATAGGCCAAAGAGTTTGCCCTTGGGAAGCGGAACTTTTCCACATGAGCTGCAGGCAGGATGAATTCCTTGAAAAATTTTCTGTTGCCTATCTCGAGGGGCAATTTAAAAATTTCGTACCGCAGTCTTTCGTTTCGTAAGCCAACAATTTTGCATTTAATTGCTTAATTACTGTAGCAAGGCAGACGTCCCAGAGGCACAACCCCCTCCCCCGACCCCTGACCCCTGACCCTTGTATCCGCCATCTTCCCCTTTCCTCTTTTGGCCACTAAGCGGCTGCCATTTATGTTTACGTCGCTCCAAGTGTTTTATGGCCGTGCAGAAAGGAACATTTATGACTGCTCGGTTCCCCGGAGGTGCAGCCAAAAGGGGCGTTCAACGGAGGGCGTGGCCAGACCACAATTGCCGCCAAGTGGGCGTTTAGGCACTGGGGCCACAAACAACTTAAGTTCTGGTTTGAAGATGAATGCAAAGTTTCACTCGTTCCTTCGTCCCTTTTGCAGACTCCTTGCCCTGGCCCGCTGTTCATCATGGTGATGGGTTCGTGCCTTGCGTAGCTGCATATTCCATCCGCCGTCCAGCCATCTCAGCCCATCTCAGCTATGTGGACCTACATGATGGCTGCCGCCCGTGGAGACCGGGTCAACACGATGATGTCCACCCGGCGCCGCCCCGAAACCGAGTCCCCGAAGTACGGCTACAAGTGAGTAGAAATAGGGATTGGATCTCAAAGAAGGAATGAATGATTTCAGCAGATATGCGACTTAAGCTAACCGATATAGGAATACTATTATTTCAATAAAAAATCTTGTTGAAACATCTCATTACTTATGTACATATCTTGAGAACAGTAAGGCATCAATACCTTTTTAAAAAGTTCAACACATTTAACACAAGTTTATTAAACTAAAGCAACAATACCAGCTAAAACTGAGTTTAAGTATATTAAATTTTTTCTTTGGGTCTTTTCATTGTTTGGCCTGTAAATGATTTATTTATGTCTGTAAATATTTTTAAAATACACAAAGTGTTTCTTAAAATACATATATATCATCAAAAAAAAAACAATTTCAACGCTATTAATTTACCAAAATCAAAATAACTTTATTATTTAGTAACTTAAACAGCCAAATGTCGACTTAGCATATGCAACAATACTGTAGGAGTATTAAAATTCTAAAAAATGTTGATTAGAGTTTTTATGTGATTTCCCCCAAATGTATATATCTATACGGACTTTATGTAATGTGTTCTAATTTTATTCCCCACTCACTCCTTCCCGTTAGCCTCTCCACCCGTCCGATGTACCGCACCACCCGATTCGTGGGCCCCGCCTCCTCGGCGCCCGCCCAACTGCAGCTGCCCTGCGGATCCCATCAGACGACGGGGGGCGTGGCAGCTCCGCCGCTGGAGGAGATTAGCGGCGGTCTGTTCGCACCCTTCGCGCCCACGGCGACGATAACGGTGGAGCAGGCGGCCACCTCGATTCCGATGGCAGTGGATGGCGAGGTGCACCACCTTCACTATCCTCGTCGCAGTTGGCAACGCAAATACCGCCAGGGGAATCACCGACAGGCCGGAGGAGGAGGAGTGGAGGACGATGATGAGGACGACGACGAGGATGATGAGGATGACGAGGACGAGGATGAGTTCGGTGCGGCCGTGGGCGAGGACAACCCGGAGGAGGCAATCGCACGGGCTGACCAGCAGCAGAGGCAGCACCACCAACCGCATCCCAGTGATTCGTGCTACGTGGAAAATGGCAGGAAGCTGATACAGGTGGGTGGATACCATTCGCTTACTTTGGAACAGTTTCCAACACTAAACTATTTAATGCTTGTACTAGTTGGGAATTAATGCGAGCTCCTATTATCAAAAATAGAAACAGAAGGTTATGTAAATGTTGCATTAGGTTTATTTCTTGAAGGTTTTTTTTAGAAATAACTAAATCATAAATTAATTATTTCAAGTCGGGAATTATGGGAAGCTCTATTATTAAAAATAGAAAAAATAGAGGGTAATGTTACTTTTGCACTAAGTTTATTTCTAAAAGTCATCTTCAGAGATACCCTCACTGTAAATTGCTTGGTTGGGAGTTAATGCAAGCTTTATTATTAAAACTAAACCAATCGAGAGTACTGAAAATGGTGCGCTCAAAATTAAAGAAGGAGTTTCAATAAACTTAAGAAAAAACAAAATTCGTGTTTTTAACATTTTTCTGGCATATTATATTCAAATTTGGAATTTTTCTTTTCGAAGTGAATATTTAGAATCCTGTATTAATGGTGTTTTTAACCATTGCAAATGTTAAAAAGTAATTATTATTGGTTAATTATATAAAACATTAGGATATAGCATTTTGTGGGCCTATGCTAGGAAACTTTGTGTCTTAAAAGAAGACATTAAGCTAATATCCTATATCTAATCTGTCAGCTTTAAAGCCTTTTCAAAGCACTTGTTGCTTTTGCAGTAAGGGAAAGCATATAGTATGTCAGAGATTCTTATACCATCTGCAAGTATTTATTAAGAGCGATCTCTTAAGTCAGATGACTAAACTATAAGATACATATTTTTAATACACAGATACACAGTTTTAAGATATGGTATCAGATCTATGTGAAGGAGGTACGAAATAGTCAATGTTCCCCCACGGAAACGGTATAGGGAACACGATCATCAGGAGACAGGCCACAGCTAGCAAGTAAATCTTCATTTTGGATTCCATGGCCACGTTGTAGAAGAACGTCCCTTATATAGTTTTAAAGTTCTGGAATCTATTAAAGCATGACTAAAGTTTAAATATAAATGAGGAACTAATGTGAATTACACCAGGAGATTGGCGGAAATAATTTCCTTTGCGTTTAAATAAATATTTTCAAAGTGTGTAAATTTGCTATTGCAGTAAGGGAATGTATATGTCGGAGGTTCTTATACCATCTGCAAGATTATAATATCTTTATTAAGAGGGATCGCTACAATCGACTATCTGAACATTTTTTGTTTAAAGAGTTAAAGTTCGAGTTCGATAACTAAGAGTTAAGTGAAGTAATTACACCAGGAGATTGGCGGAAATAATTTCTTTTGCATTTAAATGAATATTTTTTAAAGTGCGCAAATCAATTGCATGCGTGGCCAATGTGGCGTATTCGCAATGTGATAGCGATTGCAGATAAGTGGACACTGATAAACGATACCCAATAATCCGCATCCAATAACTGATAGATAATGCTCTAGCAACGGCAACGGCGCTTTTATTCGATTCTGTCCCTGGCCACAATTCAATTATGTGGAAATGAAATGAAGTAATTGCTCTAATTGATTGACGCCTCGCCCTCAGGAGGCGGAATTGGCCCAGTTTTCCGAGCTGCGGGCCACGGAGCTCCCCATTGTCTGCATAACTCCCCGCGGGACTCGCCATTCCATTCCAGACTAATGCAAATGAACCGCACCGAGCAGACCTTCATAAACTTGACCTTGCCGTAAATCGCGTTTTAATTACTTCCTCTATTGTCACGTAGCCGAGGCATCGCCCCAAGTCGTCTGCTAAAAACCCTTGGGCCCCCAGTTGAATGCCATTTTTGGCTACCCGCAGAAATTTTTATTAGCACGTGTCAATCGACTTAAAACACTGAAAAAAGACAAGCCAAAAAGGCAATGGGTGGCCTAAATGGGGGGAGGAGGTTTTGAGTTTGTGCTAAAAACGTTTTCTGATATTCCAACAAAGAAAATGCGATAACAGAGTTGAAGGTGAAAAGAGTTTAAACAGATGCGTTGATGGAGATACCAACCTTAAGTTTAGCTAAGTTCATTGGTTTTTAAATTGGGTTGTTTCCTTTTTTTACAAACTTTACGGATTAAAATTATATCAAAATTAAATATTCATTTGAAATATACTTATTTATCTATTATATTTTCCCATTTGATTAAATTTAAAGTATTATTACTGAATTGCAAAAGTTTTCCAGCACTAAACTAACTGATAAAAGTATTTGAAATGCATATAAATACATATAAAAATAATTTAGTTCAAATACATTTTATACTGTTTTATGCAAATTCGTAAAAGGCATTTCCATTATCTAACTTCTAGGAAATATTGAAGATTAAATTATTCAATTTAAAGAACTTACACTAAAGTGAAGAAGTTTTCAAGCATAAAAATAAACTGATAAAAGCCTGTCAAATGCAAATGCATAAAATACTGAAGTCTCTAATTTAGTTAAAATATATTTTGTACACTGTTATGCAAATTCGTGATAGGCATTTACATTTTCTAATTTGAAATGCAAAACTACTGGGAAAACAGGCACTTCTGCTGGTTTCCTTCGACTTCCGTATCTTTAATCTCCGAGTTGCCGCATCTCGCCTTTCGAATCAACTCGCTTAACTGTGCTGCATTTTCGTTTCCTCTGCAGTCATCATCGGCAAGTTGGAGATCTCTCATGTCCTGTCCAGGATAATTGCATTACTTAGGTTTCCTTATAAAAAAGCGAAGGAAACCAGACTTCTTCCGACCCGCAGGGCTATAAATAAGTGAGTGCGTATTTCGGTCGAGGGAGTTGGGAGCTAAGCTGGCAGGAGGAGGGACTCCATCGACAGTTGGCCAGCTGGAGGATACAGCAGGATACTCCGGGACCCTGGGGGAAGTGGAGGTGGAGGGGAAGCGGTGCCAAGGGCGACAACCAATTTGATAGATAAGAGCGTCGAGTTCCTTTCGCCTCCGCTCAAAGTGAATGTGAATGAAACAGAGGGCAAAAAAAACAGCAGCAACACAAACTGTTTCAATGTCATTTCATAAATGGCAAAAGCAATACCACTACCAATACCAATGCCAAAAGAAAAACGCAATGAAATAAATACAAATGAAAAGCCCTCAAAGCCCCACCACCTTTGTGTCCCCGCTTCCCGGACTTTTCCACTTTCATTTCCACTTTCATGCCCGCATATCGTTGTGGTTGTCGACCAAATATTGGCTTGGTCGCTTGTTGTTAATGCTTTTGAGGTGTGTTCCGAGTGTTTGTCCAGCAAAGGCACCAGAAGCAGCAGCAGAATCATCAGCAGTAGCAGCAGCACAAAAAACAACAGAAACAGGCGGAGAAAAGCTAAGGAAACCCCAAACTGCTGGCATTGTGGTTATATAAACGTCCATTACTCAAAATTGGGCATGGAAAGGGGAACTTTATAGAATTGGCATTGAAAATATGACAAGTCTCGTGCCAATCCAAAATAGTTGCAAGTCCTCGAGTTGAACAGCCTCGACAACAGCGATGTGTATCCTTGTCAGCTGGTCCGTACAGTCATTCAGTCATCCAGTCATGCCATTAAACCGATTAATGAACTCTATTTGCCTGGCCGTACCTGCGTACGTCCACTGAGAGAAAATGATTTACATTTTTTCAATCAAAAACATATAACCAAAAAAGAAATATTGTTTAAGAGGGGAGAAATGTTTAAGGAGAAATAGTTTTTCTAAATGCCACAATTTAAACAGAATGAATTAGATTTATTGTTTTAATAAATTTTAAAAATACCACTGTTCCCAGTAAAATATAATGTGTTTGGTAAAATTCTTCAAATTTGACTTCGAAATAAGTAAATGTATTTTTTTGATATTATGGGTCTAGATAGAGAACTGTTTGTTCTTATTTTAAAATGGTTTTGACGTTTCCACAGTTTTTAGTTATAATATTAAAGTTCAAATAACCGTTTTTAAATTATAAACATTTTTATTATAATATTATTGGTATTAGTTGATATTTTTCCTTCGAGTTTCCCCAATTGTGTGCTAGTTTTCTGCCAGTGTCAATGTTGGCTCGATTGTCTTTGCCGTAATGTAGTTGTTGCTGTGCAATTTGAGAGGGCGGCAGGACACTCAACGCGATGATGATGGTCATCGCGGGGATGGGGAGAAGACGGAGAAAGTGAAAGAGGAAGAGGGAGAGGGAGTGGGAGGGGGAGAGGGACGGCGGACGGCGGACGGCGGAGAAAGGAGCGAGAGCAAACAGCGAAAGTGCGGTCTGTCTGCGGACATTCCGCTTAGTCAAATTTTTTGCGCCATCGACAGTTTCGAAAAAGCGCGTTCGCAGGCGGCAGCTTAACTCGCAGGCAGTAACTTCGCAATAAATAAAATTACTAAAAACAAAAGACAGAAACAATGCTGAACTCGTCAACTAATGCGTTCGGTAAACAATCGAAAACAAGGCTTAAAAATTGAAGCGGCAATAACAAAAAAAAAAAACAGTGGCAGCAGCAAAACAGCGACAATGGGATTTCCATCTTGATGAGGGTCTCTCCGAATCCATTGTAACTTTTATAAGGAAAAACACAACAATCAGGATATCGGATAATGGGGGGTTATTCCAAAAGCAAGGGGAGAGCTGGCGGACATTAGTCAGTTTATTAAACGGACCTTGTTATCGTTTAGTCTTTGGCTTGTTGCCCGCCCGCCGATAAGCATCCGGCTTTTGGTCATCCAATCTGCGTAGCAATTTGCATAATTTCCCACGTTCCCATCGAAATCACAATCAGTATAAATAATCATTCAGCTCGATAGTTGTATCAATAACAGACAAGTGATAAAGTGTACAGGTTTCAAAAAACAAAGGGGTTAAAGTTAACCCTTTGAATCCATCAAGTGATAAGATACCAAATAGCTGTTATTCATCCCATCATGTATGGAATTTCAATCCTTTCCCCAACTACCTAGCTTTGGCTTTAGTTTATCAAACATCACTTTATTCAAGAAACGCTGATGGGAAAATAAAGAGGTTAATTGCTTCAATCCATCAAGTAATGCGATATCAAAAAGCTTTCGTATTTCTCACATTGATGGGAAACATTTAAGAGTTAACTAATGGAGTTTATCGGCATAAGTTTTTGGATAAATTTAATATAATAATATTTTAAATCATCAAATGAAATGCTAAGAGTTCTGTCATTAGCATCCTTCTATATTTGAAGCATAAGTTAACAATTTGTAGTCCTTAAAGTGATAAGCCATCAAAAAGCTGTTACTAACCTCCTTCGGTATCAAATTCCCATCAAAAATACCTCCTACTTTTCCCTTAACCAACTTCAGTTCACAAGTCCCTTAGTTTGATTTCCTTAATTACGGGTCAGCTATTTGGTCTTTTTAACTCGATTTTTATGGTGTAACGCCTTGGCTTAGTCATGTTTTTATGGGCTGAGCGTAAAATGCTCACGCATGCCATAAACGCCGATATGAAAACGTTTGATTTGCTTAGCATAAAGTTACCTGGCAGGTGTAAAAAAGGGGGAGGGGAGGGGAAGGGGGGTGATTTCGGCCTAACGGACTCACAATTATGGAAATTTATTGTGAGTTCCACGCCGCCTGTGCGATGTGAATGCCAATCAGGGCGGCGGTCCGATGATAATGCCAATTGGCTGGTTCGCTGGGTCAGTGTTTCGGTTTCGATGCCAGCTTCAAATACGGTCGAAAGTAAAATAAATAAACCAAAAACCGAAAACCGCTCGAATTTTGCGCACAACCTTGCAATTGGCAAATTACTGGCCGTTGATGATGAGCTCATTGGAAATCAAAATTATCGGCTGGCAGGAAAACTGATCTAACGCACCGGCTATCCGTCAAATTAATTGCAATTAATTTATGCACAAGCGGCTCGGCATTAACCCCTGACTGCCCGCGCTCGAAAACGCTGCCTTTTAAGCCTAATTGAAGTCCAGTTGGTCAGGCCAATTAAAAAGCATTTAGACTAAAACGACAAGCACCGGCCGGCATCATCAATCTTGTCGATTTAGTTGCCACCAACTGGAAGTTTCCTTTGGACGGCGAAGGACCAAACTCACTGGAGACTTCGTCCGCCGGCGGTGCAAGTTAATTAATTAAAACGCGGCAGCGCGATGAGTGCCGATGCAAATTAAGAAAATTGCAAAACAGCATTCCGAATTGACAACCGCAGCTAGCAAACAAGCCACTTGCGTTTTACTATTGTGCGGTACAGTCGAACTTTTGTGGCCCGAACTTTCGAAATGAATTTCTTTAGATGGTAAACAAATACACTTTGTGGAATTCAGTATAAGAAATGTGTATTCTAAAAAAAACTTTTTTTTTAAGTAGTTTTAATTATAAAATATAGAGCCTAAATTTAAATTTTAAAGTTCTCATGAATTCGCGAACAGTCCATAATGTTCCCAATATTAAGTTCAGTTCGTGTTACGGAAGTTCTACTGTGGTTTATTGTGTATGGAAGTCGTGGTTTGGTCAGTGGCGACTGCGCTGTCGGCGTCGCTGCATCGCCTTGGCCAAGTCAAGTGTTTTGGCGGCAGTTATCAGTGTGAACAGTTTGAAAAGTCCGCCCGACGCAACGAAGCGCATGCGCGCAGCTGCTGCCCAAAAAAACTAACCGTTATTGCCGCCGTTATTGTTATTGCCGCAGGCCAAAATCGGAAGTTCTAAAGTGGAAGTGAAAGGGAAGATTCCCCTTTGGAGGAGACAAAAGCGAGAGAGAGACAGAGGGAGGGAGAGAGAGGGAGGCAACACCCGATTTGTATGCGACATTTCAAAGTCAAAACCATGGTGCAGTCACTGGATATATCCGCCATAACGGGACAGCAAACAGATGCGGTAAATCCACCTACACACACGCACATACTCACACATGCACAATGTACGTGGCCTTCGAACCTACTTACACACACACTCACAAAAACACACACACATACGCAGTGGGGGGCGTGGCATTGCATTGTCATTTGCCATTTCCCATTGCCCGCCCAACGAGGCGTATGCGTCATATTTTCAGCGCTTTCCTCCCGCTTTTCCATTTTTTCTCGAACTAAAGATGGCTTAATGGATTAACCGCTGCCGGCGGCTGATAAGCGTTTATTAGACTGTCAAGCACACGCCTTTAATGCCCGGGAAAAGGGTGGCAAGCGGGAGCAAAAAAGATTTTACATGAGTTTGTCTAGTTGGGCTCCTGGGAAACAAACACAATAACAATGTTGTGTCCTTCAATGCTATTTTTTTAAATTATTTTTTAGTGCTTAGAGAGCTCAGAGCTCGTTCAATATTTTTCAACCTAATGACAACGACAAATAACGCTTCAGGAAAAATTTACATTTATTCTTCTAAAGCTAAAAATTGTAAATATATTTTAGTATATTAAAAAGGATTTTGCAATAATATTAAAAATATTTATCTATTTCATTACGCTTTAAAAAAATACATTAAAACACGCTATGTTTTAAGAATCCATTCATATTTATTATCCTTTTTTCGAAAGCTGGAATTTATGAAAATATATTCACGCTTACCTAGCAATTTTGAGATAAATGAAAAGATCGTCGATTTCCCTTTGTTCGAAGCTATATAAATTACTAACACAAGACAAATTCTCCTTATAAATCTGACGATTAACTAAAATTTTACTTCACCACCTATTTCTTTTCATTATTTTTTTTTATGCAATACTTTGTTAAATCCTTTTTATGCAGCTAGTGCTTGAAATCTGTACTTTATTAGTGTCGCAGTTGGCTTTAAGTTGCTAGCCTTAAAACCGTCTAGCAATTGGCCGCGTCATTTCGCTGGCAGACATAACAAATGTAAGCACCAAACTTGGATGCTGACCAACTTTTAATGTGGCTAGAAGGGGAAACCAGAAAAAGGAGATACCCATAACCCGAGCACTAAAACGCTTCAATTAGTGAACGCTTGGGGAAACTTTCCCCTTAACTTATGTCGGAATGTTGCACACCTAACCCACATTCCTTTACACATAAAAAAGTTTAAGATAATAAAAACATATCAAATCAACATTTATTTAACAAACAATACATTAAATTAAGCTGTACTAAGTTTTCAAAAAAAAAAATGAATACGGTTAACAGGTTTTTAAAATCAAAAATGGAAATTTCTTGAATAAATCTCACAAATCGTATAATATTTACAATGATGTTTAATAAATTTTTTTCTGTGCAGGAACCGAGTAAACGGAGTAAACCATCGGCTTTAAGACGCACTTTGCAAGCACTGCGTCAGCGTCTCACTAAAAGGAATCGCCCCAAACCGCCGGACTGGTTCCTCGAGAAGTTCTCCAATACAACGAACACGGACAAAATCGGCAAGGGTTGTCCCACGATGGAGGATGCGGCCCTCTCCAGCGAAATCCGCGGCTCCAGTGTCCTGTGCAACCGACTTTCGGTGGATCCCACTCTGCAGTCGCATTACAGGGTGAGTGAACCTCTATCGAAATCAAAACTTGATACTCTTCCTCTGATTGAATCGATGACCTGTAACTTTCCGTTAATAAGGCATTATCAATATAATCGAGCGTATGACCATTACATAAATTAATAAGCCACCGTTTATCCTACTAATATATTCTAGGTTATTTTAATTTTAAACCACAATTTATTAAAGAGTAAGCATTTGGACTCTGAAAAAAATTTAAAAAAACATTATGTTAGAGGATTCTTATCAACTGAAACCTCCTTTCCCCATTAAGGCTCCTATTTTGCCTTTGGTTTGCCTTCTTTTATTGTTAATGGATTGACACGTGCTAATCCTATTTCTGTGGGTAGTTACAAAATTCGATTTATTGGGTATTGTTTATCAGTAGTCATTTATCTGCAGTCGCTGTAAAAACACGTATACGCCACGTTTGCGCACTTTAAAAAACTTTTTTAAATACAATAGAAATTATTTCCGCAAATCTCCTATGGTAATTCACATTAGATCCTCATTTTCTTGGGAATTGTTGGTTCCTCCTTCTTTGTTGGGAAACATAAAAAATTTCGGTAAACGTCCTTCACGAAACTCTTAGATATCGTACTATTTTAAAACTGTACATTATTAAAAATGTTTATCTTATAGTCTAGTCATAGACTAAAGCGATCCCTCTTAATAAACACTTGCAGATGTATAAGAATTTACACACTTTGAAAATATTTATTTAACGCAAGGAAATTATTTCCGCCAATCTCATGGTGTAAATCACATTAGTTCTTCATTTATATATACAACTTTAGGCATGCTTTAATAGATTCCAGAACTTTAAAACTACATATAAAAGGATCGTTCTTCTAGAACGTGGTGGTTAAAATCAACATGAAGAATTACTTGGGAACTGTGGCCTGTCTCCTCATGATCGTGTTGATTCTTCCCGCTAAGTGGAAACAAGAAATAAAAAATATATTTCCTAAACATTCTTAACTCATAGTTATCGTACTCTTTTTAAAGTCAAGATTACAAGATGTAGAAGATTAAATATGTTTAGTCTAGTTCCTGTTAAGTGAAAAGAAAAAATTAATAAAGTACTTCCTAAAGCTCCTAACTCTTAGTTATCGGACTCTTTTAAAACTCTTTAAAGCTGAACAAGATTAAAAATGTCTGGTATTAGAGTCTTCGAAATAGGTGGTTTTAAAGATTTTTAAATAAAAATCAAATTTCAAAACGACGAGTGCAGCTGCCATTGAATTCATAAGCTTAAGTTTGTGAAAATCACACAATAGAAAACCAACTTCTGTTTTGAAAAATTTAAAGAAAAAACAAGAAAGAATAATTAATAGCGACCATTTAAGTAGGAATAGCAAATAACAAAATGCCTTCTTTTCCGGCACAAAGCTTCCTACTAGAAACCTACTACAGTATTTATATTTTAGGGATTTCAAAAGTTTGTTGTTCTTCTAAAAGCACAATGGTTAGGATGTAAATTTTGAAACTAACAAAATGGAAAACCAATGAACGATTTTTAATGATATAATCGCCATTAGTTCCGTCAGTATAATTTTTTTAGATATGCTCGATCCAGAATCTCAGCTATATAAGCACCACTAGAATACAAATCACTAAACCAAAACGCTCTACAATTAGAATTACAATTTTTGCCAGAATCCATCAGAAATATTATATATATATAGGTACATTTAGTTTTTAAACACCAACGTAGTAGAGAAATTGTTTAAGAACCTAAGTTCCGATCCGTTACTATTCAGATGCGTAAAACTTATAAAAAGTCTGCTTAAAAAGTTCCATAAAGTAAGCAACACTATATTTATGTTAGACGTCGGATAAAAAGCGACCTTGAATTTGCTAATTTTTGTAATTTTTTCACTATCTAGAAGAAATGTCTCGATTTAAATATTTCGTTGCACTTCGCGGTTGATTTGTAGGATTACGAGTATCTTGACTAACCATCGTATTCTGAATATTTCATTGCAGTGGCTGGCGATTGTTTCGCTGGCGGTGCTGTACAACATCATCTTCGTTGTGGGAAGAGCTGTCTTCTGGGAGATCAACAAGAGTGCTCCGGCCGTTTGGTACACCCTGGACTACCTGTGCGACTTCATCTATCTGATGGACACGCTCGTCCACATGCACGAGGGTGAGTCAGTGACACGACCCACAGAATCCTGTTCCCTACTCCCCGCATCCCTTTACTCGTTTTGAGGGCTTTAGATTTGAGATTTACCTATGCAAATGAGACCCGCTCTAAGCCGCCTTCAGACAATGGCAAGCGATGCTGTCGGCAAAAGCCATTTGGCACGCATGCGAGTCCCATTTCACTCCGTGAATCCACACACCCACACACAGTCACTCACACACACTTGTACGATGCGATGCCATGCGATTCCATGCGATGCGAGTCCTGTGAGCTCCGGATTGTGGGTGTGGTTGAGTTGCCAAATGCAGGGGATAAGCCAACCTTGACATTTTGTACAATAGCAACAAAGGTTCTAATACCGCTTAGTTACGCTGGAGAACGGTATTACTCATTTTAAGATGGGGAAAGTGACAGGATGAAGATAATTTAAAGATTAGTTTTTCTATATTGTTGTGTATTGGGTTGAGGGAAAGGATCTAGATATCTTAAAACTTTTGAAACTTAACCAAAACAACTTGAGAGAACTAAAATCAATAAAAATAATTTACAATTTAATCACAACATTAAATGTTAAATACAACATCGAAATATTAGCATATCTTAAGACTTTTCCCTTCTAAAACAAATGTTATAAGAATAAAATGTGGGACAAAAAATAACAGTATTTATTAGTTAAATATGAAGGTAAAACTTGCATTCTCTTAATATTAAATGTAACGAAAATGATTGAACAAATATATGAATCTTATTCATAAATTTGTTAATGAGTGTTGATGAAGACTTGAGGATTATTTTTTTTCTGCACCGTAATTCAATTTAAACTTAATAATCAATATAGGAAATACCCTTTGCGAACTATTATCCCAGGGTAATCCTGTACTATGAATGCCATCAGAACGCTTAAAATGCAAAAAACTACAAAAAACTGTCGCCGCAGGCAAAAGGCACGACTGAGACAAAGGCAGAGTCACCGCCTGGGCCAAATCTCTAGGCCACCGAAACTAATCCCATTCTTCTTTGCCTCCTGGCTTCCTCCATCCCCGTTAGGATTCCTGGACCAGGGGCTCCTCGTGCGGGATGCCTTCCGGCTGAGGCGGCACTACTTCCACACGAAGGGCTGGTATCTGGACGTGCTCTCGATGCTGCCCACCGATCTGGCCTACATCTGGTGGCCACCGGAGACGTGCTCCAGCCTGTACCTTCCCTGCCCGGTGATAGTGCGTCTGAACCGGCTGCTCCGGATCAACCGGCTGTGGGAGTGGTTCGACCGAACGGAAACGGCCACCGGGTATCCGAACGCCTTCCGCATCTGCAAGGTGGTGCTGGCCATCCTGGTGCTGATCCACTGGAACGCCTGCATGTACTTTGCCATCAGCTACGAGATCGGCTTCAGCTCGGACTCGTGGGTCTACAATCTCAATGGGACGAGGAACAACACGCTGCAGAGGCAGTACATCTATAGCTTTTACTGGTCCACGCTGACACTGACCACCATTGGCGAGACTCCGACGCCGGAGAACGATGTGGAGTATCTGTTCGTGGTGGCCGACTTCCTGGCCGGCGTCCTCATCTTCGCCACCATTGTGGGTGAGTAGGTCATCCCATGAAAGGTCGACACCCGGCAAAATCCCTTTTGGGGTCCTCTGTTTGCGCTTGTTTACGCAAATATTTCGTCTGATCGTTTAATTGGTTCCAGAGTGACATCTGTGACATCAATGGGTATTAATTTACAGCCACGCACGTCAGGGTCCCACACGTACACCCTGCCACGCCCCCTTAACGCCCCCTTACCGCCCAACGACCCACATTATTCATTACGCCTTCAGTCTATTCCATTCTGTTCAGTTGAGTTTGGGACGACTGTCCTATTCGGTTCCATGCCATTTTGCTTTTTGTTTTGCCGGGTTGATTTGTTGCCGTCGCAGCCCCAATTCCCCACTTCCCCCTTTCCCCGCCATCCCCTCCCTCTTCCCCTCATCGTTTTTTTGGCAAACGTGCCTTTTTATCATTTTTGTCGTCCTCCTTATCGCTGCCATTACCGTCCCCAAATGGGTGGCATGTACAAGGAGGCGGAGGAGGAGGAGGAGGCGCATTCCCGCCTCTCCACCAGCTGCCAGGCTCCCCAGATCCCCACATTCCGCAGCCGCATCCTCATACTCATCCTCATCCTCATTCTCAGCCTCGACCCCGCTGTGCAAACAAATTTACTTACTGTGATGAATGCCGAGTTCGTTTGGACAGGACAATTTGACGGGCACACTCGAAAAAATGCAGGAACAAGCATTAGGAATTCATCAGGAAATTGATAAGATGAAATGCTGATTATGCTCTTAGGAATGCATGAAAATGATTTCTACTGCATGGCATTCCATAAAGTCAACATTAAAGTCTACTTTTGAGAAATTAATAACAGAAAGTTCGACACAAAATTTAGTGATGCTTATAATATAGTAGAGATGCATAATAAGTATTTATTACAAGCTAACTTCGAAGAAAACTACTGAGTTTGAATATCTACTTCTGATTTTCATTTAAAATTAAAGCAATAATTTACAAAGTAGCTCAAAGATATTTAAAACCTTTGTTGAAATTGCAATAGGTACTCTATTTTAAGAGTTCCCAAAAGATGAAAATATAAATTAGGGTATACAAAGTTGACTAAATTCATTAGATTTGTTTTTCCAAAATTGCGTTTAAAGTAAAGCAGTTTAAATTAAACACTTGTGCTTAAACATCTTCCTTATGTTGCCATGCCAAAGATTTGTGGTGAAGATAAATATGGACTGCTTATTAAGTACTTGATGTCTGCAAAGTTGGGTTTCATTTTCCCCGAACTGAAAAGCCGGCACGGGAACCACAACTTTGGGATCTATTATATATTTCGCTGAGTGGCTCGAGGCATCTCCGCCGCTTCTCCTGCTCCATGGATGTAGATTTCGACGTGGATGTGTGTGAGTTTGACTCCGGCAGCGGAAGTGCCGCCATTAGTCGCCTTTGTGCCACGCCATCCGCACGCCGGAATCCATGAGTGGCATGGAACACAGCCGCCTTCTGCCTCGGTTTCGTTTTCATTGTGTGCCACCCGCCGAGTGGGTGGCGAACCGGTTATGAAATGGCCAAGATGAATTGCCGCCGCCCGGGTCGTTCATTAACCAAGATTTCCCTGCTCTCCCCACCTCCGCCTGCAGGTAACATTGGCTCCATGATCTCCAACATGAATGTGGCGCGCGTGGAGTTCCAGAATCGCATGGACGGGGTCAAGCAGTACATGGCCTTCCGGCGAGTGGGTCACGAGCTGGAGGCCCGGGTGATCCGGTGGTTCGCCTACACCTGGTCGCAAAGTGGCGCTCTGGACGAGGAGCGGGTGCTGGCTGCTCTGCCGGACAAGCTGAAGGCGGAGATCGCCATCCAGGTGCACATGGACACCCTGAAGCAGGTGCGCATCTTCCACGACACGGAACCGGGACTCCTGGAGGCACTCGTCCTCAAACTCAAGCTGCAGGTCTTCAGTCCGGGAGATTACATTTGCCGGAAGGGCGACGTCGGCAAGGAGATGTACATCGTGAAGCGGGGCAAGCTCTCCGTCGTCGGAGACGATGGCATCACCGTGCTGGCCACTTTGGGAGCCGGTTCCGTTTTCGGAGAGGTCTCCGTCCTGGAGATTGCGGGAAATCGAACTGGGAACAGGCGCACGGCCAACGTGAGGTCCTTGGGCTACTCGGACCTCTTCTGCCTGGCGAAAAGGGATCTCTGGGAGACACTGTCGGACTATCCGGAGGCCAGGTCCACGCTCACCCAGCGAGGATGCCAGCTGCTGCGGAAAGATGGATTGCTGGACGAGCAGATATTCGCCGGTAAGTCCGTTGTTTAATTAAATCGTTTAATCGTTATATTAAGTATACGCCAGGTGGGATATTATTGATTCGTTGATAAAGCAAGGTTTTTCCTGTTTTGTGGTTTTTAATTTATTATTTAAAAAAAAACGAATTTAATTAAGTCTCTTTAATCTTTATCATATGACAATGATTACCAAACAGACTCATTTATTTTGAATGAAAGCACTGATTGTGTTATTTCTGAGTTAAATAAACATTAAAGAGAGTCTTGATAATCCTTAAATTATGTATGTATTTAAACTAATATTCCAGGTACAATAAACCTACACTTTTACAATTAGCAGTTTGGTACTACAAATATTAATATTTGTAATCGAGTAGAGACAAGTTGAACTGATGTTGTTTAATGAAATAAAATGAAACCCATCACACTGAAAGCAGACATTTTGGGTAACACGTAATGTAAAGTTTTGTGAACGTAGTTTCAGCAATAATCTTCAAGTACTCATTAAAAAATTGTGTTATGTATATTACTATTACTCAACTTACCAATTTAACGAATCCCTCATAAAAACGTTTTGTTATAAGTTTGCATACTGCTGGAGATTGTAGCATTTAGTCTACATTTAACTATCAGAAAGTAATCAATATCCTATTCTTCAGATTCCCAGCGGGTGCACGACAGCATTGAGGGCGGCATCGAGAAGCTGGAGCTGTCGGTGGAGAACCTGAACATGCGACTGGCCCGCCTTTTGGCGGAGTACACGGCCAGCCAGGCCAAGATCAAGCAGCGCCTGGCCAAGCTGGAGATGAAGTGAGTAGCCTTCGGGTGTCCTGTCTGTACTGTCTGAATTCGAAGCTCAAACCCCCATCCTTGAACCCCCTTTCAGCGGCGGCCATGGCACGTGGCGTGTGGAGTGCGAGCCACAAACGCGGGCTCGCAGCGGACGTCTCTATTCGCTGCAGCCAAAGAGGCGCCCACGTTCGCGACCCGACGCGACTGCCAAAAGCGGCGATGCTGCCAAGCAGAACACGCTCTAAGTCCCCGGAAAACCCGCTGGAAAAGCCTCTGGCACACCCATCCACCCATCCACCCCCTACCCCCGTGACCCCCCTCCCCAATATTTCCACTCGAGGCCGGAAAATAGTGATAAATGCATTAAACTTGCAGGAGTTGTCTTGGCGGGAAGATAACCCTTTTTGGCCCCGAGCCAACTGTTATTTTGGGTAAATCAATTTTTAATTTTTACAATTAGTTTGTAGCGAAGGCAGTTGAAGCGGAGGGCGAGGGGCGAGGGGCGTGGCGCCGGAGTTGTTTGTTGCAAACTTTATAAATTTGTAAGATGATTCAAAACTGAATGTGCCTCAAAAAGTGTGCGTGTGTAAAGCTAAGTTAAGAAGGGGGCAAATCGGAGAGGAAAGGATTCAACAACTAGTTAACCCACAACGATCCAGTGTACATATTTTAAGCATAGTCCAATTTTACACGTGAACAGCGAGTGTTCGCCTAGGCTAGAATGATTTTACACACACTTAAACCGTGGATTAATCCAATTAAGCACCAACATCAAGCCGACAGATCAAACAGATCGGATGGGAAACCAAAAACACCATACACACATCAACTGACCAAAAAACCGAGGACATTGCTGAAGTCCTTAAGAGGACGCAGGGGGTGGTGCACACAAATCGAATTCAATGAAAGAAAATGTTAACAACCAAGCTTCCAAAGCTTCCAAACCAACGCAAAAAACAAACAAAGTCAAGAAACCAAAAAAAAAAGGGGGGAAAACAAAAGAAATAAGAAATGTATTTTTATATTAGTCCTAGACATTGAGTGTACAATGTATTGTCTATGTGTAAGTACGGCTAAAGCTACAGAATAAACGAGAATCGAGTAAAATTACACGGAGCACTTATGTCAGCGAAAACGTATCCGGACATCGGAGCAAGTGTTTCAGCTAAAATGGTAAATGCAAATCGCCCACAGCCTCCGGCTTTTCCACGCTCTTCCACGCTTCTTCCAAAGGATTCTTCTTCGGCGGAATTCTCTTTACTGGCTCTAATGACATCTTCGCAGGCGTAGACAGAAAAAAAGTTAAAAAAAAAAAAGAAAGGAAAAAGGAACTTTGTACGAGCACCAACAACGAAGTCAATAAATGCAGACGCATTGGGGCAAATGACAGCGACACGCGTTGGCTTTTTAGGTGCGACTTCCTTTGTGCGTACAACGGGGCGTATGAGCAATGCCGTAGCTAGAAAGGTAAAATGGGGCAGCAGAAGTGCTGCACGGGGGGAGGAGAACAATTGTACACAGTAAAGTATGCTAAAATAATAAAATATTTAATACTGTTTCCTAACCAGTTTTCCACAAATGTCTTACACAGAAAGAAGGAATAGGGAATTTGATAGGATGCGTATACTAATTAAACTTTTTGTAAATTCATCAAGAATTTTTTAAGCCCAATTGCCAACTTAAATTAACATGATAGATATACAAAGCAAGAAATTAAACTGAACATACAACATACTTGTATAATTTATTGTTTATTTATTATTGTTTGCAATTCGACTTTGTTTGCCATTTTAATATTTTGAAGTTTTTGGCTTTTTTTTGCAAAATAGAAATCAACGTTTATTAAAAAAAATTAAATTTCCTTTTTTAAATATAATATTATTATTTACTTAATAAGTCAAGTCTGAAAAGATAAAGAAAATTTGATAAGAAAAATTTTCAAGTTAAATAATTTCATTTAGTTTTGATCACATCTTAAAATCCATTACCTTTTATATGTACTCTTTTTTTCACCGTGTATAAGCCCAGGGAACCATGTGGAGCCATGTGGAACCCCAAAATGGTCGCATCATGCCGTAAGTGCAGTAAAAAATCAATTTTGACAAAATGTTGAAAAACACACTCAAAGACTTAAAAAGAGCGGGGAGAAGTTGGAGGAGCCCCCTTGAAAATCACTTGGGCGGTGGTTTAGGGGGCGTGGCACGTGAACGAAACGGAACTGATTGAGGGGAAAGAAGCTGCGGGGCGTTGGAAAATGACTGACAATAAAATGTTGACGCAGCCGAAGAGCATTATGGATACAGGGTGCTCGAAGGCGATTGGATTAAGTCGATAAGTCGCCGGGTGGGGGTTCCATGTGGCTCCCACTTCGATGGAAGGCACAATAACACTGGCAATACCTGCTGGTCTTTGCTTTATTAAAGGCAGGCCCTTCCACATAGCTTAGGCTGATTGATGTCGAGGGTTTTTCAGTTCACACATCTGCATAAAATAAATCCTAATGTGTTCGGGCTGATGATGTTGGTTTTCGCTTTATGGCAAAGAGGTGAGTAAGCAGTTTTCATTCAACGACTTCGGCGGAAAAACTGGTTAGGAAAGTGATTAATTTCGAGAGGTTGTTGTCGCCTTTTTGTCACTTTATCAATTTTAAAAACTTTAAATATTAAAGAAATAAAAATACAATTTGTTATTAAAAATCCTTCATATGTCGCTCATATTTCCCCAAGCAGGCTGTAATTGACCGGCATTTTGTCGAAGTCAAAAGTGTTTCGTTATATTTTCGTATATATTTTCCCAGTTAACAATTATAAAAACTGAAGTAGGACAAAGCCATGTTCAACCCAAACACACCGCCTGGCGATATGCAATCCCTGCGCTGTCTGCACTGCATGAAGGTTGTCCAGTGTTCCCGATACGATACCGGCGAACTGGTGCGCCACATCGAGAAGGATCACCCGGAGATCTACGCAGTGACCACCGATAAGATCAAGAATCTGCACAAGCTGGCCGCGGATCATGGAATCAGCGAGGAGCGCCTCTCAAGAATCGGCAAGATGACCGGCCTTTCGGAGACCCAAATGGCCGAAGAGGCGGAGAAATGTGAGTTGGTCCATTAAGGAACAATTAAACTTATTCAATTTGTATTATTTTATATGGAAAGATATGGCCAAGAAGAATATTTCCAGCCGAAGTGCTGGATCCGGCGACGCAAAGTTAGTGGACAAAAAGGCATCGTCAACGGGTTGCAGTGGAGCGTCCTCCAAGTCCGAGAGTCCCTGTCCCTGTCCCTGTCCAACTCCCTCGGACAAGACGACCGAGCAGCGGAGGTACCGTTATCGTGCCTCCATGGAGCGCTGGTCTCCCGCGGAGGGACGTCTCTTTTGTCCCTGCTGCGGATGCAGTCGGCGTCCGCTGATCAAGGCCGTTTCGGAGATCGAGGACTCCGGCTGCTGGGCCTCCTGCTGGCCACTCTGCTTCCTGCCCTGCCTGATGTCCTCGGACAACCGGGAGTACCTCTACTGCTCCAACTGCCGCACCTTCCTCGGCATCTACGATCGCGACAACAGCTGCGTGCAGCCGAGCAAGCAGTTCGTCTCCTGCAGCAAGTCGGTCCCTCCCCCGCAGAAGTCCCCCCTGCTGCCACCCCCCTAGAATCCTTGGAATTCCGTTCCATTCCCCCAGCAGAGAACTCTTTTCTACCTTTCAAATTGTTAGTGCAGGTCTTTAGATATGCTGTTGATGATTGTTAGTACAGGTCTTTCGATATGTTGTTAATAAAAAAACAATATAATTTGGCCCAATTTATCGAACATCATAAAATGTTCAAATCCAAATTACATATTTTATTAAATATGATATAACCGTTTTAATTACAGCTTGTCCAATTGTTTATCTTGTGTTAAGGCAACTATAATGTATAGAAACTTATCAAATACATACATATTTCTTATATTTATAATCTTGTACTAATTCTCATTGCTCTTTAGCTATATGCTTAATTTAACTTTTTATTAAGCTTAATCAAATATATGAACAAACTTACAAATAAAACAAGAAAGGAAGCTAACTTCAAGCCGAAGCTTATATACCCTTGCAGTCATCAAATATGTACATATGTCGAACAAAATATATAAAGGCTATATTACATAGAAGCTATGACGATTTTTCTATCAATTTTTCATATTTTCCGTATGACAGCTATGTGATATAGTCGTCCGATTTTGATGAAATTTAATTCGTGATTCAAGAGTCGTTAGAAAACTCTATAATTCAAAAAATCCTGCTTGTCTGATGGAAAACAACGGTGTTCTAATTTCATTTCCGTTATTAGCAGTTAGAAAACGTCATCTGAACAAAAACGTCATCTCTCGTATGGGAGCTATCCGATATACCCTTGCTCTGAAAGCGTATAAATATGTTGTGTGATTACAGACAATACATTAAAATGTCGTCACCCCAAGAGTAAGAAAAGTACTTCAGATCAGTGATGCCAATTTGTCCTTTTTCCGGACAGATCTGTCCTGTTTTTAACGTTTCATCCGGAAGAAATTGAAAATCATCCGCATACCTGAAATCTGTCCTTTTTTAGATTTTTCATCCGGAAATCTGTCCTTTTTATTAAATCTAATATTATTTGCTTTCAAAAAGGCTCAATTCTGCATATTTTACATATATTTTTAATAAATTCTGAGATTAAAAGCAAAATAATTTCACAATATTCCAAAATTCACCTAATAAATTGGGAAAATATTGAAAATACTTCAACATTTTGGTCAGAAGTGAAGAGGTATCGGGATTCTGCTGGCAACAACCCCTATGAGGACCTCTCTGTCTGCTTTCATTGCCATGGTCAAATGCTGAGGTAGAGAGTTTTTAGCCAAGTAAACTTGGTGAAAACCAAAATTAGGAACCGTTTAGAGGTAGATTCATTAAATGCCATTTTGGCACTCAGGTAAATATATATATTTTTTCAAAAGCTTACCGCTTATAAATACATGTACATGTGTTCTTTCTTGAGATTTGGATTGCGTCGTCATAAATTATGTTGTCATAATTATAACTTGCCTGAAAAGTCTCTCCAATTAATTGGCTCCATGCCTACTTATGAGGACAGCAATAATGACGAAGGAAAAATAATCGAAGATGCCTTAAAACTATTATTTTAATAATAAAAAATAAAATTACTGTAAACAAACTTTTTGTCCTTTTTTCTATCCTTTTTATAATATTTTCATCCCATTTTTCCCGTTTTTTTTCTCAATCTGTCCTTTTTTTTCGAAAAAATTTTGGCATCACTGCTTCAGATATCTACGTCTACTCTTGATTCTCTCTTAACTTGAGAACTTGATTGCAATATTTTTTCAATCACTGAATGATTTTCTCAGTCGAACTTAAAATCTGATGCAATGGAAACGCGTTTTGCAACCGATAGTAGCTTTAATTCCTCAAACTGATTTATTTTTACATCGGAATCAACAAATAAATGCAATGCCCAAACTTATCGGGAAGAATGCAAACTTATGCTAATCTACAAATAACCACCAGAATTAGTATTAGGCTCAATTCCAGCTCTGAGAGCGGACACATATTTTCTCAGCCACTCGCGCTCTCTTTATCCGCTTCGCTTTTGTTCGGACCAAAAAGCTTTTTTGCGTCAGTTCGCGCTGCACTCTTCGAGGGAAAGTGCAGCGATGGAAAATCGGCGGAATATAACCGATTTGCCGCTGGAAGTGCTGAATCGTATATTCAGATACTGTGGAAACACAGTCAACAAGGTGAACTTGGCCCAAGCGCATCCATATTTTGTGGAAGCATTTGTTTACCACAGTCGAAATGCCTTCAAAGACATATATTACTTCACTGGAATAAGCATGAGTTGCTGGGAATTTATTCTGCCGCTTTGCGGATCCAATGTGAATCTCATTAAAAGAACAGCGTATAAGACCAATGATCTTAGCTTGGACAACTTGATTTTACAGCATTGTCACAACTTGAAAGACATTAGTTTCAAATTTGATGTCGAAGGCTTGAGCTATGTTTCCAATTTCATAAGCGACAAAAAAAACTCAGTCAAGACACTTGATCTGTACTTCCACGGATCAAGGACATCGGAAGATCAAATCAAGTTACTTGAGGACCTGCCTGACTTACCTCATCTGACAAAGCTGCGGATAAAACAAACTCCTTCTGACGATCGTAAGTAATTTGGATAATTACTAAATCTAAGTTAAAAAAAAAAATTTATTTGCAACTAACTAATTTTTTTTCTGTATATTAAAGGTAGTTTTGTATATTTTATAATCATATTTATTAATTATGTTCATTTTCATTTTTACTAAGTGCATTGCATACAAAAGTTCATAAATTTGACGGAGCTGGATTTAGAAATAGTTCGAGAGTTTTATCCGAAGGCTGGACCCGCCGATCCAGTTGATATATTCTCCATCTGTGCCCCCCTCAAAAAGCTTCGACTTCTCAAAGTAATAGGAATTGATATAGCATCTGACGATCCTGAGTTCAATCCGACATTAAATTCTTTGGAAGATTTGAACATTGTTCATTGTGATATTTCAATGGAGTTTCCCGTTTTTCCCAAGCTTAAAGTAATCAAATTTAATTATATAGGAACCATTACCAGTGCGTCTTCAGTCCGCAGATCTATTATTAATCAGGGAGAAACCCTGGAGAGATTGCTTTTCATTTCTGGAACTACGCCTTATGATGGCGAGGGACTACTTGAACTGGTTAAAGGATGCAGAAAACTTCGATACTTTCTGGCTCCAATACACGAGGTTAAGTTCCACTTGGACCTTGTTAAAAGATTGGTTACTGCTTTAGGGGAAAACGGGTTCACGCCAGACGATCCTTTGGAACTGGTGATGGACGAGTATTTCAAACTCAAGTGGCTTTGTCACTGGGTGAGTAATCTTATTAACAAATTACAAGTCCAACAAACTAATTTGATTCTTGTCTTTTACAGATGAAGTTCACATCAAATGAAAAGTTAATTAATCCTCGTCTGAGTGGGCCTGAGGAATATAAACTAAAAAGCCCCTATTGGTAATAAAAAAGTAGAGAGAAGTTAAATTTATGCTAAGTTGCACTTAAAACATAAATTTATAAATTGACGGTATCAACACAAGCGAACACTATAACAAATATAAGTATGTAGTATACAAATTATTGTGCATTTAAAGGTTTAAATAAATAAAAACAAGGTCTGTTATAGAATGTCATCGAACTCTAAAGAAAGAGAAGCATAAGGCATAATCTATTTTCTCTTTTAAAATAAGAATTGCAATATGCTCAATTTTGCCAAAGTTTTTAATTCTCAATTCTTTCTTAAAAGAGAAGCTTTTAGGATCTCCCATGCATAACCAACATCGCGATATATTTACCAGATAATCCCAAGTTACTAAATGAAGTATATTTTATAGACCGATCAGATCAGGGAAATCGGATTTCAATATATAAGCATTGAAGTAAACTAAACACAAAAATCTAAGAGCGCTGAGAACACTTCCCATATTCACTGCCACTCTTTTTATCCGTTTCGCTTTTATGAGGCACAAAAAGCTTTTTTGCGTCAGTTTGCGTTGCACTCTTCGAGGGAAAGTGCAGCGATGGAAAATCAGCGGAATATGACCGATTTGCCGCTGGAAGTTCTGGATCGCATATTCAGATACTGTGGAAACACAGTCAACAAGGTGAACTTGGCCCAAGCGCATCCATATTTTGTGGAAGCATTTGTTTACCACAGTCGAAATGCCTTCAAAGACATATATTACCTCACTGGAATAAGCATGAGTTGCTGGGAATATATTCTGCCGCTTTGCGGATCCAATGTGAATCTTATTAAAAGATCAGCTTATAAGACTAATGATCTTAGCTTGGACAACTTGATTTTACAGCATTGTCACAACTTGAAAGACATTAGTTTAAGTTTTGATGTCGAAGGCTTGAATTATGTTTCCAATTTCATAAGCGACAAAAAAAACTCAGTCAAGTCACTTGATCTGCACTTCAAAGGATCAAGGACATCGGAAGATCAAATCAAGTTACTTGAGGACCTGCCTGACTTACCTCATCTGACAAAGCTGCGGATAAAACAAACTCCTTCTGACGATCGTAAGTAATTTGGATAATTACTAAATCTAAGTTAAAAAAAAAAATTTATTTGCAACTAACTAATTTTTTTTCTGTATATTAAAGGTAGTTTTGTATATTTTATAATCATATTTATTATTTATGTTCATTTTAATTTTTACTAAGTGCATTGCATACAAAAGTTCATAAATTTGACGGAGCTGGATTTAGAAATAGTTCGAGAGTTTTATCCGAAGGTTGCACCCGCCGATCCAGTTGATATATTCTCCATCTGTGCCCCCCTCAAAAAGCTTCGACTTCTCAAAGTAAAAGGAATCGATATAGCATCCGACGATCCCGAGGTCAACCCGACATTAAATTCTTTGGAAGATTTGAACATTGTACATTGTGATATTTCAATGGAGTTTCCTGTTTTTCCCAAGCTTAAAGTAATCCAATTTAATTACATAAGAACCTTTACCAGTGCGTCTTTAGTCCGCAAATCTATTATTAATCAGGGAGAAACCCTGGAGAGATTGCTTTTCCTTCGTGGAACTACGCCTTATGATGGCGAGGGACTACTTGAACTGGTTAAAGGATGCAGAAAACTTCGATACTTTCTGGCACCGATACACGCGGTCAAGTTCACCTTGGACCTTGTTACCAGATTAATAAATGATTTAAAGAAAAACGGGTACACGACGGACGATCCTTTGGAACTGGTGATGGACGAATATTTCAAACTCAAGTGGCTTTGTCACTGGGTGAGTGATCTTATTAACAAATAACAGAAACCACCTAGATTTTTGATTTTGTCTTTTAAAGCTGAAGTTCGCATCAAGCGAAAAGTTAATTAAACCTCGTCTGGATGAGCCTGTGGAATATAACCTTAAAAACTATCCTTGGTACTAGAAAGAAGTAAGAAAGATTTTCGCTAAGTTCCACTTAAAACTTAAATTTATAAAATGACTGTAAAAATTAATGTATAATCTTTTCCAACCACCAACTTATATTGATTTTTCCATCATAAGTATTAACATTTTTTCAGTATCCGATAAGCAAAAGACTTTTTAAAGATATTAGAGATTTTAGGAAATGTTTACTGGAATGCGGCATCTATGCTTTTCTTTTATTTTTGTAAAGATAGTTGCTGATAGTATAATACTTTTTGTAAGCGAACACTTTAACAAATTGAATAAAAATATTACTGTCAATATAAGAGATTTTATTAATAAAAACAAGGTCGTTTACAAAATGTCATCGAACTTTAAGGAAGAGAAACCAACGGTTTCAACCAACGGTTTGTTTATTATTTTGTTTGAACCCCAAAAACCCCCCTCGAGTAAGTAGGTTTTTTCAATCAGATGATATAGTGGAAGTATTTACATATAGCATTATACAAATATTTTGTATTAATATGCTCATTCCATTAAATTGTTCTTCTCCCTAGTTTGTAGCATTCGGAGGTTTACAAATTTGGTGGAGCTGAACTTAGAAATGTATAGAGAGTTCTATTCCAATGCTTCCCCCGCTCAATTAAATCATATATTATTAATCTGCGTAATACGCTCAGAATTTATTATACCTCGGCTAAGGGAATCTTCAGGGAATTAATGAATAAGAAGAGCGGAGTGGTTTTTATGTGTTAAAAAAGTAAGGAGTGACAAATTTAAGCGATTTTTATTTTCATTTTGACTTTATTGGTTGGAAAAACTGTTTTTCACTGTTTAAGTTTAATGTTAACCGAGTGGACGGTACGCTTCGCGGAAAGTTATACGTGATATGAATACAATGAGTTAAATAAAACATATTTAAGGCATAATTAATTGCTAAAAATGTTAGTTTTAATTGTTTTATGAGCGGTAGGGGACAATTTTAAATATAGAACATAATCTATTATTGCCAGAACATAGTTCAGTAAAAGGCCATGGAAGTTACGGTTGAATCAACAATGATGTAAAACTAAAGGGACATAATTTTCTAATTTTACGGCACGGATCGAGGATTTCATCATTTTTGCTCCATCAATGGGGGCTCCTGCTGAAACTCCTCGTCTAGGTTGTATTCGTCGGCGGCACTGATCAAACCATCGTTGTCATTGCAGATCTTCTCTAGAAAACCATCATCAGGTAAGTTAATACTCGATCCCTGGCTTTGATCGTATTCTACGTCCAGGTTGTACCAATCGAATTCCGCTTGAATGGGCATGTCGTCCAAGTAATCCGCTATCGGACACATCATCGTTTTTGGCGGAGGGGTGCTAGGCAGCCTTTTGGGCATGGTCGAAAAGTTGGGCTTACTTATGCGCCTATTTATCTCGGTCAGTATAATTGGTACGTGCTTACATTTCTCATCGCTCTGCGATTGAAATTGGGGCGACCGAGGTGCCTGTGCAGTCTTGGGGGTCATTATCAGATAGTCGGAGGCAGACTCCTTTGGCGCAATGATAGCCGCAACATTGGGAAGCTTGGGTATGTCGGCCAAAATCTCCTCAATTTCATTAGCTTCAACTTTCTGCACAAGTTTCTTATTAACATAGGCCAACGGAACGCTTTTCACGACAACGTCGGAAATAGAACAGTAATCGGGTTCAGTAGCTGAAATTATGGAAGTGGAGCAGTCGTTTTCGTCTTTTATTGGCTCCTTCAACTGATTAAATGACTTCTTGAACTTGAGCAAGTTGGCTGGCTTCGGAGGCAGAGCGGGAGGTGGTTTGTGGATTGGGCTTAAGTCAGTGAGACTGGCTGTCATATCCACGTAAAGATTTGAATCACGCTCAGACCCTATAGGCTCGTACTTGTTGCTATCGATGCTCTCGTAATGACTGGCATCAACAGCGGGGACAATAGGTTGGTAATGCAACAATATTTGTTGCCGCTGAACAACATGCTCATCGTCGTCTGGCTGAGGTACATACTCCACGTTATTTCTAGTGGAAAAGTGTACCCGCTTGCGTTTACTGCACTCGGTATCTACTGAGTTCGGAGCTTCCTCCATCGACTGTTGAATTAATATCTGGTTGACGCACTCGAGCACGGGATTAACCGCTTCCCGGCTGTACGGATTGACCGGCACTGTTGTCTCTTCCTGATCCGAGGCACTAGCGTACCATTCGTCCGAGGTTGTTTCACTAAATTCCTTTGGAGAAACCTCCGAGAAATCAGCAAATCGTCGTTGAACAAGATCACTGCGATGCATCGTTGAATACTCGTTTTTGGGATCTTCTCTGTCAAAGTCCTCTGTGTCCTCTATGGGTAAGGAAACACCGTTGTCCGCAGTGTTGCTACTGCTCTGACTGTAGTCATTATTTCCCAGCCGTTGCTGTTCGTCGTTGATCCGTGCATAGTGATGTAGTTGCTCGTTGACAGTCTGAGAATTATCACGGGTAAAGGCACTTTTGTTTAACTTCAACTGTTGCTCCAGAGCATCCTCGATCTGTAGCGACCGAGAACCCATGAATTTTCAAATGTTTTGAAGCTCCGTTTGCTGGTATTAAGTATGTTGCGCTTCGCACCACAGGAAGAGCATAGGGTTTCGTTGCTGGTCAGCTGTGAAAAGAAAAAATCAGATTGGGCAGAGCAATTTTAACCAGCGCTAATTTACTTGAGGATGCGAAATGCCATCAAGAGAAAGTAGAGACACGGGCTTTTCTGTGGACACCCTTCCATACTCAAAATGTTTTATACATTTTTGCTGGTAGCAACGCTTTCCAAATAATTAATTTTCTGAAGTGGGTTGAAGCATAACTTCCCAACTCCCAAAAAAGTTTAAAAATCTTACTTCAGCATCGTAAACAAAATGCAAACGTAAACAAATTGCATGTAGTAAACAATAACAGATGTGATTGGTGGAACGATTTCGATAACACTGCTGCCGATGCTTCCCAGTTCTAGAAAAATACCATGGCATTCACCAAAAATACTACGGCATATACGTTTTAAGTTTTTTAAAATTAAAACAAAGATTCTACATACGCCAAATAATTGTAATAATTGTAGTTACCCAAAGTTTTTTTTTTATGTTTATATTTTTGAGAAAAAAAAAACGAAACAAATATTAAATATAATAAAATAGCTATTAGTGGCGGGAAATTATGTGATTACCTGTGTTCGGTATAAATGAGCGTTCCTGGTAAGGCCACACTGATTTTGTTGCTGGAAATTCGACTCGGCTTTTTTATGATGGAATTGTCACCAAACAACCAGATTGAGGACAGAAAACCCATCCTAACAGCCGACGGCCTGGTCCAAACTTCGAACTCCCCCTTCGAGCCGGCCATTTCGCAGGAGACCCAGACCTCCAACGGGATCGGCGGTCAGTGCCAGTTGACGGTGGACCAGTTGGACATTGAGATTCTGCCGATAATCTACGACATTGTTCGCTGGTGGGTTGGCAATGCGAATTTGTTTTCGAGGCTAATGCCCCTGACTGGACATTGCCGAAAATAGCCGAAATGCGTAAACAAGTGCGCATTAAAGTAAGAGCCTTATATAACTAGTCTTTCTGTTTTGCAGCGTTGAAAAGGATCCGCTTGAGAACGCTGTGAAGCTGCGCGAGTCCCAGGATTGCAACCACAAGGTGGGTTCTTACATAATGCAACTTTCCAGTTATCCCACCTGACTTGCGGTTCCTTTCCGTAGATTTTTGAGCTACAGAAACGATTTGAGTCCGCCCGCGAGCAAATCCGTCAGCTGCCTGGCATCGATTTCAACAAGGAGGAGCAGCAACAGCGACTGGAACTGCTTCGAAATCAGCTGAAACTCAAGCAGCAGCTGATCCGGAAGTACAAGGACACAGAGTTCTAGGCAGGATAAGGGAGCGAAAGTACCCGGCAAGATGGTGCTGCGACTGCTGATGCGCTACCTGGCCAACAACGAGCAGCTCATCCAGCGCATGGCGGACAGTTATCCCATGAGAAGGGCTGCTCAGTTGGTGGTTTCCCTGATGTACCGCACCAAAAGCTTGGCCAGGGAGCAGGGACTGCACGAGATGACGCCAGAGCGATTCAAGTATGCCTTTAACTAGGCAGGGTGTTCTCAAGCTAAAAATCCTTTTCAATTGCAGGTCCTTCGTCAACATGTTCAAGAACAATGTGCGGCAAGAACTGGAGGGCGTGAAAAAGGACCTCAACAGCAAGAAAAAAAACTAGGGATCAGTCAATAACTTTGATTAAAGCGATTGTATATACGCGGCAACATAAATTTTAGTCAACTTTAGCAAACACAGATGAATAAACATTGAAGACAGAACATTAAACTCGATAAGCTCACATTTTTTCAAGCGGAATAAGGGTAAGAGTCTTGCAAGATTAATATAATCATATATTTCAGACAAAAATTGCTTTTATTTAATGGATTGAGAAACAATATAATCTTCGCAAATTCCAGAGACAAGCGTTCTTAACTCTAAATAACAAAGGAAAAAGGAATTCAGATTGTCATTCTGAAACCACCATTTTACAACAAAATTTTATAAATCAAAATGTTACTTAACTTATGCATTCACTGAGCTTTTTCCATTAGTTATAAACATATTTTTGTTAAGCCTGTAAATGTATAATCAATGTCATGAAAAATGTACCTTTTTGGTGTTATATCTAGGAAACAAAAAAAATTCTTAAGTTTCACATATGAAATAATTTTATTCCGGTTTATATTTCCTGTGATAGTAACTTCATTAAACCAATTATTTGAAGAAACGAAGTCGTTCGAATTCAGTTTAACAAATTCAAAGCAGTCAAGCCCAAAATAAACTTTTTCAAAATCAAACTCATGTTAACGTTTAAATAAAAATTGTATTCAAATCATTAGCTTTAGGAAATCAAGATTAAGGTAGATAAACTCACGTTAATGTAAGGGAAAAAAAAATAGGCATAATTAAATTCAAGTAGCAGTGACATCATTGATCTTAAGTCTATAGAATAAAAAGAATATCGAATTGGGTTTGGCATTTCGCACAATTTACAGTGGACGAGTACGGGACACGGAACCATTTATTGGAGGCGAACGCCCCTTCAGATCAGGAGTCTGGACTGGAGAGTATGAAAATACATTCCTCCGGTTCTTTTTAGGATTTCAAAAATATCTTAGCTTACACAACTAGAACAAATTTTGGAGGCGGCACTCCTCACTCGGTGAGACCAGCCGGTGCTACTTCTGCAGATGACGACGAGGGCATTTCGCCGAGTGGCAGACCCAGAGCGGCCGACCCATTGGACTGGCCCGTTCCTCCGCCAGAGGGATTTGGCCGATTGTTTCGTTTCCGCTTGCCGCCCCGTCGACTGCCGCCCTCGCGCTTGTCACCATTCAGCTTCTCGTCGCCCGCATCCTTGCTGCAGCCCGCTCCCGAGGAGCTTCCTTGCCCCTGCTGCCGATGCTGGTTGTTGCTGCCATTGCTGCCGCCGTTCTGCGAACGCGATTGCATCTTGGCGGGCTTGGGGCGATATGGAGAAGCGGCCGCATTGGGCAGCGGACGAAGGATATTGCCCACCGCCTTGGTGCGTCCCTCGCGGAAGACCAGACGCTGACCGGCGCGAATGTACTCCGGCTGTTTGATGAACCGGAACTTGACATGTGCCTTGTCGCCCGTTCGCAGACAGTCACGCGACATGTGAATGATGGAGGCCGTCTGACGGATGCTGCCGCAATGTACCATCGCTTGGTAGCGTGCCGATATTGTCGTCGGGTGGTGTAGTACTAGAATCTCACCCTCGAACTCCCAGCAGGCCTGCGGCTTGAGATCCTGCGACACCATCACCATGCCTTTGCGCAGATAGGCGCGCTTAATCTTCTTCAGGGCAAAGCTCGCCGTTTGGCCGCAACGCACGCGCGCCACGTTCATCCGCTTGCGGTGGATGCTCTTGATGGTAATGGGCACGAATCCACCCACAGCGTCGGGACCAAGCATTAGGCAGTCGTTCAGCCGAATGGTGCCCTGGAGGCAAGTGCCGGAGACTACTGTACCGACTCCTGGGACAGAATACACATCGTCGATTTGAAACTCGGCCGGCAGACTCTCGGAGCCAGCCATGCGTGTGCTCAACAGGTTGAGGAACATCTTGAGCAGCTCCAGATTATCACCGGTCACATTCGACACCTGGAAGATGGGGCACAAACGCTCGCTAACGAAATTCGTGGCGCTTAGGACAACATCGTCGTGGGAACGCACCACCACCGGCACCTTTCGGCAACCCTGTGATTTGAGCATCTTGAACAGAAGCTTCATGTTGTCCTGCAGCACGTTGGCTGGACACATGTCGATCTTGGTGACCACCACGAAAACGGGAACGGCTAGCGCCAAGGCCAGCCCCAGATGCTCCTTGGTCATTCCAATGATGCCAGCATTTGCGCCAATCTATGAGGTAGGATGTCCAAAGTCAAACCACGTTGCAATTCTTTTACCAAGGAACTCACCATCAGCATGCCAAAATCTGGAGCATGTCCCGTCATGCCAAAGACAGTGGTTTTCAGGTAGCGCTCGTGTCCCGCCAGATCAATGAAGGTTATTACCTTCGCCGAGTTTTCGCAAATTTTAACCCAGTCCAGGTGGCCATGGTCCGGCTTATTTACCACATTGCCCACTCCATCAAAGCCGAGGATGTCGTTTCCTACTGAGCTTGTCCGTCCGCTCTCGATTTCGTGTTTGTGACGGAACAGACGTTGTCGGGCATGGCCACGACCATTGTCCAGTTCCCCGTGGGTTAGCACGCCCAGTAGCGTGGACTTGCCCGCATCCACATTGCCCACGACAGCCACCCTGAGGAATACGGAAATTGTTAGGTTAGCTTTCTTGGGATTCAAGCTCTTTAGTTACCTTATCTCCATAAAGTCCGTCGTCTCGATGTGCTTTCGGATAAGGAACTGCGCCGATTGGCCCTTCTCTGCCCGCCGCTCACGCAGTTTGACGACGTCTGCGTCTATATTGGCAGCCAGAAGATGCAGTGTGGCCACGGAAGCCTCAAACTGCTCCGGATTCAGCCCATTGTCGCTGCCATCTATTAAGAAATGGGTTTATTTTTTTGTTTAAATATTTGTTGATAATTAATTAAAGAAAATAAAATTTCACAAACTACGAAATTCTAAAGGGTGAATTATCGTTCTTCTAAAGTTTAGATGGATCAGTTATTGCTGTACGTTTAAGAATCCTGACAAGAGCACCTACCTTCGCCAACGCCAATCTCGTAGATGGTCTCCCCGCAGTTGTCGGCAATGCGGTCCTTTAGCCTCTTCTGCAGGAGCTCCATCTGTTCGTCGCTGGGCTGCACGAGGACATCCTTGCCCCGGATGCTGGAGTAATCCACACTCATGGCGGCCATCTGCTGAGGAAGCCCATCCACGTTGAAGATGTTGCTTCGTGCCGTCTTGATGCCCACGCCCACGCCCACGGGCACGCCCCCGGCCACGCCATTGGGGGCACTCTGTACGTTACTCATAGTGCTGGTAATTATCGCTTGCTTCACTGTATCCTTGGAATCATTGGAATCTGTGTGTGAGTGTGCAGGTTGATGGTGATGCTTGATGTTTGGTGAGTTCTGCAAGGATCAGAGAGCAAGTGCATCCGATTAGGACGTGGTTTAACCCAAACAATTAAGTCAATCCCGACCTAGCCTACGCCCATTTGGCCAAGTTGTGCTTTCGTCTTTTGGCGCGTGTTAACTGCTTGCATCGCGATGATGAAATAAAATTGAAGAAGCCAGCGCCGCTGCTTTTATACTCGTCCGTTTGGATGATGAAATTGCAAGCTTAGCATGATGCAATATTCGCTCTATTTGAGTTCCCCAAGAAGAGGACGAAAAAAAGAGAGCGACGAAAGAGTTTCCGGAATAACCCCGCATTCCCCAAGCTCTGTGTTCAAAGTTGAATGACCGATATCAGTTCTGGGAATTTGACAAGTGATCGTATTTGCAAATAATTGTTGACAAGGACAAAATCCCAAGCTTTGCGTGATGCAATATTTTATGTATTTCGCGGAAGATCATATAAATAAAGGAAGGAAACACAGCATTTTAAACTATTTCGTTTGAAGGTGAAATAAATTTTATAGCTGGCAATAAGTTATTGCTCCACAAAATATTATTGATAAGCCTACAATGAGTTCATTTTGCCAACATGTTAACAAAACTTTTTAAAATCACAAAATTAGTAAAACTTGTATTACTTTGGCAGTTTAACAAGTTTGATGTTCCTAGTTTGTCAAGAGCTTTTCAAACACATTTTGTTGTTTTGGAAAATAAGCTAAAGTAAATAATGCTATACTAGACATAAACAAGTCTATCTAGGGTTAAGAACAGCTGATGGCCGATTTGTATTTGTTTATATAATAACGCTTTGTTGACGTATACAAAACGCAGGTAAATAGCAACAAATGGCTCTAGTTAGTAAGCATTTTTTGATATTTATTTATAGGCGGCAAACAAAGACCGCAGGTTTAAGTATGTATGCGTATGTATGAGCCAAACATATGTACTTATGTACTTGGCCAACCAAAACAAACAAAAAGTCTGCATATTATGCGCGAATCTTTGGCTTTATTGGAGCGGCGGGAGGCTTTGGAAAGTTTAGTAGTGCCCATTGAGTAACCATATAAACAGAAACAGAACTAATCAGCTGAATAGGCCCATGTATTTGTATCTTGAACTTGGCAATTAAAAGTGAAAGGACATAGGAAAGCACAGGAAAACAAATGCGGATTGTCCGGTCCACTTACAGTTCATGTAGCCTTTTGTGCTCCTTCGATCAGTCGGACGTCTGCCCATATATCCTTTTGATTTTATACCGATTTAAACATATTTTGTTTAGCTTTTCCTGAAAAATTGTTTTCCGTGTCCCGAAGCCACGTACCGCGCCGCGTTGCCAGATCGATTGAATATCGTCTGTACCTGATGTTACTTATCGATAGATAAAATTTATCAAAAAGAAATCAATTTTTCCAGAACGTTAAAGAGTGAAAAATAAATAAATACAGGACTGCTTTTTCATATATTTACTAATCATTTACTGATTACGAACTGCAAATAGTGCATAACATTTACAAGCAGATTGCTTTTTAACGGTCATTTTAAGATGGGCGCTTAAATAAATTGCCCGAGTTGGCACCACTGCAATCGGTTTTATTGTTGCAATACACATTGAAATGAGTCGTTTTTCCTCATTGTGAAATAAATTCGTAGTATAATTGAGAACTTGAGTCAAAAGAACTCAGTGACAATTTGAACACTGACATGGAGAGCGACAACCAGGAAAGTAACACCGTCGAAGGCGCAGCCCCTGCTCCTGAAAATGACTCATCGCCTGTTTTGAACGTTCTGTGCGCTATTTGCAATGAGTTTTTTCGTGCGAACAACATTATATTCTCGACCGCCCACTGCGGTCATGTTTTCCACAAGGATTGTCTAACTCGCTGGCTGAACAGATCCTCAACCTGCCCGCAGTGCAGATCAATCTGCAACCGGAATCGCGTCCACCGCTTGTACCTGAACTTTGCCGAAGCCACGGACTTCGATGATACTGAGGCGCCCAAGCAGCCGATCGATTGGATTCCCATGGATCTGGATAGGAACGGTCCACGGGATGCCCACCTCCCTCCTGAGGGAGCCGTGCAGTGCGGCACCAATGAGGATGGACATCCATCATTTGTGGCCAGGGCATACTTCAAAGACGATCTCCTGCCCTCCGTTTATGTTCCACTAAAGAAGGCGGCTTTCGGATCGTATGCCTGTCGGGCCTACACCCTCACCGACGACGTGGAGCTATTGGTACTGACTGACTGTGATTACAAGTGGGTGGCCGGACAACACGGCAGTGTTCCGCAAGATGCTCTGCCCACCGGGTACTCTGAAATCGGCGAAACCACCTTCATGGGACGCGGCCCGTACGAAGGCATCATGCGGCTGGGAAAGGTACATCCCAGCCACAAGGTGATGTACATACCGCATCGGGGTCAGGAGGTCAATATCAACACCTATGAGGTTTTAGTGGTCACACCTCGTGATCAGGCTGACCGATAATGATGATACAGCGTTAAGAAATCTCTATTTGCCTTATGTCCTTTAAGTGTAAAATTCTGTGTTAAATGTTTGTCTATTATGTTTTGGGAAAAATAATAGCACCTTTATATCCATAAATCCATAAACGATAGCTTTCAAGCTATGTTTTGTCTAAGCTTAGTTATCAGTAATGTCCAGTACTTAGGTTTCTCAGGTTTCTTGCTTGAAATGTAAACCACATGCTGATAATAAAAAAACCAAGAAAATAAAAGAGAGCTTTGTTGATTTCATTTGGCTTAAGTTTTGAAAATTGTTTTAAAGATTAATAAATACGCCGTGAATTTCGTTTTAAATTCGTATATGTGGTAGTCGAGGCACTTGACTTAACCGCTCCCTCTTGTTATTATTTATATTTTATATATTTATATTGCCCAGAACTTTTGTGTTTCTCTGGTAGGAAAAGACCTGAACATTTTGATTTTTAAAGTTTTGAATATTAAACTTGTCTTATCCAAAAACTATTTTACTTCTAATTATTGATATACTTTTATCATGTATATTCTTTGTTTAAACATAGCTATCTTTCAGTGGACAATGCCATTCTTATCTAAAGGATTGATAAACACCCAAAAACAACAAGCTTGCAGAAGGGTCAGTTTGATAATAATCCAAATCGGTAGGTAGGTAAAATAGAGTCGGGATGCGTCTCCTACGTAGATCGTCTTCATTCGGTGCTGAACAACCAAGGTATCGCCTTCGCTATATTTCTCCTCGTTTCTAAAAGTTAAGTTAATAAAAATAAAAGTGTTCTGATGGAACCCAAATCCCGGAATAAACCCCAATCTTGCGGGGTTGTGTGTGCTATATGCAGTGAGTTCTACAGTCAATACGATGTGATAATCTGTTCCACCAACTGTGGACATCTTTTCCATAAGGCCTGTCTTACACGCTGGTTGAACATCTCCCTGACTTGTCCACAGTGCCGAGCGAGCTGTAACAGAAATAGCATCCGACGTCTATATCTAAATTTTTCCGATAGTAAGGAAGAAAAAGGAGAAGGGCCAGGCGCAATGAATATTCAATGGGTTCCTCTGGATTTTAATGGCAAAAAGCTACCGAAGGGCGCAGTGAAAAGTGGATTTGACGATGAAGGTAATCCCACATATGTGGCTCGGGTCTACTTGTACAACGATTTGCTGCCAGCGAGTTACTCGGCAAAGTACAAACGAGCTCAAAGTTCCTGGGACTGTCAGGCGTTTGAGTTTTTTGCAGAGCTAGAAGTCCTGGTTCTGACCGATTGCAGTTATAAATGGGTTCCAGGCAAGATGGGAAGCTACTCTTTGGACGCTCTTCAAACCGGATACACTGAAGATGGAGAAGTGACCTACACGGGACGCGCCGTATACGAGGACGTCTTACGCTTGGGAAAAGTACACCCATCCCATGGGGTGTTGTATATACCGCACCGAGGACTGGAAGTAAATGTTCCAGATTATGAGGTCTTGGTGGTGACTCCTCGTTTAGTTGAAAGATCTTAAAAAACCGTGATTATTTCTTCATCTGTATGTTATATTTTTGTATTAAAAATGTGTTAGCTCTATTTATATTCTGATTAGTGTTTTGAACCTACGCATGTTGTGAACATAATGATTATGCTTAAACAAAAGGGGTTTAAGTATTTATATAAGACTTTTCGTATAATTCTACAATTCATATATCTTCCTGCACGCCGGCTTGGCTTTGTTGTTCCAACAAAGTGCCTCACAAAATGTTCTTTAAAAATACGTTTAGCTTGTATATTTGCTTAATAAATCTGATGAATCTGCACTGTAACATGACATTTAATATATATGTATATATTTAGCTAAAATACAAATTTATATGCGCAACATGCTTGTAACATTTAACCAACAGGCTTTACTTTTCAATAGAAATAGGATTTTTTTGTTGTTTCATTGACTTTGTACTTAGTTTCTAAACAGCTTGTATATATAAATATAAAAATGAGGATATGACTGTGTTTTGAGTGGGTGTGTTTATGTGGTGTGTTTGTATATGACTACATAAGACGTTTACAGATATAATTGGTATTTACAAATTGATCGGATCCTATGAGCAATGCATGCATGTTTGTATTGTTTGTTTGCTAATTGAGCCTTGGTTTTGAGTTTGATCTTGTTTGCTATTGGGCTTAATCGGGTGATTTGGTTTGACATTTGAGCTCAGTTGAAAAAAAACAGTCTAATTGGATACAAAAGGATACATATACGACAAACAATTTAGGAGACAACAAGAAAAATTTAAACAGACTTGAGAAACATTTTTAGTATATGTGGAAGTGGCTGAGGGATGACTCTCTTTAAACTATATTAACTAGTTTACAATTGTATTTTAACGCCCTGAAAACAATGTAGTGGCTTGTTTCATTTCTGGGCAGACAGATAGTTCATGTACTTGGTGGTCTGCTGGGCATTTCGCACCAACTCGCTCTCCTCCTTTCCCGAGGGCGGTTGTTCCTGGCGCTGGCCACCACGATCCTGCCAGTTGTCCTCGTTTTGCGGCTGATGGATGTCCGGCTGGGAGCGGCGCGTGAAGTGGCGATGCCGCTGATGTTGGTGCTGCGGTGAAGTCTGTTGACGACGGTCAAACGAGCTGGACGCTTCGCTGGCCAAGCTGCTCTGGCTACTGTAGCGCGGAAATCTCGGACCTCCGCCGCCTCCATGCGTGGGACTCTGGTTATACCGGTAGCCGCCAGACTTATCCATTTGAGACTTTGGCGGTCTTGGCAGAGTGCGAGCCCTTGAGGAGCTGCGACTATTTGACTCGGGGCCGTTGGAGTTGTATGCACAGTTTTCATCTTGGTAGCCGTTGTTTATGGCGTTGTTCGAACGACGCCAGGTATCACTGTGTATTTTCTGGTGGCCGCCCTGATGTTGCTGCTGCATCTGTTGCTGCTGCTGTTGTTGCTTTTGGAATCGCGGAGGCTTGTCGTAAGTGTTGCGGTTGTTAAACCGACCACCCCTCTTGTAGTTGTTTCCGCGCTCGTAGTTACTGATGTAAGAGCGCTCGCTGCGATCATCGCGATCGCGCTGATCCCAATTCGAGTTGACGATGCTATTGTAGTTGCCGCCGCCAGTCATGTTGCGCTCGATCCGCTCCTGCGAGTGTTTCCTCCGGTCGTGGATGCTGTAAAGTCGCAGGTTGCCGCCTCCTTCGCTGCGCACGCTGTGATGATCATCGTCGAGGCTCACGCTGTACCTCCGCTGCTGGTCGCGCGACCGTCCGTTGCTCTGGTCGCCGTCATGGTTGCGGTTAAAGCGGGTCTTCCGCCAGCTGGGCAGCGGCTTGCTCTCGTCGCGGTCCTCGCTGCTGGCCATGGATGGATACTGGTCGGAGTTGGCGCTGTCAATGAATAATATTATTATAAAGACATTTTATAAGTTGACACATAAAAAAAATTATCAAATTCTCAATAAATTTGAAAAACAAAACTATTGATTTCTGAAATAATATTGTAAATTGATTTTGCTTTCACCAGTTTATTTTAAAAACAAAATTTAGCAATTTATGCAATTCAAATGTAAACTGGGATAAAATGGCTATTAAATTAAAAAAAAAAAGCATTAAACTTTAAAACATTGAAATCCTCAAAATCAACTCAAGAACTAACTAACATATTAAATTATAGAAACCGGAATGATAATAAATAAAAAGTGTTATGTAAATTGTCTTAAATAAAAATTGCAAAAATATAAACTAAAAGTACAGATCACAAATTGTGTTAAACTCATTGTTTTAAATGATTTTCCTTGACTTACTTAAAGGACTTGAATCGATCTTGGAAATTTCCCTATAAATAAATCACAATTGAGCTTTGAGTTATATTTTGTATTATTGAATATGAGCACATTAAAAGATTCCTATCAGCAATTACTGATTTATGAATTTGATTGATTATACCGTTCAAAAACCGGCGCTGTCACGTGTGTATAAACGTAATATTTATCCAATTGTATTTTCACCAGTGAACAACTCAACTAGTAAAATAATATAAATCTAAAAATTAAAATACATACTCTAAGCTGGGTGGCTGTTGGTGCTGCTGATGAGGCTGTGACTGATGCTTGAGAGGCCGAGGTGCTTGGCGAGGTTGGAATCCACGACGTCGGTGACCAAGTGCGATGGAGTTGCTGGCTGGGTAAGTGTTACCTTCAGCCTCAGAATACCTATCGTTCCCTTGATCAGCCTCGCCATAGCCGATGTCGCAGAAGGAGTCTTCGCACACCTGCTCGCTCCACTTCTTTGTCGTTGACGGCGGTTCGAAGGAATCCTGATCCTGGACGGAGGTGTTGGCACTGCTGCCGTTCTCCGACTGCTGATGCTGTAGCTGCTGCTGATGCGCTCGGCCATCTTCAGCGGGATGCTGGGGGCCGGATCCATTGTTGTTTACCCCATCCTCCTCGCCGTCCTCCACAACCAAGAAATCTGTGTACATGGCCTCCAGATCGTGCCCAATGTGCTTAAAGTGACTGTAGAAGAGGTCCAGCACCATTAGCAGCATGGCCTTCACTTTGGCGGTCAGCGCGGGCTGCATGATCAAATGACGGCGGACGTGGAAGAGCAGCAGATCGATCTCTGCCTTGTGACGTTTTCGCATGATTTCACCGTTCAGCGTGATCTGTGAGAGCACCAGGCGGGCTATCCGAGTACCCAGCACCACTGAAGTGTCGTTCAACTCACGGGTGAGCAGATCCAGCAGGGATTCACCCAGAATGGTGATCGGGGCATTATCCGCCAGCCGCACCCTGTGGTAGTACTCGCCCAGCAGTGTGATTGAATTGTACAGGCGGTTCTTGTCGTGCATGCGATACGTATCTGCGTTGAGGAAGTTTGTTTCCAGGATCTTGAGCATTGCGCTGCGCACCTTCGTCTCCTTCATGGCCAGAGCGTCGAAGTTTCGCGACGAGAAGAGCAGGGCGAACTTCAGCGCCGTGTCGCCATCGCCGAGCGCCTTGTCATTCAGGTACTCCATGGATTCGCTGCATATAAAAACAGAAAAAAACATATTACTAATTAATCTTGATCAATCGAATGATTTATGCCAAATATAAAGAGTTAACAAACATTTTAAAGTGAGAAGAAACAGTTTTGATCACAAATTAAAACAAAACAAGAATATGTTTTGAACTGTTTGTTTTTTTTTTGTTTCTAGTTTTATGACTAACACTTTTATTAAGGAACAACTGCATCACTTCTGCTATTTTTAGAACATTCTAAATTCTGAAATTTTTTTTTTATAAATACATGTAAGTGTCCATGGTTATAGTATTAATACAACCACTGAATATATTATTTTTAATATTGTTATTGTTGTGACTACTACTTGCTTTGCCGCCCCCATTATTTAGCCCCCAACTGTTGGTATGTTATTGTACACAATTTATACGATCGGTTCGCAGACACAGCAGCATTATCTGATAAGCCCAAGCCGCGAACTATTTGCTCAGCAATTAACTCGAGCATGAGCCTGGGAGAGTCAGAGGGAAAAATGTTCACTTTGAACTGATTCGATGGCGTCGATTTCTCTCTATTTGTATGAAAAGCTGTAAATTTTTAAGACACGCTGACGTCCAAACAACCTGGTCGCAAACAACGAACTTGTGCGCACATATTTACACCTACAGTGCGTTTCAAATACGTAAAGATTTTACAAATATGCCTTTATAAAAAATGTTGCATGGACGGACTTGTACGAACTATTAATTTGATTAAAAAACAATTATATGCATATATTGGAAAAAATGGTTAGGAGAAATCGTGTCTGTTTTTGCTCGAAGTACTTAATTTTTTAAGAACATTTAATAAGTATGCTGTACAAGAATTTATGAAAACGCTAAGGGTAAGGTAATTCCTGCACTTTGATTGGCAATTTAGCTGTTTGGGGGCAAAATACATATGTAAATTTTAAATTCGGTTGCAAAAACGTTTTACTGAGGCTCTACGAATCTATTTGGTTCTCAATTTTGAAGAAAGGGCTATCTAAAAAAGGGATCATGTATTGTGAATCAGTGTTTTGCAAACTTTTTTATGAAATAAATTACTCATGCTAAGTTTAATATAAACATGCAACAAGTTGTGTTATCGAAGACTGGGTTCATTGAGCTTCAAGATATCTAGTGTCGTCTCTGGCTGGCCCTATGCTAATGCACCGCACTGTAACCTCGCCGGGTATTTATAAGCGAAAAGAGGTGCCGAACATACACACTACTTATGATATTATTAATCATCAATGGGCGAACAGTTCGGATGGGAACACATACCACAGCATCGACTCGTCGCGCACGATGTTGCAGTAGTCTGTCTCGATGGTCTTGATCTTGGAGTTCAACACAATCCCGTCGTCCTGGAGATCTAAGTTTCGCATCAGGGCAATGATGTGGTCGTAGGCACAACCACCTGTTGGAATTTGGTAGCCGGTGGCGCCAGCGTTAAGCATGCTGCAAACGTCCCGTAGTCGCACCGCCTCGCCACTACCGCCCCCGCCCCCCAACGAACTGTGACCGCTGTCCGCCGCCGTTGTGTTGTTGTAGCTGTTCCCGTAGGTGTTGTTGCTGCCGCCGCTGCTACTGCTGTTATTGCCGACCATGTTGTTGGCCATTTCCATTTCTCGCCGCGATCACCGCCGATTGTTGTTGTTATCGCACCGTTGTTTGTCTGCCCCTTCCACACACTTCTGCTGGCGTTTATGTATGTGTGCGTATGCTCTGGTCGTCGGTCCACCAAATAAGAATCAGCGTTGACAAAGGTGTCGAAATGCGCACGCAAAGTTTAAACACCTTTTCGACCAGCTTCCGCTTGGGCTGCAAGTGCCGATAACTCACTGGGACCCTCAGTCAATTGGAACGCAACTAACGAACGGTATTAAATGCACAAATCTATCACTGTTTCTATTTATTATTGCTATTCGACGACTTTTATAGTTGTGTATTAGTGGTGGCATTAATGGCACTGTCGTGCTATCGAAAGCGCACAGTGTGCTTTCGCGAATAGCGCGAAAGTGTTGGCACCACCTTCGATACCTGTGGTGGCGGATGAAAAATAGCTAGACTTAATTTTGATATTAATTAAAGGGTTTTGGGGCTTTTGAAATAAATCAATTTACATTTATATTTCGACAAATGATTTTCAAAGCTAGGCTTAGATAATAAAGTTTTATCAAAGAAATTATTTAGCTTGGTAAGTTTTGTTCATAGATGTAAACTAAATTGTAAACATTGCATATATACTTTACTTTACATATATATTCAATTTTTGGACTCCCGCTCATAAAAAAAGAAATATATATAAAATAGGGGACTAAATAATTGTAATCAAATTGACTGGATATTACAATGCATAAATACATAATTTTGGAAAGATTCATTAGAAAAATTGTGTGTCATTGTACGGAATATGATTTTATTTGTTATTTCATATTAAAATATCCAAGCTAGCGTGGAAATATGATTTGTTTTGTTTAGAGAAAACTATCGATATCCACTGTTGCTGGTGGGATTAGCTCTATTTAAGATGGTGAAATCGGCAGAAGTCAGCTGTTTATCGTTGGGCGCGCAAATTGTGCGGCGTGCGTTTTTTTGTTGTTGTTTTGTAATAACTGTTTTTATGTAGTTAATTGTGCCGAAAAATGTTGAATTTAAATTGCGTTATTTGCGCTGAGTTGTTTGGACAGGCGGACGAGGTGTTTGCCACTGTTTGTGGGCACATGTTCCACCACAGTTGTCTCAATCAATGGCTCGATCGGTTAGGAGTCTGTTACACATAAGAGTTTGCCCGATTATTTATAAGGTACAAATCCTTTTCAGCTCAAAAACCTGTCCCCAGTGCCGAAACAAATGCACAACCCGAAACATCTTTAGGGTTTACTTTAATCTAGCCAACTTGGATGTGAGCCGAATCGATGTGGGCTCCTTGCAGGAGCAACTGGACAACGCCAAGTTGTCCATGAAGATGATCGAAAAGGAGCGCAGCAAGGACGAGCAGCAGATGCGGACACTGAAAGAAACTCAAAAGAAGTGCCTGTGAGTTTTAATCTTAGATAACGATTAAGAATCTGCCTCATCCTTTCCTTTTTATTAGCAAAACTATCGCTGGTCTGGAACAAAAGGTGCAGAAGAAAGATTTCCTTATCAGCAGCTATGCTGAGCAGATCAGCATCCTCAAGAGCGATTCCTTGGTGGTCGATGGGCTGCGCAAGGAAAACAAGTCCTTAAAATCGCAGATTCAGGCCATGGAGGGCGTTTCGGCCATTCTGGAGGCTGGCTCTGCTGAAGCCGAGCGCCTACTCAAGAACGAAGCCGATCCCCACGTCCTGGCAAACTGGGTGTCCACACTAAAACGTGAGCTGCGCCAATGCGAAAACAAGAAGTCGGAGCTTAGAAACGTGGTCAAACTTGTACAAAATGATCTGCGCAAAGAGATCGAACTTAAGAGGTCAGTCTTCTTAAACTTGAAATAGATTGCCATTTTTACAGCTTGTTCTTTCCGATGCAGAAAGTTAGAGGAGCGAGTTTCCCACCTGGAGAGTGATCTCTATCAGGCACAGGAGAAGGTTCGCGAGGATTACTTTAATGTAAATTCGAATTACCCACAGTTTTTTTTCAGCTTCAAACTCTGGAGAGCAAGACTATTTCTGTAAACTCCCCCGACACTTCTTATGGTCTAAACAGCAACATTATGGCCTTAAAACGGGAGGAAAGGCGGTCCACCATATCGCCCACAGTTGTAAGTGGTCTGAAGTTAGGAAAAAGATCCTATCCATTAATATTCTCCAAATCAACAGAAGGAGAATATAAAACGTATTGAAGAGTCAACTTCGCCGTATCTCAACATCAAATCCAGTAGCGTGGGGTTGGTCCATCTTCTCAACACAAAGGGCAACATTGGACTGGCCAAAACCACAATATCGCCCATCAAGGGAGCCGGTGGTGTGAGTATGACAACCGGAACTATACGTAAAACCAATAGTGATCTCAGTACAAAGGTAACGACTTAGAATGCCCAACAAGTCCAGTTTAACCATCAATTAATATCTCCACAGTACTCAATATTCAAAAAGCCACGCCTGCTGCTGGGCAGCTCGAGCAGCACCGGATTGACGGCCACCACGAGTTCAAACTTTGTGTACAATGGAATGGGCGGCTCTGAAAAGGTGGATCCTTTTGCACAGCGCGCCGAGGAGGAGGGTGTGGCGAACGGCCGACCCTCATCCATCCTTTCCCGGAATGTGAACCAGCGCCTTAAAGCTGGTACGCTTCGCAATTTCAACCTGGGCAAATAAGTCCCCAGCCATGTGATTTTAAGAGACTGCCCCAGTTGGGTATTAGCGTGCGATTGCTATTGAGGATTGCCGATTTTGTTAGTTAGCCAATGCATGGATTAAGCTCTAATAATAAGTTAGCGGTTAATATATATAAAAATACAAAAAGGCAAATGTGCGACTAAGCAGCGATCTTCTTCTCCGCCGTTCCCGTCCACTCCTCGCGCAAGTTGACACTGCAGCCGAGATCCCGTAGAGCGGCTTTGATGTCCTGCTCCACGCTGGGGTGCTCCTTCATGGCCGTATTTAGAAGATCCTCTACGCCAAAGGAGATCCAGGTTTCGCATTGGTTACGCGATCGCGAAACCATGTTACGGATGGCCCAGGCTCCATTTCGCTGGACGATCTTGTGCTTGGGATGGGCGCGAATTGCCTCCACGATCACTTCTGCAATGCCAGTCTCAAAGAAGGCGGAGCTGTGCTCCTTCACCCGAAGTGTTAGCGTTGTCACACAGGCCAGAGCGGCGGCCACTATGTTCTCATTGGCCTCGTGCGTTTCCAAAAGTTGTTTAATAATGGGAGCTACGCCCTGCTGAACAATGTGTGCTTTAACGGAGTCATGACCAGCCAGGGCTCGCAGCAACTTCAGGGCCTCCCTATTCAAACGCACTTCGTCTAGGTTCAAGCTCATGATCTCAAACACGGCCTTCAGGCCACCAGCCTCATCAATGGCTGTGCAAAGTTCTTGTCGCACAGCCAGTGTTCCAATGGTAAGCAGCAAATCGGCCAGCACATTAGGGTCCTGGTAGGCCGGTAGAAGTTCCACCAGTGGAAGTAGCACTTCGCCGGCAATCTGACGGGCGTGTTCGTGGGCGCAGCCAAACTCCACGCGAATGTCGTCGTCCAGCACCAGGAATCTGAACACGGCAGTCAGCTCGCGTATCATACGCTCATTTCCCTTGGTCAGAAGAGGTTTCAGCAGCTTGAGGGCGGGAGTATTCATGATATTCTGACGGTTCATCTCGTGCATGATGCAGGCCTTTTGTAGCCACTGAAGCGTGAGCAGAATGATGTCCTGGCTCTCCACTTTAAGGGCCAGCAACTTAAGAACAACGGCCATTGCCTCGGCATCAAACAGATCCGGCTGCTTGTGGGTCAGGCTGTTCACCGCCTCCAGGCACTTCTTAACAAGGGTTTCATTAAGCGAATTCGAGGCAAGGGATTCCTCCAGGAGAGTGATCAGAGCATCGTGTGCTCCGTTTTTGCCAGCTAGGACTCGGTGCGCCAAGGACTTCTGACACTCGGCATCCAAGGTGGCAAGGTGTTCTAGCAGCTGGGTAGTATCCTCTGTTTTCTGGCCAATGTGCTCCTTAATCTTGTCCACAGTTTCGTTGATTACCGGCTGCCCCGTTTGGGGATTGATGGACAGATCCTTGATGATGTTGGCCAGGTTAATGCCCTGCAGGGAGTGCAATCATGATCTGTGTGAATTATCTAGAAGTATTAGTCTATCGACTATACTTACCTGGGCCTCGAATTGCTTGATGGTTTCCTCTTTCGCCTCCGAGGGCGTCATGGAAAACTCCACCACGTTCTCCTTGACCACATCGTCGAAGGTATCCTGCGATATAACCTTGGCCATGGTTGTGGGTCTTCAGATTTTGACAATACTCTGAGCAGCTGCAGCGCTTTAACTTTTCAAATTATTACTTTGTTCTCTTTATAACTTCCCACACTCACTCACACACACGCACACGCTGACACAGTTCAAATTTAGGGAGTGCGGTCACACTTCTTCACTCCGCGATTGGTTGACACTCTCAGCTGATTAGGAATCGATAGGTATCGATTTCAGAAGCTTACAAAAGTACTGGTATATTTCTTTCAGCTGAGAACACTTAAAAAAATATTTATTGAAAATTACGATTTTGGGATGAAACCTTAAATATTTGTTACTTTTCTAGTAAGTTGAATTATTAGATACATATATTTTTGATATGTACAAAATTAGTTAAATAAATTTGTAAGCGAGGAAATGGTTATTTTATAAGGTGAATAAAAGTTTTTTTTTTCAGAAAATTTGTAGAAATCTGTAGAAATTCGAAGGCTAAAAATAAATTGAACCCTTTTGTTATTTTAATTTACACAATCTGTCTGTATTTCGGCTTTATCATGCTCATTATTCACACTGCGGATTACATAAAGACGTCTAAGCGTCAAAGCGTCTAAGGATAGAGAGGGAAAAAACATTGAAAAGGGCAGAGACAGCGGGACACCAACACAAGGAGATCTAGAGAAGGACATCGAAAGCGCCATGTTATCACGGCTATAGTTTCTAGGATAACAGTAATTTGACCAGCCCGAAAAATTGGCAGTGGCTTGCTGCTCATTTTCGCTTTGGTAATTTGTAGTCGGTTGGCGGGTGGAGCTTTAGGTGGTCCAGGAACACGGGCTGCATGTCCGCCCGCCAAGAGATCTCCTCGCGAACCCTCACGGGTCCATCCTTGCAGGTCAGCCAGTAGGTGCTCATCAGACCTTTGCCCTGTAATTGGAAACCATAATTGGCATTCAAATATAATACTCAGTTGTTATTATTAAATTCTTTAAACAAAAATACTAATATATTTTATCTATAAAATAATTAATGATAACTTAGTCAAAAATGAAACCTCTTATTTAAGATTTAATTAAGAAAGATTACAATGCGTGTACGTGATATTCTGTCACTCATACGCAGTGTTGACCATTGATGCACTGTGAACCTCTTTTGAATACCTTGACATCGATGAGGCCGCGGTGCTCGGTCCGGAATCCGCCCACCTGCTGCAGCGAGTCGTGCATCTCCTCGGTGATATGTATCTTCTGGGCCTCGCCGGTGCTCTCCATGCGCGAGGCCGTGTTCACCGTGTCGCCGAAGAGGCAGTAGCGCGGCATCTTGGTGCCGACGATGCCGGCGACCACCGGACCCGTGTGCACTCCGCACCGGATCTGGACGAACTCGTCGCCGGCCCTGGGAATCCGGAACAGCGAGGAGGCATCCAGCAAATCAAGCGCCATTGTTGCTATCTCGCTGATGTGCTTGTTCCCTGCAGAGGCAGCGGGTTGGAAAGTTCCATGGCATAAATTACGCGCATGGCCACAAATGAAATTTAAATTAGCGCAAAATCTTTTTGGGGCAGTCAAGCAGCGATACGGTGCGGGAGGCGGGAGGCGGGGGGCAGGGGGCAGGGGGCGGGTCTAAATGACTTACTGACTGACAGCTGAATTTGCATAAATTACCGTTCTTCACCGGCAGACCCGATGCCACCATATAGGAGTCCCCAATAGTTTCCACCTTGTAGACGTCGTAGCACTCGATGCGCTCGTCAAACACCCGGTAAATTGAGTTCAGAAAGGTGACCACCTGAAAAATAAATTTGAAATTATGGAGCCAAAATTCTAGCAGTTAATATCAAACAAATTGTGTACCTATCACAGAATTTAAAAAATTTACAGATCATATTAATTTGATCTAACTAATTAATGTATACTTATTTAAAAGAAACAAACTTAATAATTTAAAAAATTATTGATATAGAAATTAAAAAATTTTCATATAATATTTTACAATAAAAAAATAGTATATAAAACAGCTAATTAAGTCATTTGATTCTTACCTCCAATGGAGTGCAATCCGCGGCTATTTCGGTGAAGCCCACAATGTCGCTGAAGTAGATGGTAACTGCCTCGTAGAGCTCGGCAGGCACCTGTCGGGAAGTCAATTAGACCTGCCTAATTCCCACCCACTCCGGGACTCACCTGCTGAGTTTGCTTGAGCTGCATGGCCACGCTGGGTGGAAGCATCTGAAAGAGGAGCGAGTCGCTTTTCCGCTTCTCTCGCTTCAGCTCCTTGGCCTTTTGGGACAGATTCAGGGCATAGAGCTGTTGGAGGGGGAAAATCAGTTAAAGGGAGGTGGTTATTAAACAAAGAGGGTAAAACCTGTATTGTGGCAGCGGCATTCTTAACTAGAATAATAATAATCGGTGACACAAGGAGCACCACCACCAAAATGGCAATGCCAATTGCTTCTTTTCGGTCAGCCTCTTCCAAAGTTGTGTCCACATACTCCCTATAAAACAAAGGGTAACCCCAAAAAATGGCAAATTTAAAATATAATAGTAAATTTCAATTCAATTACATTGAACACAATTACCCTACTTTATAAGACGACGCAAGGCTTTTTGGAGTATTCTTAAGTCATCGGTATAGTTAGTCATCAGCTCGTAATATTCAATGGCACTGCGTTCATTTGAAATGTTTGGAGTGTTCTTTATCAGGGGTGAGCTCCTATAAAAGGAGCTGAATCAATTATAATTTTAATTAGACTAAATTAATAAATACATTTGCTTGGCGCGATGAAACTTTTTGGTACTCGTGATGTTGGTGTACATGTTCTTTAGCATCGGTGCGTAGTTCAGAGTGGAATTAATCATCTCACGAGCCATGAATTCGTAGCGCACATACGATACGAAGTTCTCAGCTGTCAAGGATCCTCGTCCATAGTATCTGATGCCAAAGGAAGTGGCGATGTTCTGACACTCGATGCTCTTTAATAGGTTCTTGAATCCCACCAAATAACTGCCAGGTTTAAAATATGTGGTTAAAGAAATATATTTTGTTTTAAAGAACAGCAAGTCAAATAGAATTGGGAGGAAAAAAAATTAAGTTTAGATTAGGATAACAAACTGCGTTTTAAAATTGATAGAGTGAAATAACAAGTTAATGATGTTAAGGATTCCAAACTCACCGCCACACACCGCTGTTGTCAGTTTCCTTGATTTGCTCATTCAGATGATGGAGTAACCCCCGATTGATGGATGTGTACCAGTTCATCACCTCTGTGATGGAGCTCTCCTCGGGTTCTAAACGCACTCGATCCCTGAAATCGTTTAGTCGACTCTGGAATTCGTACCGATTCAACATCATTTCCCGATCGTCCTCATCCTCGTCAGGCGCTGTGGGAACACTGATTTCACTCCAGGTGGTCATGTTATTCAGGGCATGGTCCGTATTTGCGAATCTAAGAGTAAGGTTGGCACTGTTCCAAAGATAAAGGTTAAGGATATAGTCTTGTAATCCCAATCAGTTTATCTTACCGCTGCTTGCTGCCATTGGTGAAAATGTAAAAGGCCACTTCGGATCGCTCCAGCTGCAGTCTAGTTACCACCTTGCCCAAATCGGTGGCTATGGTTACCTATAAGTGTAATAAATTATTACAATATATGATATATAAATATCATGCCAACGATAAGCAAACATTGTAATGAACAATGTACTCGTATATGTATTAATTACGTTTTAAGTGCTTTAATATTACGAATGAAATCATAAGTTGTTTTAATCTTTTAAAACTGCCTTACGAACAGTGACGAAAATACAATGTGTACAACTATTAATTGATTAGATATCTTTTTGTTATTATAGTGCCCAAAAAGCTGACCTCGAAATTACGTATACGCAAAGTAAAACTACGTATTATTTGTTTGAAAAAACCTAAAATATTGTTATTTAAAAACCACAATTAGAGTCGATTTCTCAAATGGTGTAATTTTTTACCATTAATATTGTTAGGGTTTATTACGTGTTTGGGGATTCACAATGTGTTTATTGTTTAGCAAGGGGATTCTCCTACGTAATCGGCTGAGCCCTTGTAGTCATGCCATCTTCGTGAAATTTGATAACAATTTGTGAGTTGATAACAGCAGTACAACTTCCACTCCGCGTAAGCTTCATATTCTACGAATCCCTATCGGAATCCTTATCTCAACCCCCTGCGATTTGACCATATAAAAGAACCCAACAAGCCAGCTGCAGGTCAGTTACTCAAGATGTTGTGGCCCAAGTTAGTTTGCTTTGCGTTGGTCGGTCTGGCTTTTGGCCAACTTGACCAGGTGGCCAGCGAGGAAATTATCTCGTCTTGCCCCACCAACTTCACCCAAGTGGGCGAGAAGTGCCTTCTGGTGGACACGAAATGGAAGACCTTCTACGAGTCGGATCGCCACTGCCGATCCCTGAATGCCGGACTCCTCAGCATCGAGAATCCCACGGTGTTGAATGCCATCAACGACTGGCTTCCAATTGATTTTCCCTTACAAACGGAGTTCTGGACAGCCGGCAACAAGCTGGGCGAGACCAGAGGCAACTACTTCTGGCAGAGCACCGGAGTGGAAGCCACATATCTCCCCTGGAAGGAGGGTCAGCCCACTCCCGCCAGTGGAGATTGCCTCAGCTTGCTGGCAACCGTGAACATGACCGCCGAAGGAACGACTTTGAGTGCCCATCGCCTGTCCGTGAAGAACTGCACCCAATGGGCTGGCCACATCTGCCAGGCTCCCCTGCAAGTCTTCAAGACCCAGCTGTGTCTCAACCCCGGATCTTTCTTTGAGGCAAAGATTCCAGTATAAGTCAATAAAAAGATGTATAAATTGCTACGTTTCATTGAATGGTTATAATCAACTAATCTAAGAACACGAGGAACAAATAAACCCTCATAAACAATGTAAGACCGATTAAGTTCCTACACTTTAACTACAAAAGCAGTCTAGCACAGCTGATTGAGACTTATCATTATCTTACCTATCTTATTATTTTTAAGTGCCTAGCATTAATACCAATAATTCAATTTGATAAATGAATTATCTCCAGACTTACAATACCAAATAACTGCGTGAATTCCTTAAACATTTGTTATAAAAGGTTTTTTTTATCAATTCCAATCTCAAACAAATGAGAATTAAATGCCTCGACTATCAGATACCCGTTTCGCGGTTTCCTTTCTTCCTTTCTTCTTCGAGCATTCACCACAAAAACCAGGGATGATTTTAATACACTTTGTGGGGTTTATGGTGTTTTCCTTTTATTTAGATTTCAAAACAAAAATCTTAAAGTGGTTGGTAAAAAATACTCCAATATCCAGGTGACTGAACTTCGCGAAACTTAACGTTCGTATTTTGAACCACGCCTCTGCATTGCCTCAACTCTGTTATGATTGTAGACGCTTTCCTCTTTTATTTTATTTTAAACTGGTGTCAACCCACTTAACACTTACCATACTTTATGCAGAATTAAAAATAAACAGAAAAGAGAGGAGCGATATATTTGAGTGCCCGGAATATCAGATTCCTGATGCTCAGGAAAGCAATTTTCATAGGCGAAGACAGCTGAGTGAAAATGCCCAATAAAATATATACAAGCCGATATAACTTAAAAACTGGTCGAATAGTTTTTTTTACAATTGTAGTATACCCTTATTGCCTTTTTACTTTTTACCCTTTCAAAAAAATATTTTAATTTAAAATGATACCATCCTAAAAGCAAACAAATGACTCAGAGCCTTTAATGTAGCAGCGAGGGGATTCTTCTACGTAATCTTTTGAGCCCTTATAGTCGGGCCGACTTTGTGAGTTTTTATAAATAATTTTGAGTTGATAACGGCAAGATAACTTAGATAGCGGTTCGACCATATAAAAAGAACCCGTTGGGCCAGCTGCCGGTCAGTTCCTCAAGATGTTGTGGCCCAAGTTAGTGTGTTTTGCTTTGGTTTGCCTGGCTTTTGGGCAACTTGACCAGGTGGCCAGCCAGGATACCATCTCCGTTTGCCCCACCAACTTCACCCCAGTGGGTGAGAAGTGCCTCCTGGTGGACACGAAATGGAAGAACTTCTACGAGTCGGATCGCCACTGCCGATCCCTGAATGCCGGACTCCTCAGCATCGAGAATTCCACGGTGCTGACTGTCATCAACGATTGGCTGCCAATCATTGCTCCCTATCAGCCGGAGTTCTGGACAGCGGGTAACAAGCTGGGCGAAAGCAGGAACAACTACTTCTGGGAAAGCACCGGAGTGGAGGCCACATACCTTCCCTGGAACGTGGGTCAGCCCACTCCGGCCAGCGGAGATTGCCTCACATTGGAGGCAAACGTCACCATGACCCCAGAAGAAGCCTTCTTGAGTGCCCATCGCCTGTCCGTGAAGAACTGCACCCAATGGGCTCCCCACATCTGTCAGGCTCCCCTGCAATTCTTCAGAACTCAGCTCTGTCTTAACACTTCTGCTTTCTTCGAGGCCAAGATTCCCGTCTAATTTAATAAAATCATGTTGATATGCCTGTTATATGCCTGTTGATAGAATTAATCCGTTTTGGCATTTGAACTTGGGAGTCAGCTAAATTCTGGTGCATAATTTAATATTCACATATGGATGTTAAATTTGAATAACACAACTGGTTATGGCTTATCAATAAATATGCCCCCTTTCTGATTATATTATTATAATGCAAATAAATTAATTAGATAAATTTGCTATCTGCAGAATATTAATTCCATAATAACTACATAAAGTCTTTAATATTTTTTTAGGTAATCTTATCATTTGCAAATTACAATTATTTAAGTAGTAAATACTTTAGCTCAACGTTTTTTTTTTGATAAGAGAATAAATCAAATATATATTTTGAGTTACTCAGTATTTTTTCAGAATTCCGTTTATACAAAACCAGAGGCAATCTTTTTATATCTTTCATCGATGACTTTCCTCCTCCCTTGATTTGTTTATAGTGTGTTTTGCATTCTAAGTACGTGACCCTATTCGAGGACCTCCCCCACCGCAACCACTTCTAATCGGCCTCCCCCTTTTCACTCCCCCTTGTCCACTATTCAACATTTTCCACCCGCCGCTCTTCAATGGCGACTGTCGCTGCATATTTCGCATTGCGTCCTTATCAATTCACTTTGCCCCCTTTCCCCTCCCTTTTGCCTTCCCTTTCCCTTCTCAACTTGCCTCATATAAGTATAAGTACGTACAATATTTTCCATTCTCTCTTTCATATTCTCCTGCGAGGACTTCGCATTTGCATTATGGATAGATGAGAGGGGAGGGGAGGCACTGGGGATTGGGGGCAGGAAGACGCGGCTGAGTGCCACGAGCTCGTGCCCCGGAACACTTCACGGGGACTTGGGCGGCACTTACCTGAGCAAACAAACATTCCCAGGGCTTCCCTTGCTGGTGGTCAAGTGAACATGGACCAGAGAGGCGGGGCGAGGCATCTCCCGCGCCATCATCTTACTTGGCATACTTGGCATTTGATTGAATCGCAGTAATAAATTTTAATTACGCCTCAAAGACACAATTTCCTGGTCGCCTTCGGTTTGTTTGTTTCTTTGCAGCCACCCACCCGCAGTGACCCATCCAATGACCCATTCACTGACCCACCCACTGAACGCACCCACTGAACCACCCAATTGAACCACCCACCCACTCACCTGTGTCTCGATGTCGGCAACTGCGGAACGGTACTCCAGGATCTCTTGCAGGGTCACCGATGTTTGCACAATCAATGCCAATATTGGTATAAATGGAAGAATTATCATCTGGAAATGGATTCGCATGTCAATGAGAGGAAACTCGAGGCAACAGTGGGCTTAGGATTTCAGAGAATGTAAAGTGGTTGCTTAACTTTAAATGAATCTTTAGGTTTTCATGGAAATCGTATAAAATATTATTTGCAAAAATATATACATATTAACAGTGCTCAACCTACGAGGGCATAAGTTTTTATTGCATTGCAGATCAAATTTTCTATCTTCGGGAAACCCATCTGCTAAAAGTAGTTACTACAGCTTTTACAATGCCACAATACACTAAGCAATAGACGGTCAGCACATTAATTAAAATAATATTTACTCTCTTTACTTAGGTTACAACATTTTAATAAAACAGAGTAACATTTTGCGAGGACTAGAAATTGCTTTTATAGAGCAGGAATACTCGAAATTGTCTCTGTTGGGGTTTTTTTTTGGAATGGGTAAGTGCTTAGTCAAATTGAACTTGTTAGTATTTACAATATAAAAAACTTTAAAGTTTTATTAAATTTTTATTTCATATTAAGAAATGTGAAGATCCTTGAAATGTTGACAAGTCATAAAGCAAATATATTTTAATTCTTTATAATCTATACTAGTGTTACTGAAATCTACAAAAAGGAAAAGCTTAATAGGTAAGTTATAGGAAAAGTTTCCTATTTCCCGACTGTGTTTGACCCACTGTGCCATATATTTTCATTTGCCATCAATATGTGCTCGGCGGAGGAAGAGTTCGGACCAATCTCGGCTATGGGTAATCTGCGGCTGTTTGCGAGCGGTAAAAGCAAAGACAAAGCTGAAGAAAAGGCAGCCTGAACGGAGGAAAGGAGGTAAGGGTAAGTGGGCGGGAAAGGGGCGTGATTAGTCTTTATCGTGGCCCGCTAATCGCGACATTCATTAGCCGCACTCTGTGGCTCCCAAGGCACGTGACTCTGACCAGTCGTCCTAATTAAGATGCATGCGCTGTTGCTAATTTATGCTGCCTGGAAAACTGTGTGCTCTTTTCGCACCTGTAGAGACTTCCTCTCCTTTTGGCCCCCGGGAAAAACTCACCTGCATCAGCTGCAGGCGCCGACCCGTTTTTATGGCCGGATTACGGGCGGCGGCATTGCAACACCTTCCACTGCCGCCATTCGATATATCCTCGGAACTAATCGAGCGCACGGAAATTTTATCGAGCTGCAGATTGTGGTGGGTGGGCACCATCAGCAGTCCGCCTCCGCCTCCGCCGGATGAGCATCCCGCGTCCTCGGCAGCGGTTCGCGAGTCCATCGCCTGGCTCGACGGGCAACTGCTGATGTCGATCTTGACGCTGGGTGTCGGCTTCCTGCTCAAGCTCCCCCGCTGCTACACCCACTGCCGCCCGCTGGGCAAGGGTCAGGGTTTTCTCCGGACTTGTGCGCTTTTCCATTTAGCATATTGCCGATTGTTCAGGCGAGGATGTGGAGCCAGTGCCTCATAAACACGATTGCTGCACGGAGAGAAATGCCACCGAATGGGGTACTTAATTCAGGTGTTATTTCGATTATGAAGAGTCAACTTATAAGTTGCAAATTGTGTATATTTGATTTTAATTTAGCAAAAACCCTTCCCAGGCAGAGGTGGTCTAGAAATCAATTTGAAAAGTCATTCGTACGTACCTAAAGGAAAATTAAATTATACTTTAAAGCCAGAAAAGCTGAAAAGCTTTTATGAAGCACAAAAAAGGCATTCACTTGTTTACTGAAACCTATACCTCATTAAACCTATGAAATCGAATAACGCTTAAAAGCGCTAAGGGAATGAAACTAATTAAAAAATAATTCCACCACTGCAATCATTGTATTTAAATGTAGAGAACGATTCTCTTGAAGGTCCTTGAAAAAATTACTAAAATCTTTCAGGGATTATTATGATAAAAATCCACCAAATAATTAAATTTTATTTCACATTTTCCAAGCTTGAGCTGCAAATGTCCTGCGAATGGCGACTGTACATAATTGTTGCGTGTTCAATTTGTATCTGATAGCTTCACTCGGGCGACACTTGTTGAGTTTCAATGGGGCCGTAATGAGAAGGGCGCGTAGAATAATTGCAAGAATGGCAGATAAGCACATATGGGTGGCCGGACCACGCCCCCCGCCCCCCGCCCCCTCTGCCACCCACTATCCACTCGCTGGCCGCCAAACAAACGTCAGGACGTCAGGACATCGGGACATGGGGACATCGAGACATCGGGACGTAAGGACGACAAATTTGATGGATGAGCAGCCAGGCAACGGAGCGTTGCGAAAAAAAGGGGGTGGGAAGTTAGCAAAGGGGTTGGCGGGGCTTTGAGTTTAATTGAAAGCACATTTGATTGCTGCTCCCCGGGCGGAACCCGCACTTTCGCCCAGTGTAGCGGCAAAGTAAACAATTTGCGCGATGGCCAGCGTTTTGTATCCATGTGGACACATATCCTTCATCGTTTGTTGTTCCTGTTGTCGCGCTCGCTTGGCTTACATTTCACACATATCAAGAGCACATTTATTGATTAAAGTTTTAATTGCCCACACTCGAAAGTAATCGAATAACTCGAAAAATATTTGGCAAGTTTTATATTCCGCAGCTGGGCTCATTCGATTTGGCCTTATGTGCCACAATTCACATCACATTTCCAATCAGTCGCACAGCACGCACATAAAAAGTTTCTTTAATTTTTATTGCACAAGCCACGCATTAACTTCGCACACAACAATGGAAAAAAATTCAATTATCTATTGGCGACAAGTGCGAGGAATGTGTCGTTGGGCCCGCAATGTGAGTTTTCCGTACGTGGGACTTTTCTCCGTGCCTGCCGTATTTTTCCTCCGTTTTCCGCGATTGAATGCGAGCAGCGCCCAAAGCCAACTGAGCTTAAACCTGTTGAGTTTCGTCTGTTTATACCGAAGGTCCTGTGGGACCAGCGCCGCCGCCGACCGCCCATCGCCCACTGCCGCCCCCTCGCAGGACTGCGCACACGGGACTCTGTTATCCCGATGTAGACTTTTGCAAGTTCAAATCTGTTGTGTGCAGGATGACTGGAATTTATTGCTTTGTTTCATATCTGGTTAACTTTCGGGAATGCCTCAGGAATTTTCGAGTCCCTTAAAAATACCTTATAAGCAAAGGTGCATGCTGTGATTTCGGTTGTCTGGATTACTGTCTTTTTTATTTTTTTTATTTTTTATTGTGCTTAGTTATTCTAGCAAGTTCTTTAAAAATGTTAAAAGTGTTTCCCCTATATATGTCTACGGCGAAACAATATATCATTTTAGCATTACAACTAAATTAATTCTCTTTCGTGGTTTAATAAACTTCGATTCAACTTCAATATTTTTTTTTAAGTTTAACTTACAAGGAAATACGTTTTTACATTTCCTTCACGACGATGTCGATCAAGCAGTGCACTGCTTTCTGGGTACGCGGTCAACCTAAACACAAGCCGTATGTAAAATGTGTGTATAAGAAATGTAAAATAAATTTAGTACGACAAAATAAGCGTTAAAAATCAAATACTCAAAATTGAGAAAAAAAACAACTAATAATTAATCCAAAATTTACTTCCATTGTATTCGTAGTCGGATTTTTATTCTTCTTATTTTAAGAAAAATATTTGCTAATTTAGTATAATGTCTTGGCTTCGAAAAAATATTCAATTCAATTGGAAGCGTCAATTTATACAACAAAAACATAAAAAATATATAAAAATATTTAAAATGATAATTTGTTAAAATTCAACATTTTAGTAGTACAATTTTTAATTTTTCAATGCTTATATGAATTACATAGAAATCATCTCAACTTTGGTTGTTTCTTTCATTACAAATAATTATGTAAATAAAAGGATTAAATAACCAAAACATTAAAAATAATGAGAGGTCTGGTAAATTCATACAACTATTTTCGCAAATAAATCAATTTAATAACCATAATTTTTAATGATGGTTGTCGAATCATTCCGATTCGTATAGTACTTCCTCGAAGAGTCGTCCATGGCTCAGTGTTCCCCAGATCGACAAGACTTTATTTAGATATCGAGTAGCATAAATCGTAGTTCGGCAACTCTGAGCGTTCCTATTGTCCCGCCTCCTCGGACCGCGGCCATGAGATCATCCAGCCGAATCGGCATAATGCCCGCCTCGAGCTAGCGACTTTCCAAACGAAAAAAGAAACAGCCGGGCATTTGCATAACTAGCTGTAAAATTGTTGGGAATTAACAGCGCGAGCGGCGAGCGATTGGCTGGAACCGAGGGTTCGAATCGGAATTGGAATCGGAATCCGCGAAAGCCGCAAAGCCCGCGGATCCCGCGGAAGAGCAAACCTGTTCTAGGCGCTGCAGAACAAGAACAACACCGAAAATGAGGAGGCCCCATTGGACCACCTTGGCGGTAGCCTACCAACCCGATCGGTTCCCCCTTCTTTTCTCCTTCCTTCCCCCCAATTCCATCCATTACCGTCGCCATAGCTTGCCATATCTCCTCCCGGGGAACACAATTGGATCGGGTGACTTTGAACTGGTCGCTGGTGTCGTCCGCTATGGTGTCCAAATTGATGTTTCAATAAAGCCAATAAATTTATGACTAACGAACCGAGTAAACATTCTCCCATGCCGATTGCCCGTTTCCATTCCGGTTGATCGGTGATGGGGATTCCGGGGGAGCGGAGAGCGGGGAATCTTGGGAGGTAGCTCCACCGCTGGTGGAGATGGGGAGGTGGAGATGGTCGAGGTGTAACGGTGACAACGAGTAGGTGTCGCCATTGGTGCCACTATGAATTAATTTGGACAATTTATGAGCCAATCTCGACGGCCGACAACTGGCTAGGAATGTGTTTAGCGGCCACCTCGGTGGTCGCTTGTCTTTTTGTAAATTGAATTATAATTTGATACCCGACCCGGCGACTCCCCAACTCTTTATTTCTCCAACTCCCCAGCTCCCCAGCTCTCTAGCTCTTCAGCTCCCCGAACTCCCCAGCTAACCAGCTCACCATCTGGGGGTTCCGATCGCCCCGGCATATATTACCGATTGATCGGGCCACATAAATCTGACACTAGCGACACAATTAGCACGGCCTTTCGCTCCGCTCCCCGCCCTTCTTCACCGTGACTGCGACTGCGACTGTGGCTGCGACCGCGACTGAGACTGTGACCGTGGAACAGCCACCCAAAAGTGACAGCCGCCACGGCAAAATGTACATAAATAGTTCGCATTGCTCTTGGCCCAGCTGCGAGATAATGCGTAGAGTGGAAGAAGGATGTGCTCCTGGCAAGCCGATGGGGCAAATACTCTTAGCTTGTTAGCTGCAGAAAAGAAAATAAAAAAATTATATAAAAAACGGTTATATAGTTAAAAGTAATAAGATGTATCATATTATTATTAATGTATTATTCCTTAAGTAGTAATGATTAGTATGTAAGATCAAATTTGTTTTTCAATTACGATTAAAACTTGGGCTAAGCGTACTTAACAATAATTCAAAACGATTCCATTTTAAAAATGTTTTTTTTACATTATAATTATTTTTGTGCACTCATGTCATTTTTAAAATGAAATAACATCACCTTAAAGGCTATACAAAAAATACTTCTAAATAATTAAAGCAATTAAAATATGTTCTTGCACTTAGGTATTATTCATTTTAGTCTTTTTTTAAGGCTTATTATGTTTAAAAAAAAAAGTAGAACTGATAAAATGAAAAATCTTCTTGTTTGCGTTGAGTGATTTTTATGTTATGCAGTCGTAATGAGTAAATGAAATTATGTCTTGCATGAAAGTTGGATAAAATATTATTTGAATTTAACAAGGCTCACTATCAAGTCCAAGTACCCTTTTTGTTAGTTCCTCAAGTGGCAGCCAAAAAGCCGTGGAAAGACCCGGAGCTGTTCGCATGCCGCCGCCTGGCCGTGGACTCTGAAAATGTCTCATTTAAATAACTTGCATGCATTTAGTCATACTTTTTGCCCCATCCCCCATCTCCCATCTCCCATCCCCATCGCCCTCCCCTCTGCCATTGAACCCCCCTGCAGTGGACAGGCATGCGCCTCTGGGCAGCGAGAATCGGGGGAATCAAGCAGCGCATCGCGACGTCAACTTAAGTGGCCAACGGAGGTAGAACAACAATAACAACTTCGAACACAGCCTGGCGATCAGTGTTGCCAATTTGGCTATTGAGTCTACTGGTTTTACGACATTGTTTACAAGGCTTTTATGACGTGCACAGTAAAAAGATAATGGCTCAGGTCATTGTTTAGTATAGTTTTACCAAATAAATAAATATCTTGATTAAAAAAAATAGTTTTTAACAGGCTTTTTAAAAGGACAATAGGTTATACAAACATATATCGCGCATGCGACTAGTTTTACGATCTTATCTGCGGATTGCCAATATTTATGTCAGCTAGTTAAAGGTGGCAATTGAA